GGACAGGGGGAAATAGTTGGCAGATTATTCAATTATGAAAAAATGTGGCCCCTGCTGGCAAAGTTATCCACATAAAATATGAGCACATCTTGAGTATGGCCACACAAAAAAATGGAGCTCTTCTGTTTGTATGTGTACAGTGACATGTACCATGTTTATGCCATATGTCACATAACAGAGCTCACCACAAGCAGCAAACTCTGCAGCCAACATACAGTCACTTCTGTGTGGCTTGGTGCGTGGGTGGCTGGGTGCTTTAGTGTGTATAAGCAAATTCTTTTAGCACACCTGTAAGCAGGTGCGTGTGTAAAAAAACAAAAAAACATGTGTGTTTTGTTGTGAAGCTCTTTCTGTCTGACTATTTCACATGTTAAATAATTACCTTAATTAGGGGCTGCTTTTCATATGGTGGACAGGTAAATAAACACCTAGTGTTCAAGGAGGCACAAAGTCAGAATGCACACACATGCATACACAGTTACTGCTGTGTGTCCATCTGTTCCTCTGGCGGAGCGAGTTAATCCCTGCATGGAATAACAGGCCACATGACCAGTATGAACTCTAAAATCAGCCATTCTCCTCCCTACCTGCGATTATTTAAACTCCAGTCTATCCTCTCCACACTGCAGCGTTTTTTCTGTTTTCATCTCACTGTGTACCTCTCAGTGTCCTAATCTCTGTGTCACCTACTGGTCACGTGCACTTTTGTTCTGCTTACCTGCTCTGTTATTCAACTCTGGATTTCTGTGTGTTTGTGTGTTTGTGTGTGTGTTTGTGTGTGTGCGTGCGCGTGTGTTAGCTGGATGAGGAACGTGCAGTCACACACATGCAGTATGTCGCGTGGCCGGACCACGGCGTACCCGATGACCCTTCAGATTTCCTGCTGTTCATCAGCTCAGTGAGGGAGAGGAGGAGAAGTGAAGAACCACTAATGGTACACTGCAGGTAACATGAACACACAGAAGCACGTGTACACACACACACACACCTACACATTCACTGTAATTGAACATTGCAAGCTTCTACATTACCTACCTCTACTATGCACTTAATCTGTATTTGAATCACTTTTCAGCGCTGGAATAGGTAGAACAGGTGTTCTTATCACCATGGAAACGGCACTGCGTCTGTTGGACGAGGGTCGGCCAGTGTTTCCTCTGGACATCGTCAAAACACTGAGAGACCAGCGAGCCATGATGGTTCAGACCACGGTACAGAGACACAGAAAAAAGATTCAGGATTATACATTCAGCTTCAGTGGTTGTTTTAGGAAATAATTTGTAGCTGGAGTCGAATAGTGTTTACAGGAGTAGCACCTTGTAATGCCATTAGCCCTTCCCAGGGGAAATACCTTTATCTCATTATTTTGAATGTGACATCTCAGGAAGTCCTGGAGGGAAATTCTTCAGATTTCGGGCATACATACACTTAAATTAAAGAATAAATTGATTCACTTAATTGGATGAAATAATGAAGTGGTGACATTTTTTAAACCAAGGGCTAGCAGGTCAACTTAAAGGTGTCATCCAAAAGTCCTGGAAAATCACTTTTCTGGCCGTTATTGTCCTAAGGTGATATCTCGGGAACATTATGAGTGTGCATCTTCAGATTTTGCACTACATGTGTTCATATAGACTCAGGGATTAATGGATGTTGGTGTTCAAAGGTCAAGGTCACTGTGACCTTGTGGCTGTCCCATTCTTGTGAATGTGATCAGCCACAGGGGAATTTTATTACACCTTGCTTATTCTTATTTCTCATCATGATGGTTGAAAGATGCCATCCACGATCGATTAGTGGAAAAAAAAGCCCCTCTTGTTCTACCTCTCACATACCTGTTTGTTCTGCTATCGTTAACAATGTTTGCAGAGAAAGCGTGTAAGAATGTATTGTTTTTACATATTTTGACATACAAATATAACGCTGTATCAGCCACAGTCACACTGCGAGAAACGTTGGATAGTTTCTAATTCATGGCTTTCATCCTAGAATTAGGAATATCTGTCGTGTTTTTTTTTCTCCACTAAAGGGCTTGACTTTAGGTAAGATGTAAGAAATGACTGATTGTTTTGGGCTACTGTTTAAAATGTTCCATCAACAGAAACGTTCAATTACAGATCATTTAGAAATACTGGGTAAAATTAGGTTCGATACTTGTTATCGTTCTTTTTATATCTTAAGAAATGAACGTGTGTGCTGTATTTGCCCTTTTCGTCTAACATATTAGCCAAATGATGAGTATGTGACAATACTGTTGTTTTAAATTGTAGAGCACTTGATTTGATCTCAGTGAAGTGAGTGTTTGGTTTCTAGAAAAGAATATTTCTGAAAATATTAAGAGAATTTCACAGAGACCCACTATGCCAAATGAACTCTGCCAAAATGTACTCTTTTAGAGGTCAATGTCGTACTGTTCTACATACCATGGGTCTGGTCCTCCTTGACCTTAATTCATTTGAAGACACATGACTGCGGCAGGCTAACACTGAGGGTTGTTGAGAGAGTGGATGGCGGCTGAGGTCTGGAAGCGGCGCTCTGCAGCCGCTCGGTGGTATCTGTCAAGGGAGAGAAAAGTGTTACTCATTGCTTTGAAACGAGGTAGTGCTGGGAACATGGCAGCCCTCCAGTTAGCAGCCTGCTTCTAGGCCAGTACTACCAACACTTTCACCCTTATTTTGAAAGGAGATCCAGTCCCTGCAGGCTTTTTCTCTCTGATGTTTTTGTGCTGATGGAAAACGTCCTCAGGTTTCCCCTCATATGTTTGTGTCACAGCCAGGAATAAAAAAAGCAAGCACAGGTAGAGGACAAATCTTCCCAGGTATAAGGAAGAGCCCGGCATTATTCTGTGTTCTTTTTTTTTTTTCTTTTTTTTAACAAACCCCATAAAAGACAATGTTTTGGTTTCGTGTTTAAAAGTTTCAGGCATTAATGGTTTTAAAATTACAAATGTTTTGATCATCTGACTTTACCTTATGTTGACACAAACTATTATCAGTCAAACTTAACATTCAGCTTTCCCACGTTAGTATTGTCATTGCATGTTAGTGGGCTGACTTCAGCACTAAGCTCAAAGCACCACTACATACTTCTCCGAGAGCTGCTAGGTGCACATTCTTTTTACCGTCACCATTTTCATTCTTCCTTAAGCGTAAGAAAAAAAACAGGTCTAAGGTCATTTATGTGAAATGTTTTCAGTAACTGTTGTAAATGTTTGTACATTCATTTGCTGACTTCTTCCTTTTATGGACTATTAGTTTAAGGAAAAGGATATCTTTTTATCCAGTATTACCATTTAAAAACAACAGTGTGAGCTAAAAGCTAATGAAACTTTCCTTATCATGTGTTTCAGTGTCAGTTCCAGTTTGTGTGTGAGGCTGTTCTGCGAGTCTACAAAGAGAAACAGAACTGACCTACAGTGCCATAACCCAAGTCAGCACCAGGACCAGAACAGACACACGCACCGTTTCTGCCTCATGTCATTTCCGGTAACCTCCACAGAGGGACTGCCACATATTAACCTCTGTCAACACCTGTGGGACTCTCGGAAAGACTGGATAATGAGAGTATAACTAGCTTTAGAGCATAGCAGTCTGTGATCTGTGTAGCCTAGATTCAATGTGAGAGTATGAATCTCACACCCAGTTGGCCTTTGTTTTAAACGATGCTTGTAGAGGCTGCAGTCTCCATAGAGACTGATGTGAGATGGATGTGAGCTGCTAATTTCTGTCCACAAGGCCACAGGTATATAGTCTCTGTGTAACAAGCTATGTGGGTCATGTCACTTCCAGAAACAGGGCAGCAGAGGCAGAAGGCCAGGATTGTTATAATCTCCAGTCTATGGAGAAAGGCAGGCTTTATTTTCTCTACAGATACTTTAAGGTTTGTGGTGGTGCAGCCAGGGAAGCATCAAATGCTCTTTCAAACCCTCTTAAATTATTAAGACACTAAATAAACACACTGATTTATAATGACGTGTCTGCTTGTGTCATTTCCTCTGATGGTAAACGTTATAAATTAGATCATTAAACAGGTATTTGTCACTTTATTTTAAGAGTCTTTGCTGTCCTAGAGGCAAAACAAGCCCCTTTCACACTTTCCTGCAGAGTGAGGCTGCTCACTGAAGTGAGAGTAGTCTGCTGATTTAACCTTTAGCTGAGTGCCTCTAAAGCTGGCAACATACCAGTGACACTATCTCAGTAACATAAATCAACCCAAACTATCAAATGTTAACTTATAGGAAGACACTCTAACTAAGCAATATTGCTGTGAGGGTTTAATTATCTTGGCAACTTCTACTAAGATCCTGTGTTATAATATGTTGTACTGTGAATATATACTGTTCATTATGTACTTTAGAGAAACAATGAATGTACATTTCTTTTAGAGATAAAAATATATATATGTTGAGTAGTTTATTTTTGATTATTATGTGAGAGAAACTTTTTTTGGCTGAACTCATTCATTCCCCTGTATGATTACGTGATCAGTTTGCAGATAGGCTATTTTTCAATAAAACAACTACAACATTTTTTTAATTTGTCGGTCTCTTTCTATATTTACTAAAAGATGTAGCCAATGCAACAAAAACTAAGAGGTGTTTTGGGGGACAATTGAAGGCTACCTCTTTCAGCTTGTGAAGATGATGTTCAAAATATTACTGAAAAGCTAGAAAAATATATTTCAGTGTGAAAATTATTCATTTTTTAAATGAGTCATGAAGGGGTGTTTGGGGAAGAGACTCATGGTCCAGTTAAAACACATAAAAAAAATAAAAAAAAGCTTACAATATAAAAGACACTAAATACAAAGCACTGTATAAACTAAAAAAAATAATTCAACGGGCCTTGGGGCACCTTGGACCACTTGGGAACCACTAATCTGCTCTGAAATATTCCCACGCCTGACGGGCCCGTGACAGACAGGTGGCGCTGGTTGTCAGTCTCTGATGGGTCGTTTTTTTCAGTGAGGACCAGAAGTTTGTTCTGCGCTGTTTACGCAGGCGCAGTTCACTCTGTTTGCCCAGTTTCGTTGGTTGACTTTTACCTGAGAGGTAGTCTAGTTTCGGTTTGCCCGGTGTGGAAAAAAAAACAAAAAAAAAACAACAACCACCACCGAGGTCCGGCCGGGGTCCAGAGGTGTCAAGACTTTCCTCCTCCCTCCCCGGACCCGCGGAGCGTCGTACGGGATTTCTCCGGGATTTTAGAGTCGCAACAGCGAGCAGAGCAGGAGGCAGGTGCACGGGAGAGGACAGGACAAGGGGGAGGAGGAGGGCTGCTTGTATTTCCGTAACAGTCCTGTCGTCCACACCCGGCTCAATGATTAGAAATCAACTGGTTGGCTTCACGGTGGTCGATTTGTTTTAGTTTCATTAGTATGCGGCCGGAGTGCCCCCGCTGTTGCCGACACCCAGCCTGAGGAGCCGATCGGAGCCCTGAAGTGTCCTCCGAGCCAGCTGAGAGACTCCTCGCCCTGTGGAGGACGAGGGGGAGGAGGCGGCCGCAGCAGGATCAGGACCCCGGCTTCACAGGCTGTTGCACGGAGCCGCTTTCACGGACACTACGCGGACCTCCTCGCCTTGTGGATCAGGAAGATGATGGGCTTTCTGCGCCGGACGTTTAGCCGCCGTTCCCGGAGCCGCTTTCAGACTAGAGAGGGGGACGAACGGGACGGCAAAGGGATTGGAGAAGGAGGTGGAGCAGGAGGGGTGACCGGGAACCCTCTGCTCCTGGCCCATCAGCAGCAGGTCGTTCACGCGCCCGCCGTGGTGACAGGGGGGGCGTCGGTCCACATCCCGGCGGCAGGGACCGCGAGGACCACTATCACCTGCCGCGTGCTGCTGCTGGACGGGTCGGATGTCAATGTGGATTTGCCTGTGAGTGCGCTGAAGCCTGTCCGGTGTGTTTACACTGACCGGCACAGTGTGTAAACAGAGTGCATGGAGCAGGACTATAGGTGGTAGTCTAGGTCAGTTGTGTGTCCAAGTGTGGCCCCTTTAGTGACATCACAGGGGTTTCTGGTGGTCCCGTGCAAGTAAATGAGACAGGATTACTGCTGCTGGAATTTAGTTTGCAATACTTCCCCATTTCATTTTCCTTTTCAATCTGAATTCTAACAACTACATTTTAAGGATAGTAAAAGCTGAGTTGCATCCTGAAGTGGGTGCATGTAAGGGAGTACTTTGTTTTTCAGTTTTACTAGCAAAATGCTTAAAATAGCTCCTTCTTGCTCCTGAAACGTGAAGATTTTCTGCATGTCTCCTTTTCATTTTGGAGTTGTGGTTTGATTGCAAATAAATTAAGAAACTTAAGGACCTCTAATTAGGCTTGGCTAAACAACGACAAAAATAATCAGTTATACAGATCTCTAAAAGTAGCATCTCGACTTTAATTCAGCAACAAAAAAAAAGTGCGTCTGAATTGCATTTGTCAGCAGATAAGATGTCACACAGATAAGGTTAAAAAGTTGTACCATGGTGGCCTATATTGCATTAGTGTGTGTTGGCGAGTGGGTCTCTTCCGGTACAGTAAGAGGTGCAGCTCCAGATGGTGTTATGATCAGCCAGTCCATCACATTACTTCCCCATTCTGACTGCAGGGAAATCTGAGTACCGGGAAGACAGACCTGAAGCTGCACCCTCGTGTTTGCTCTCCCACAGCATCTCCCTCTCACTTTTTTTATTTTACTCTCTATTCTACTGTATCTGATCCTCTACCAGCAATCTCTCCCCCTCTTACTCCACTCCTAATCTTCTTTCACACCCCCTCTGTGGCCTGCTCCCCTTGCTCATCATCTAACTCTTTCACACTCTGCCTTCTCATCTTCCTCCTTCTACATTCTCCTCCTCCTTTTTTCTTTTTTCTTTCTTCCATCCACCTCCCTCTGTCTCCCTGAATTCCCTAACTCCCAGATCAGATTTTTCCACTGTGGGGACACTGTGTCACAAACGAGCGCCACGAGTGTGCGAGGGGGCAGGTGGGCTGATTAGCGAGTGTGTGGGCATTCGTGCGTAAGTGGCTTCTCATAAAAAGGTTGTCATTTTGAAGGTTGTGTGTGTCACCAAAGCTGTAGCATGCATGCGTCACCTCCGGCCTGAGTGTATAGTGTTCTCAGGGTAGAGAGTGTGTCTCTTACCTACCTGCAGGGAGATTACAGCAATAACAAAAAGCCACAGCGTCTTCTGAGGTGTTGCCGTTTCAATAATGAAACGACAAAGGGCTTGTCAAGCTGGCCGGCTTAGTCACAGGTGTGTAGGAACAAGTTTGTTCATGTCAGGTGCACTGAAAAGAGCTGAAACTCAACTATACGAGCTCATTAGTCTGTCACTTGAGGCTGAGTGAAGCCAAAACACAAAAAAAGGAAAGGGGAGCAGTTAAATATCAACTCTGTGTTTGTGATACTGGCAATGATTTCAATCAGCCTGCTGCAGAATGAGCAAGCGCATTCTGTTGGTTTTTTTTTGTTTTGTTTTCCTTCTGTCTCCAGTCACTTAATACCACTGATTTCCTCATAGTTTTTTTTACACAAGTTTACGCGGGCTATCAGGATCTAAAGTACAATGTTGTTATCATTCTACACACCCACTGTGTGTTATATGGGTCAGGCCGGGGTGAGGTCTTCACAAAGGGCGATGAGAATGATCTGCTCGAGTTTGGAACAAAATCTTGCTACTGCCGTTCTGCTTTAGTGCAGTGACTCAAGTTCTTGGTTGTGTGTCTGTTTTTGCCAAAAGCTTGAATGATGGCCTTTACCTTACGGGTTGTTTCTTCTCATTATGACCAAGATGTACACCCACAATCACAAAAACAAATACTTTCACATTCCACCTCAAATCATTTTGCTTTTGGACAACAAGTCAGCTTGTGATTTGTTTTCATGGCTAATTTGATGGTACATCCAGGATCCACCTGACTGGTTTACAGATTCAATTAATTTAGAGAGATCAATTCTCAGCTTCAATCCTAAAGCCTGACAAAGTTTGACAATTTTTAGTCTGAAAAGAATTTAGAGGGATTTATACACCTACAGGAGATCTGGCAGCTGATTTAAGCATTTTCACACAAAACTCCTGAGTATTTATTAAAAGTTTCCTGGATTGAGCTGCAAGGTTTCAGTCCATTTGTTGGTATATGGACTTTTTACTACCAGCCACACAGCAAAATTTCTGAAAGAAGTTGGAATGAACTGAATGAATGCAGCAGGTAATATGCAGAAAAAATGTACCGTGGTTTCATTTCCCATCCTTGAGATATTGTTATTGTCACACTGTGACTTCTGCATCGTGCTTTTAACTTTATATCCTGGCTTTGACAGACTTGTGAAAGAGCAAGTCATGAGGATTTCAGCAGCAGGGCCCTCCTGAAACTCTCTTGAAATTTTCAGGAGGGCATGTGTGAAAAGGCCGACAAGGAGTTCATGAGCTTGAATGAAAATAGATTTTCTTTGTGGGTTTTACACTGATATGACTTTGAAAAGGTCCTCAGAAGGCTGCTTTCTTAAAACATATCGAAGAGTATTTAAAATTATTATATGCTGTCAACTAGTTCTATGGAATCCATTAATCTGCTTAGCTGTGATGCTCTGTGACATGTGCTCCACAGAGAGTACTTTAAGCTTTCGAGTTGGCGTCTGCTCAAATGGCAAAAACTGTGTAATGACAATATTTCTCACTCAATAAGTCACCCCAAACATTCCTTTTCTGCATTATTCCTTATGGGGGAAAAAGTTTTCACATCAGCACACATCTCCAAAGATATATGCTAACATAAATATATCTGTGATTGGCGTACTGATATCAGGAAACTGATATTTCTGTCTGGTTCTGGTAACCATGGAAGATAGATTTCTATAAACAAACAACCAGCTCAAGCTTTTGGTCTTTTATTTGTTCTTTTGCAGAGTAAGTGTAAAGGCCAGGACCTTTTTGACCAGATCATGTATCACATAGATCTGGTTGAGACGGACTACTTTGGGTTGCAGTTCATGGACACAGAACAAGTCTCAGTGAGTAACAAGATCTTAATTCTGTCGTGTTAGACCTTAATGTGGTCTCCCATTTTCACCTTATGTTTTTCTTTCTCTCTTTCAGCATTGGCTGGACATGACCAAGCTTATAAAGAAACAGATCCGAGGTAAGGCCATGCCACCTGTTTTCAAAGTGAGCCATTATTGTGTTGTGTTGTGTGTGCTGGAAAATCTGCAGCATGCTGTATATGCATGCAGTAAGTGCATGTAGAAGCAGGTGAGTGAGGATCAGGTGTCGCATTATCCATTGTTGACATGGTAATTAGCACGTGCATTAGGAGCCGAAGCCTTGTTTGCTTACCAGCTCCTAACAGGGGGCATGAATAGATGGGTTCATGATGTTCTACTTGTCCGCTGCTCCTTTTTTCATTGTGAGAAATTCTCTAAAAGAAAAGTCTGATTCATGTAGAAGTGAAACAGAAAAGCAGCATAAAAAAGAAGGGTACAAAAATGTGGGTGAATAAGTCAAATGACCTGGTGGACAGAGATGGTAAAAGGAAAAACTAATATAAAGTGGATAAAATAATCAAATTAGGTTTGATCTGATTGATTTTGATAATATACTTCCTAATCATTTCATGTCTTATTGACTGACTAACTTGTTTTTTACACTTCTCCCCGTCTATCTCCCCATATTTCTTTATTTCAGATGGGCCTCCATACAGACTGTTCTTTAGAGTGAAATTTTACTCTTCAGAGCCAAATAACCTGCGAGAGGAATTTACAAGGTAAAAATCTCAAACACTCACACACACACACACACACACACACACACACACACACACACACACACACACACACAGAGTAAAACACACAGTTTTCTCCAGGGACCCATGCAGAGGTCCAAGGGGGATGTTGGGCTAATTACTTTGCTGCTGTGGGCAGATTCAAATCAAGGCCGAACGGACAGAGACTTGTTAAAACAAATGATGTGTTAGAGAGGAGGGTAGGCCAGTGATACTTCAATTGATTTATGTCCACGTTCAGCCTCTCACTCTTTTTTTCCTCACACCAACAGGTATCTGTTTGTGTTGCAGCTTCGACAAGATATTCTGTCTGGAAAGTAAGTTCCTTTATCGATTTTAATGCACTTCAATCTGACACGTAAAAACATACAGTAAAGAATAGCTTACCTTTTTTTAACAGACTGGTAAGAAGAAGAAACAGCTCGCATTTCTCTAATTTATGTTACAAAATTCCTTTCAATTCCTCAAAAACAGAGGTTTAAAAATTGAACAATTTCTGTGTTACATTAAGTCAACTGTCTGTCATTTCATTATGAGCTTTTGTAAAGAGCCTAATCTCTGTTTCTAATCTTTATGCTTAGCTAATATAACTGGTTTAAAGCTCATTGGACAGACATTAGAGTGATCTTGTTTTCAGAAGTTAAACCTAAGAATTTATTGATGAGGGAGAGGAGACTCGAGGCTCTTTGGAGAAAGTAGGTAATAAACAGATCAGGTACAGGTTTTAATGGAGGCCTGGAAGAAGATGTGTCACCTGAGCTGATGAGCCACTTGATAAAGGGGAGATATGTTAGGCATGCTGGGTGTGAATGTGAGTGAAAGAGAGAAAATGCAGGCAGGAAGCTAAAAGGATTCAAGAAAGAAATAAACAAGAGAGAAAGGGTTAACAAAGCATTACATCAGAATGTCTGACAAATAGCACGAGGTGCTTTTGTCAACATAGTTCCTGGATCTAATAAACAAGTAAGGCCATTCCTCACGAATAATCAAGATTTACTGGTCCAAACAAAAAGAGAAAATGGAAAAAAAAAACACTGATGTTGCATTATTGCTATTAATAATTCATCATGGAGACAAAGAGTCTCAGACTGCTTGCTTACGTAAAAGTAAATAATTACTGATACCTGTAAGTCTTGTGAAAGTGAAAGTGTTAAATAGATTGCTAAAGATAGGTTTTTAGGAGAAAAATATTTAATGCCATCAAGCTGTGGCAAAAATGTTTTAATTTGACCTTGACATAACCTAACTGGAAAAGAATAAAACATCCACGTGCAGTTTCAAAAATGATCTCCCCATGAGGGTGAGAGAAGTGCTCCCCTAATCTATGAAGTCTTCCAGATCTCCCAGGTAGAGTCAAACCAACTATAGTCACACACATACCTGTGGTATTTTCCACACAGGTCACCTACATTACAGTTTTTCTGGGGACTTCTGTACAGTGGAGCATGCTTTTTCACGCACATAAACACAAACCTGTGCGCGCACACACACACACACACACACACACACACACACACACACACACACACACACACACACACACACACACACACACACACACACACACACAGACAGCATGTTACCCCACTCCCTCCTCCCGGCTTTATCTGGGCCATGGATCCCCAGAGTCCAGCTCTATTATAAAGCTCAAGATCAGGAACAGGAGAGGGTTGCTTATTTTAGGAAAAGGGTTGCTCCTCTCCTCCTTGACACACACACACACACACACACACACACACACACACACACACACACACACACACACACACACACACACATGCACAGTGTAGGGCATTCAGATACTTTTATGTCTTTCCAACACGTTTATGAATGCAGCTCACCACCTGTGTCTCCTTTTCTTTGATCAGGCTGAAATGTCCGTATGATCACTCAGTTGAGCTGGCAGCATATTGTTTACAAAGTAAGTAGAGTTCATACACTCATTTATATTTACTTATTTCATTTTGTTTTTCACTAATGCCTATGAATCATGCATCTTTCACATCACTGTGAACTGTTTTCCAAAGCATTTTGATTAAATTTAGATGTACCGAGAGGGTATTAATCAACATTCATTACGCGGTGGTGTGAACTTTTACTTGAAGAATTGAAATCTAAAACTTTTATACATTCTGATTATTTATTTATTATGAAATTTGACATGCGGTGGTAAAGCAGTTGGGAGCAGAGACTTGTTTCAGAACTCTTTCTCAGAGTGTAGGCTTTTTTTTGACCAAATCGTACAAAAGAGTTTGATCTGAAATCAAACAAAAATGGATGATGACAGAGCTAAGAGGGATGCAGGGTGGATTTAGTGCATTGAAAAGGTTGCTTGTCTGTAGCCTAACCTCAAATCTTAGATGTCAAAGTGTCCTAGGATGCACCAACGTGTGTTAAGTAAAACCAAGTAAATGGTTGGAAAACTAATGAAATGATTGCAGTGGATTAGCTACAGTTTCTTTTATGTAAAATGCTATAGCATGTTCATATAATTGCTGCAAGTGAAAACTACTGCACTATAGCAAATGGTCGTGTTACAGCAAGAAATGTAAGGGAAAAATGTACAGTCCAAATTTCAAAGCATGACAGTTACACAGCATCTTTAATTCCTAAGAAAGCTACCAGTATTACAGTAATGATGTGATTTGGTTTATTTAAATGGAGATTGTGTCATTTCATCTTTAAACCAAGTTCATGTTGCAGACTATATAGACTTCTGTTTGGCGCTACCCATCTGTTACTTGTTTGTATCCGTTTTTGTGAACTTCTTGTTCCATTTTCAGGTGAGCTGGGAGACTGTGACCCCTTGGAACACTCTCCTGTGCTGGTGTCAGAGTTTCGTTTCTCTCCCAAACAAAGCGAGGCCATGGAGGCAGCCATCTTCGGCAGGTGGTTGGACCTCAGGTAAGTTTGTAAGTTGTCATGAATTCATTGTCAGGCTACATTTCTGATTTCAGAAATTAGACCAATAAAACAGAAAAACATGTGAACATTTTGATACTTCATGGTGGGCGTCCAGCAGTGATTTGACCTATGGCAGGTTGATCGCCTCAGTGGATGAAAATACTGGGGCAAAAAAGCAGAGCACAGAGCAGGGAGGGAGTCATTCTGCTGCTTACTTCCCACGCCAGCGTCCTCCCTGATGAGGGCGTCTAAATTTCACTCTCCCTCCCTTCCTGCCTCCTCCTCCTCTGCCTCTCTCTCACTGGCCTGTATGAAGGATTAAGGGATTAATCCCTGGAGGGTCTTGATTGATTCGGAGCAGTATTTAACCCAGTCTGATTGCTCCCATCTCGGATTAGATTACATTCACATATGCTGCGCTCCACTGGGCTGACTGAGCGACACATTGATGGAGCCATGCGACATGCAGAGTCATCCTTACACACAAGAAGTCTGAGTCAGGGAAGGTTATACTCTCAGCATGTCCCTTAGAGCTAACACCTTTTCCCAGCAGAGGTCATGAAGTGTCGTTTATGATACATGTCTTTGTCACAGTGTCAGTGACGAGGTGAGGGAGGGAGTGATGTTGGTGTTGTGAAAACTCATCGTGGTGTCTGATTTTTACATCCGCAGGGGACAAAGCCCATCGCAAGCAGAGATCTCGTTTCTCAACAAGTGCAAGTGGCTGGAGCTTTACGGAGTGGATATGCACTTTGTAAAGGTGTGTTTGTGTGTTTGATTTTTAAGAAGTGTCACTGTGTTACAGGTGTGTTAGAGAGTGTGTCTAAAGATGTGCGCTGTGTTTTCAGGGCAGAGATGGAGGAGAATACGCACTTGGTCTCACTCCTACTGGCATCTTAGTGTTTGAAGGCTCCAACAAAATCGGCCTTTTCTTTTGGTAAGAACTCATCTCTGATCTAAAGCTTCCTTAGGTGAGAACCTTTAAAAGCTGAGTTAAAACAAATAGTAAAGTGCATTTTAACATGTGTCTTTAAAAATGGCAGTTAGGGAATGACTTATGAATCCTGATTTCAGATGAATTAACCTATATTGAATGTCAGCATATTTTTACATATAAACAGAGATGACCCTGCTCGCTAGCTCGTGCGTCATGTGCATCATAGGGGAGGGGCACAACACTTTTGTTGAAGATTTTCTTCGGACGCAACAATTTTCATACCCTCCTCCAAGGCAGGATGTGTCTTCAACATTTTTCATGGATCTCTAGAACTATAGAAAAGGCCTAAAAAACAAGCAACTTTTGTCATTGTAGATTAAAATCAGTCTTCAAGTATTGTAATTCAAAATAAATCCTCTCAAATCTTTTTTGAATTCCTTGACATTTAATTTTTGTGGCACTACTTAAAGAATTATTTTATTATGTCACAAACACACAAGATGAAACAGTTACCACTAACATTTACAATATCCTTATTTTAACATTTAAAACATATACTGAAATGTCAAAATGCATCTTGCCATCTGGCTCCTGAGCTTTCAATGTTAACAGCAGTGAAAATGAATTAGTTTAACATTTCGTAGTTCATCCACTCATCAATAAAACCATAAATTGCTGACTACTTTTGAACAAGTGAAGGAAGAGGTCTTACTGTAGACAATTCACCTTATATTAGTTTAGGTGCTGGCTAGCTCAGTTGGTAGAGTAGACGCCCCATGAACAGAGGCTATAGCCTTTGTCGCACTGGTCACAGGTGCAACTGCAGATCCTGACTCTATTTGGTGCACCAACTCTCTCTCCCCACTTTTTCTCTCTATCTTCAGCTGTCCTTTCCAAATAAAGGCTAAAGCCCCCCCAACACATTTTTTTTTCTTTATGTCACATATGCACATCTACTGTATGTCTGATGTAGGTAGACAAGGTTGGGAGTACAATGAAATATCGGTCAGACTTTGAGGCGTAAAGGATCTTTGATTTGTGTGTCTCTGTGTGTGTTTCAGGCCCAAAATCACTCTGCTGGACTTTAAAAAGAGTCGACTCACGTTGGTCGTGGTGGAGGATGATGATCAGGTTTGTCCTATCCTCTCACAGGCTCGCCTTTGACTGAAAAGAAGCCCATGCACACAAACACACACATCAGGTGGCTAACAGGTTGTTTCCTGACCTCGCAGGGTCGTGAGCAGGAGCACACATTTGTGTTTCAGCTGGCCAGTGCCAAGAGCTGTAAACACCTGTGGAAGTGTGCGGTGGAGAGCCACTCGTTCTTCCGGCTGCGTCAACCAACCACAGGCAAGGCCGGCCACAGCGATTTCACACGGCTCGGGTCACGTTTCCGATTCAGGTAGAGCACTTAAACAGACTCACTTATACTTTACTGTGTGTTATTGAGTGCTGAAAATGTGCTGAAGATGTATATAAGTAGTTCGCTCGCTCAGGTAGATGGGGCCAGGACTGATACTAGCACAGGGGGAAAGTGTGTCACATAAAACCTTTGTATCTATGGATACAGTGTATCCATGGTTACATGAATCTGTTCCTAAGGCGACTGAAATATCCCCTTCATATTGTTTGTTTTCTTCTGACAATTATTAGAGATGGTCAAAGAAAGTCCTGACCGGCACTTCTTGTCATTTGTCAGAGCAGCTGAGCAAAAGCAGTGTGAAGTCTGTTTTATATTCAAGTTGGTGGATTGAATACTACAGGTGCTCTGAGTAAAAACTGGAACAGCTGTAAAGTGTAATATGTTATTGTATTAAAAATACACCAGTGCCACTTTCCTGGAAGTGGAATAATTATTTCACATATTTCTGACTTGTTTTTTTGACAACTTTATTCACGTTTTTGGTATTTTTTTAGCTTCAGGTGTGGGCTCATTTATTTTTAAACATATACATTTTTACCCTGCAGTAAACTATGACTGCACTGATTTTGACATGTAAAATTTACCTGAGGTCATAGTGCATTGTGGTCAAAGTACAATAACCCTTTCACCTTCGGATGTGTGCTTATTTCTCAGTGGTAAGACAGAGTATCAGGCCACTCATGGAGGCAGACTGAGGAGAGCCAGCACGTTTGAGAGGCGGCCGAGCAAAAGATATCCCTCCCGCACCCAGTCGCTGGGCAAAGGTGAGTCTTATCACCACGCTGGCAACAGCACTTGTTGATGCACCTGGGTGTGTTATATCATGAAGGTCACTTACCGTTTTAATGCATTCTAATTAATAACACATTTTTAGTCCAAAGTGGCTGTTGAGCAAATCATTTTAATTGTAAACGAAAAACTAGAGCCTGTAAAATTGACAGTTTTTATCGAGAAATATAAAATAAAGGATGGTTCAACAGGTTCAGGAAACTCAAAAAAGCTATTTTTCTTTAAAAAATAAAGTGCCCGGTTGTTTCACTTAAGTGTCACCCTTCTACTTTGTCAGAGGCACCTGCAGCACTCATCACTCCTCCACACTTGCCCCCCTCTGTGATCCACAGCAGCTTCACAAGCCCACAAGCCTCTTTCTCTCTATCATACATGAATGATCAAGTGCAGACTGTAGACTGTATTTACTTCGGGGCTGTCAGTGCTGACGTCCACACACCTTCTATTTGTCTGACGGTTTTGTCTTTGAGCCCTGTTATAAAGAAATGAATGAAGATTCAAGGGTTGGTGAAAAATGAGAATCAAAGACTGGTTTTTAAAAAAAACAGCTGGACACACAATAAAAAAAAGCAGATCAAGATAAATAGACAAAGTGGTTTCCTTTTTTCTGCTCGTCTCGAACTAATATTGCGTCCTGTTCTTTCAGATATCCGTTCACCAGCAAAGCCATCACATATCAGGTATAACAAAAACACACAAAACACCCACAGCTATACATACTGTAGTACATACATGAACATTGACATTATTTTTTTGACACTTATTCCTTATCCTCTTACCTTAATTTTTTTTAAAAGGCTACACAACTCAAAGGCAACATATTTGATGAATGTTGTCGGGTTTGCTCACGTCATGGTGAATCCCCTAGTTATCTGCTCATTTATATAGGCATTTTATTTGTTGTTCCTTTTTTTGTTTGTTAGATAAAACAAAGGTGCACACTGTAAGATGCTTTGAACCAGTTAGTCTTCAACTCAAAGATAATAAGAAAAAAACTGCTTAGATATTCTGACATCTAAGACTAAAATAGTCCTTTGTTACTAAAATAAGAAGTGGTGATCAGTAAACATGCTCAAACTAAAGAAATGCTGACAGTTATTGTTTTTGTTCTGCTATTAGTGATCATTCTCATTCTTTTCCAGCTCTCACGCCAGCCCTACACCCAGCCTACATCCAGTGAGTGACTTCAGATAACCCAAATATATACACATGCCACACACACGCACACACACACACACACACGCACACACGCACGCACGCACGCGCACACGCACGCGCACGCACACGCTACAGCTGCTGCTGATCTGACTCCGGCCTTGTGACAACATTTAATTTAAGCTGCTTTTCAATCTGTCTTCTCTCCTCCCCTCCAGTACCAACACAACATCCCTATTGGTAAAGAGTCGTGGCACCCGCCCCACCCTGCTCTTGCACCTCCAGTGTACCTGCAGCCCTCTGGACACACACCGCCACACAGGTAAGAAGACCCGCTTCTCGACAGAAGGGCAAGTTTCTATTTAAACACTCATTTGCGTTTTTTCCTCCACAACATTGTTTATTATTTCACCATTTATCATATCACTCATACACCTCATGTGTCTGTGTCTTGTCTACCACTGTGTGTGTGTGTGTGTGTGTGTGTGTGTGTGTGTGTGTGTGTGTGTGTGTGTGTGTGTGTGTGTGTGTGTGTGTGTGTGTGTGTGTGTGTGTGTGTGTGTGTGTGTGTGTGTGTGTGTGTGTGTGTCCTCATCTCCCTGTCATACCCAGGCCTTCTGTTGAGGCAGCAGGTCCCATGTCCAGTCATCCTCCCGCCCCCAAGCGAACCAGTGGCACCTTCCCAGGATCCATCAGTGTGGTTTACAGGGATAAGGTCATGACTGCATTCTGACCCCTGTTTGAGCTGGGAATCTGTTTTCAAAACCCAGACTCTTAACTCTGAGACTTAACACAAACTGGTGTCCCAAAAAAGGAAGCTCTGCTGATGGACTTAAAGGAAGAAAAAAATACTTTGTACATCATCCTCATAACCTCTGTCATCATCTATTTGTCACGTCTCGTCATGTGTTCACCTTCACCTTCACCAGACAAACTCCCTTCATGTGGCACCCAGGGAGAGTTAAAGGGGGGGGACACTAAGAATGATACGTAAGGCAAAGACACTGCATCAGATGAAAGGGACGGACGCTTAATAATGTTCTGAAACAACCTGTAGCGAGTGATTGTACTGTACCCAGGTGATCACAGTGACCCATAGCTGATGGTGGCAGTTGAGGATCTCTATACCCTCAGCACTCCTTCTCTGGGTCTCAGTCAAATCTGGACAAACAGATGTAATAAAAAATAACTTAAGACTCAGAGTGACTTAAACTATGCGAGGATGTCATTATTTACTTTCCATTTGAACCAAGGCCATAAATCTGGTGGGAAAAAATTGCACCCTATAACTACAGATCCTCTCAAAGAAACATATTTTCATTAAAGCAATCTGGAAGTATATGTGTTTTTACATCAATGGGTACATTGCCAAGAGGACCTACTAGTACCTCATTTAGCATAAAGTTAATTCCAAATTACTAATACCTACATGAATTTGGGCTAAATGACGGATCAAGTTGTAGTCCACAGCAAACTCACCAATACAATGGCATCATTATACTTCCCCAAAGCCCCCCTGTTTAAGGCTTGGTTCCAAAAGATGGAGCATGATTATCCCGGATTATCTCGCAAATCTAGTCGGTCAAATCCTAACACTAATTCTGAAATACCCACTAATTTATTTACGTGTGATGCACAGTCAGTTTCTTTTGCCTTAATGAGTATCTGAATGTCCCCTCAACCTGTTTCACATCCCTCCAACACAAATACTCTCTTTTAATCCTTCATATATAGATATACAGTGTAAGACTGATATACACTTAAAAAAAAACAACATAACACATGAGAAACTTTATCTTGGTTTGGCTTGAGCATTTCTGTGTAGGTGTGATTTATTTTCCAGTGCCTGGATATGTAGACTACTCAGAAAGTTTGTGACAACTAATTTATCCAAATCTCTTTAATTTAGGTGAAATTGAGTGATTGTAAGTGTCAATGAGGTTAATCTCAGCAGGTGAAATGTTCTGTTTGCTGGTTTAGGGATTAAGCTGCTTGAAGACGTACAGCATATAGTTCAGTGTGATACAGAAGCATGAACTAGACTAGAGTCATATATGGTGTTGTGCTTTAAAAAGTAAGGAATCTGCGCGAACTTACAGCAGGTTACGATATGAGAATCAACTGTTTACAGACAATGTGGCCAATGTATGTAATTTATGTTAATGTGTTTATTAGAATCACAATTTGCCTAGGGATGTTGCCATTTTAATTTGTGAATAAACAGAATATTTTTCATTGCAAAAATAAAAAAATCTGTCATTTGTTTTATAACTTAAGCCCAATTTGTTTATAGTAATATTCTCTCTTATTAATTTCTAGTGAATTGAAGGAGTTAGAATGGTCAGACGTTAGTCAAAGACGATTTAGTTGGAACACACGAGCATAATGACATAAAAGAGACAGTTTAAGTTGAAGGTTTGTTGAAGGGTATTTGTTTTGATCACATGCCATCTTCAGTTTCCCTTTGAGCGGTCCTGCTTCAGACCATCAGTTCAGTGTCGAGGAGAATGAGACTTCGTATTCCAGCAAGATCCACCACCATCACCGCCGCCACACACACACCCAGGACACGCTCTGCCACACGCACACGCATAAGAACAGTGAGTACTCTCAGTGTCTGTCTGCAGATCTGTGATATGACTCTATAGTACACTGATGCACTTGACATGTTTGTAGCTGTATGCTGGTTAGCAAATCACACAAAAACTTTTATTTCCTACTTTAAAGAAAGATTTTACATAGAGTCAAAGTCTCATTTTACTCTTACACAAGTTGATTTAGATAGATCTGTTGGGAATCTATCAAACCTACTATCTTGTCATCTTGGAAGTTTCTTTTATATTTCACCAGGTTGTTTCCTTTCTCTGATCCCAGGCATATCTAGCCATGCAGACAAATTAGGTTAGGCAGATATGTAAATATACATATTGCTAGAACTTTGACCATAAACCTAATGCAGTGGAAGATTATATGAATATGAATATTTTGCTGCAGAAATTATGTCATTTTTTAATGGGGGGTGTAAAATCTGGGAAAAGCTATATGTATAGCCAGAAATTCTATCTGAATATCACTGCTGCTGCCGAGTTTTGCGAAATTTTGTTTCTGACCCTCTACCACTGGGGTTCAATGGGGAAATTGTGCTTTTGACATTTAGATGATTGACCCCTTTTTTACCAAAATCTTTTTCATTTTCTGAGATTGTTTCTGTCTTAACTCCTTTGTTAAGTTTGTGTACAAAGGCAACTGTCAAAGTTGATAATTTTACTTATTAATTTAACACATAGAGACTTTTGAAAGATGTAGATACTGATTTAGCTTTCTCTCTCTCATAAAACCTTTTTCAAAAAACAATTTATTCTATAACTCCACACTCTTCTATAATCAGAGTGTCGAGCCCCTCCCTGCCCTGCAGATGAGTTGGACATCTCTCAGTCTCTGCTCAAGGCTCTGGAGTCAGACAGTGATTCTGCACCCTGGCCCTCACTGCACATCAACATGGACAACAAGGTCAACCACTTTACCCACATGCTTGTTTTCCCATTTTTCTCACAGTAAGAACTTGCCCCAGTTTCTTAACCTTCTTTCCTGCTCTGTTCCGCTGCCAGGGAGAAGAGAAGCAGCTGTCAGAAAAATCTCTGCACCCACCTGCATCTCCGGCGATACACCCTGACCATCTTAAGTGTAACATCCTTAAGGCCCAAATGGAGGCAGCTTTCAGGGTGAGTAACAAACTTTCATCTAACTCTAATCCTTCTGCAGAGTAGCTAAAAGCAATGTCCTTTTCTCCTATGTGATGCAGAAGGAAGCACCAACGACCCCTAGAGGCAAGAACTCAAACCAGACCCTGAATGACAGGCCAGTTTTCTCATCCTATCTACACCTTTTTACTCAAGTCTCTATTCGTGCTTATTAAAACTAAATGCTCTTTTTAAACTCTTGTCTTCAGATATCAGAGCTCGTCCCAAGACTCGGCTGCGTCCAGTTTGACTGCAGACAAAACACCACATCGGCATGACCGAAACCTCACCTCAGAGACACAACAGTCAAAATCCAACACAAGCACCGCCCGCCGAAAACGACTGGTCAGACAGTTCAGCTTGTAAGTACACACCACCTATGATGACTGATATTGCACTTTGGACATAAATCTTTCATGCAAAAGAAATGCTATCTCCATTCTGACATTTTTCTCACAACAGTCTGCAGCTCATGTGAGACTCATTCTCTCTAAATTTGATGCTCACCAGTAACCATGAAGATGAGGATAATCTCCCAGAAGCACTTGCAGCCATCTCTTCCCAGAGTACAGTGAAGTCAGGATCTACAAGCTCATTGGACAAACAGATCCAGCCATCAATATACCCACAGGTAACACACACTGTATTTCATGCCTACACACTTTAAAAAATGTTTTTTAAATGCATGTATATTTTTATGCACAACGCTTTACTTACTTTGCATCAGATTAGTCTTTAAGCATCACCTGTAACTACACAAAAGGGACGTGTGTCTGTATGTGTGTACATTGACGTGTATTCCAGGCGGATAATATGCCGGCCCTGGAGCTGGGTGGTCCATGCTGTCCCTCTCCTTTGCCCTCTCCCCACTTCTCTCCTTCATACTATCGTAGCTCCATCCCTCACCTGGTCCCTTACCTTGCTGAACAAAATGACAGGTAAACACTCCATGTTTCATCAGAGTCACACAGTTATTCTAGCCTATCAAAAAAAAAAGCCTGATGGTTCATATGCATAGGCCTACCAGATATCTGGCATCAATTAACTTTATGCTGTTCTAATAATCTATGAATCTCATTAATTATCAAAAGTAAAAATTTGATGGTTCTTATGATACCCCACATGATGTCTTAAAGTCCTCCTCTTTTGTCTGACAGAGAGTGAGGGATCAGAACTTTATGACGGATAGGCCGAAGCTATCCCAAATTTGACATCTGAGCTTAGAAAAATACTAAAACAATTATTTGTTAATATAAGCCTATCAAATGCATATAACCTAACCTACTCCATCATTTTAACCAGTTTCATTCCTGTAGAATAATAAACCAAGAAAAATATTAGAAACTTTCAAATTCAAATGCATTTGATTTAATCGTAGCCTATTGTTTTTGGCATTTTTCTAGACTAGATTGTTATTTTAGGTAAGCCTAACTTAAGTATCTCAACTGGATAGTGCAGGCCTACACTTTGCTATAAAGCTAACACACAAATACTTGTATTTATAAAACAATTTTTTATAAAGTAATTTGTGAAAACGTGAACTTAAACTAGCACTCTTGCTTGTTATGGGGATCTAGTGCTTTGCCTGCCCTGTCTTTCCTGCCTCTAGCAAATCAAGTTTTGATGCTAGCCTCCTTAGTTTGGCTAACCTTTATGCTTTACATTGTTTCTTCTCATTTTCCTTTTTTTATGATATATCTCTTTAAAACAGTTGAACTCTTTTGCTTTTTTGTGTGATCATTTTTGTTTCCAACATTTAGTTAAACTGCATTTTTGTCCATTTCTCCCTTGAAAAGGAGGATTTCCCTCTCAGAGAAACCGTTTACATTATAGTGAATGACATTTAAACAGTAGGACTGCTTTTTTTTTTATCGTGTGACATTTAAACAGGAGCACTAATGTAGATTTATAACTTAAACATCTGTAACAAGATTATGATCTTTCTGTTTACAGTGGAGAGGAGATGAGATTGGACAGAGAGAAGATACTAAGAGCCCTCCTGATGACAGAGCTCTGAGCCATTGATCGTTGACCCCTTTGACATCTTTGCCAGGCACAGCCTGATCCGGTGATAAATAAGGAAACGGAAGACTCAAAGTTGTTGCCTCTAATCAACATTTGTATATTTACATAGAACACCCTGCAGCTATAAATATATATTTGCATAAAGGCAATTGTTATATTTGCTCAATTGCTATTCAGAAGGACATTTCTTTATATTTAAACTGAAACTGTTAAAACTATAATGGAGATGAAACAGATGGACTGACTGACTGACTAACTCACACACTTTACAGATAAGGTACAGATGTGACTGGTGCTGCCTGCATGATAAATATGTTACATGATAAAATATTTATCTGATTTGCTTTGGGGTTATGAATAACCATTTAAGTTAGTCAACACTGTGTCTAAGCTAAACCGCGTTCAGACAGTGACTGTTGAAGCATTGCTCTCTACATTGAAAAAAGAAAACAGGGGCTGAAGTAAAAGTATTTTTAAATTTCAAGACAGTTTGTTCAAAATTTAAGTAGACGCTGTAATTAATAAGCTGACAAAATAGCTTCCTCATGTCATAGATCAATTTTGAGAGGCCAGAAACTTTTCAGCAAAGGAGTTTTAATACATTTAATGAAGAGAGTAAATTGAATGTGAACTCTGCGTAACTACAATATTTACAGTCTATGGTAGTTACAGACTCAATCCAGCCACTAGAAGGAGACAAATCTGCAGCCACAGCTCCTGTTGCACGTGAACACATTGATCCTGTTGTCAGATCATGGATCACTTTAGCTATTCTTTTGCACACAGTTTTTTTCATCATAAGCCTAATGCACAACCAATCTCAGAAGTCATGTTTTTTTTTTTTTTTTGGAACAAAAGCTTTTGTTTTATTCATAACCCTGCTTCTTTAACAGCTTTATTTCAGCCCATGTTTTAGCACAACCACATCTGATGCAGCGTGTGTTGTGCTGCTGTTCTGTATGTGTTGACTGTGTTTTTCCTGCCCCTGGTTGGGTCATAATAAAAGCCTCATTATCTGTTTGACAACTACGGCAGCATCTTTGGTGTCTGCACTGACACTGGAATGTGGATTAGCCTCGCCCTGCGTGCCTGAGTAGTAAGTGTGTGTGTAAGCCTCACCCACCCTGTGAGAGAATGTAGTTATAAAAGATGTTACTGAGTTATCTGTCTCTACACACCTCCCAGGTACAGTGTAGTGAGTCAGCCTGTAATTTCCCCTTTGTTGTGTCCTTCAACGAACACCTTTATATGAGATAATTCATCTTTAAGATAAAGTGCAGAAAGAGGCTCCAAGATGAAGGCCGCGAATGACTTTTAAAGCATCACCTACTATTCGTAGAACAAGGGAAAATATAAAAAGGGACTGGCTGGAAAAGGGGCTGAATCATTTAGTCCAGCTTCAAAAAGCCAAAACAAATCTCTTTGCCCTGGATCCTGCAACCTCTGTCTTGTAATTCTTCAACTGATTACAAATGTTAATGATAAAATCTCAATGGAAGCAAAAATTAACCTAGTCTACTAATCTAAATAATTCCTTACATACATTTTGGAGTGGAATACGAATTTAAAAATGGTGCATCTGTTTAGCATTCAGACTGCTCACTATGTTTAAACTAAGAGCTACTAAATGAAGAGTTCATCACTGTTAGTTAATGTTTTAACAAGATAAACAACCCTAGGTAAGGTTGTATTTAAGATACAAACAATTGTGTCTGATATATTTAACCACTGTTATAATGCAGGTTCAAGTAAATGTTTTTTTTTACACTGGAATTTAATTATTCATTCTAAGGAGACAATGTTTTATTTCTTCTCACTTGACATCTTGGCTGTCATCTATCATCTATTGCTCCTTTGACAGGCCTGATTTTGAGGTTGCTCTTTTGGTGTATATTATTTGTTATTGCTTTAAATCTTGCATGAAAACATTAAATGATGTCATGAGTCAAAAAAAACAATACATTGGGCAAACTGGACAAAATATATAATTTTCCCTTTTTTCTGACCTCACTTTTCCTCTTAAGTTTCAGACCATCACGAATAAGCACTGGTTTGTATTTAAGGAGGAAATTATTTGTATTTACTCCCACTCCTAGTTCCCAAAAACTGTTGTAGCCTACACTCTAAAACTTAAGAGAGAATTGGAATCTAAAAACTATTTAAACTAGGCCAACAAGGTTGCAGTTCTGTCGGACAAAAGGGGAAATATCTTCTTTCAAAACTATGTGGAGTCAAATTGTATGTAACCAGTTAAAAATAAATATATTTTTTTACGGAAATCTTGAAAAATTTAAGTGATTAAGGTTTGGGGGGGGGGGGAGTATTTAGGGCTTTGTTGTATGGGTATTAAATGGTGTTGCTATGCTGATTTAGACTGTGTTTTTATGTGAAGGAGAATGAGTGAGTGTGTTTAAAAGGGATCAAGTTGGGTGGGGTGCACAAGATTGTATTACACAATGCCAAATCTGCCCTGAGGGGGTCTGCCATGGTTTTGTGTGCCTTCCATCTCTCTTCCCCCTTCCTGCTCTCTCCATTCTTCACTTTTTCAGCCTGTTGAAAAAAAAAAGGGCTATCCTCTCAGATAATGTGTTTAGTGTGTCTGAGTGACAATAGCTTCTTTGCTATAGCATGTGTGTGTATGTGGGAAACAGAGGTAATCACTGAGGACGGTGTGAGGGAGTTCCCACAGTTTCGCCTCCAGCCAAATTCTGTCATCAGACAACTCCACCTGTGTGTTTGTGTTCCTGCATTTCACACACCCTCTATAAGTACAGAGACTCAGTAATTGCACGACAAAGTTAAATGAAATAAAAACAGGTCAAAGAGTGAAATCAAACAGGTGAAGGATGGCAGACTTCACGTTATGTTTATTGTTCTTGTTTTTTTGTTGTTGTTTTTTTTCAGCATGGCCATAGCAGGATGTCCTGAGCAGCAGGAAGTCCTACAGTATGACATGTTTACAGCAACTTTGGAGGTCACAAACAACAATTCACAAGATATATGTCAGAGGTGGCTTCATTACCTTTCCTTTTCAACTGTCCCTCTAATCTGAAGATGATTTAATTTATAAGACAAATGACAAAGGGATTTCTACAGGGAGCATGTTTACCTCGCTGCATTAATCCAGCATAGATGGTAGAGAGAAGGCAAGAGAAGTGTGATGGACATGTAAGACTCTGTGGAGCAAAATGTGTAATAAAATCTTTTAGAAACCCCCTTTGGCTGCTCAGATTCACTCAGTTAACTTTGAGCTTGTGACACGAGTCCTCTTAATGATGGTAACTCTGGTCAGGTTACAAAGAGCCAGGACGGTCCTCTGTTCAGATGTTGGTCGAAAACAAAAGGCAAGACAACACTGGCATTACACAACATGTACACATGACATATAAAGGAGGGAAAGTAGGGGTAGGTGTGAGATGTCACATTTTTGTAAGTGAAACCTGATGCGAGGATTAGACTACTGACAAACTCACAGTGTAACAAAGATACTGCTATGATATACATTAGTAGTCTTGTTTATTAACAGTGCATTGATATTTGGCATACTGTAAACATCTTAAAGTTTAACTACTTACTTCATCATGCACTAAAGCTTCCAATACAATCACTGTATACTGTATCAAATGTATATAAACACAGTGTTTTGCATTAACAGATTTAAGTATAAAGACGCATCGACACAGCTATGCATAATACTCACTTTTATCTCTTTCACACTAAAACACACTCACACACACGTTCTCTCTTCACAGACTTAAGAAAAGAAGCTTAAGGAAAGGTTTGCGCTCAGATTCTAAGTCATTCTTCTCTAGTTTGGCTAGAAAATATATCATATTAATCACAATATCATAACATGTTTAAAAAATCTCTATAAAGCTTTTAAAATACAGACTGTGCAATATAAGACAAAACAGCTATGTTTGGCTATAAGGCCACAATGATTTCGTTACAAAATAGATTAATTTCTGTTCTTAAAGATATAAATATCACATCTAAAAGACTACTTTTCAAAAGCCTAAAAAAACATTAAAAGTCACTGACGTTTGCCAAATTGTCACATGACCTTTATGTATTTCCATCTCTACAGCAGGTTCAGGTCCAGGTACTGCCCGGCCGGCTTGGTCATGAGAGCGGGGAGGGACATGAGAGGAGCATCACCTCTGCTGGACTGACTGATCAGACTGCTGTTCAGGAGAGAAATGGACTCCGCGGGACTCTGGAGTGGGTGGGTGGGGGTTGGAGAAAGGAAAGAAAAAGGAGACAGATGAGTATTATCCTGGTGTAAAAGCGTGAAACACAGAGCCCTAATACCAGCACCAGATGTTACCCATCACCTTCTCAACCACCTGAAGGTATTTATCTGTTATTACCCATCTATTATTACTACCACAACAGCAACTGACTGTTAGCTTAGCCCTCCAGCCCAATAGCTACTGGTGCTATGCCTGTCAAGCTTTTTGTTCTTACACAGCACGTGGGTTCAAGAAAGTTGACGAAAAAATTCACCAATGTCCACACTCTTAGATACAGATTGCAGCTAATCTAAGAGAGCAATTCACAATGTTTTGGAATTTGAAGAAATACAAAGCTTGACAGGCCTGCTGTACCTTATTTCAGTTGCTTAGCTTGCATTAGACAATCGCTTTTTAAAGGCCGGCTAAAGCAAATGCTCTATAAGCCCTGTTTTTTTAATGTCTAAATAACATATTGATAGCACAGAAATGTTGTTAAAGTGTGTGTCCATAAATGGGTCTTATTCTGTCTGTGAAAGAAAAGAACACCATATCTTAAATCATTCAGTAAATCCAGCCATAATTAAAATAAAAGAAATAACCCAATCATCAAATGTGCCCATTCTTGTAATTTGTGTGCGTGTGTGAATAGGAAATGCCTTGCATTGGCCCATATTCCCCAGTGGGATGATCAAAGACCCAAAACCAGTGCTATAGCCCCTTTCCAAACTAAATCCCCCTCACAGAGCCCTCAGCCAATCCTTACCTGCCACCTGCCTCAGACACCTTAAATACACACCCATTCTTTGGGATGCGTAAGCAATGTCCCGGTCGGGTCGTGAGCATGCACAGGCCCGTGAGCGTGCATGAGAGCATCCTCGGGGGCATACTGTTGTGTGAGGAAGGGGGAGGAACAACAGAAACAGGGGGCTGAGAGATAATCAACCTTAGACACTACCCTAGAGGCTTCATGAGCCTGAAACTCCAGCATGGTGGTAAAAGCAGACTTGCAACTTCTTAGTTCACGTTTGTCTCCTAGTTTTGTTACATTTATCATATCCATTTGAGTCTTAACTGTCCTCCAAGTTTAATTTAGTCTTGAGTTCCTCCATTTCAAGTCTAAGCAAGCAGTAGAGCATGTGTGACAGAACAGGCAGACTAGACAGGATAAACTTGTTTGATGGCCTCTGGGCAAACACAGTGGATACCTGACGATACACACCCATAACAGGAGGAGATTTGAATATAACTCTTAGTGCTACAGAGAGATATGTGAACTCTGGAGGCTTGCACTTGTGAATGAGAACTGTACTAATAATCGGTGAAGAATATACAGCTCTTACCTGGTAACCCTGCATTGTGTTAATGAGGTCCTTGACTCCGGCGCTGCCGTAGGTCAGACTTGGCATGCGCACCAACCCCCCTGGGGTGGAGAGGGAGGAGGGGGAGGGGTAGAAACCTAAGGTGGTAGGTGAGCCAGGTGGGCTGCAGAAAGGAAAAAAAACATCAACAGTATGTTATTGTGAAAATATCAGACACACAAAAAAGGACAACTTAATGACTATGCTGCATGTTTCTCAATAAACCAAGCAAAGGCATAATGCACAGAAGTGGGAATAACCTAAAGGCATTTTCTTAATGACAGAGGTCTCAGAAGGTGTACCCAGAGGTCAACAATGTTTATCTAGTCCTCTGATACCACAACGATCAGCTATTAACTAACCTTGTAACAACCTTTCTCCTGCGCAAGACCATGCAAAGTGTACCACTTTTTTCCACTTTAAACAAAAGTATTTTTTTTGTTGATCAGCATGCAATACAATAAACAATAAAAACAGTTGTATAGCAAACTAAATACATAAAAAGAAACACAACCCTTGAGTGTTTTTAAGGCAGTCTAAATGATGTAAATTGCACACATAGAATTAGAAAAAATACTCTTTAGGGCTATTTTACAAGAGAAAATTTGAATTGTTCACAAAACAGAGTTTGCGGCAAAAGTGTGAGTGTTGTGATGATCCACTCATCACATAATTAGATCCTTTGAAAAAAATGCTGACTTGTTTAGCTGTATTCCTGTTGTTCAAGCCAACGTTATAATAACTATGTAAACAGATGCCGAAGAAAAGCAAACATGTAAACAACACTGCTTTAGTTTTCTTATTCACTTGCACAGCAGCACAAAGTTAACCTGCAAGAGTGATTCATTGTATGTACCATGTGCTGTAAATGTAAAGAACCATCACATCTAAACTATTTATGGACATGCACTTAGAGATTTCATGCTGAGACAGATGTTGGTAAGCTGTACATTTTGTATTCCTTCTTTTTTTGTCTTCATACAATAATTGGGTGGATAATCTACAATATCCCAATCACAACTAATCTGAGGACTGATGAGTATTAGTTGATTAGTCCAGAAAATTTAAATAAAGGCCTGTATTTCAATGCCAGCATGTGTCCCTCTTTCTGTTCATGGGAAAGCATGAGTGTGTACCTGGGATAGTAGGCTGTGTAGTTCATGTATAACTGAGCTGAAGCGGGGTAGTAGGCATGTCCTGTATGCATAGGGCGCGGGGTCAGCAGCATCTGACCCATGGGAGGATAGAGTGCAGCAGCAGCCTCTGTGGTCAGGACAGGATGAGCAGGGGCGAAGGAGTAGGAGGGCGGAGATAAGCCTAAAGGAGAGGATAGAAGAGGAAACATCATATTTAATAACTAATAATAATAATAATAACAGAAATGTAAATAGATATGACGGTGAAGACTGGTCATTGTTTGTCTGTGAGAGAGGCAATCGTACAAACAATGTCCATCATCCTACACTGACACATGTACAGTGTGTATGGGTTACATCGAGAAAGTTTCTCTATGTGGGATACGTTGCACTGACTGATTGAGTTTTTTGGTGAAACCATTCCTTCAGTCATTCATAAATTATGTCATTATCCCTGCAAGCTTACTCCCTATAATGCAACAAATGTTTAGTTGAAATATAAGTTAATAAACTTTGTGTATTTGTGCATTCCAGAAGAATTGACTTTTTATATCTAATTTCCCAAAAGAAAGCTCACACCAAACTGACAGCTAAATACATTGATACATCTATTCATCCAATATAATCAAAATAATAGACTTTATTAAAATCCCAAAAGGAGTTGTAGGTGTATTCTGATGGATAGAAAAGGTTTGTGATGTCAGACTTCATTGATACAGATACACTCACTAAGTGCATTCATCGTTGGCCTATCAATTGTTTTTGGAGTGTCAGCTGACCATTTACCAACCCCCAAAACCTGTTTTCTGGCGAAAAGCTCAAAGTGTTATCTTATTTCCTCTGTTTATACATTTGTTTTTTCCCAAAAGAAGAAACATCATTATCATCTTATCACAGTGTAATATGTGTCTAGCCTTAAACCTTCTAATGTAAACATCTGCATCTCATGTCAGTGATTTAAAAATATTTAGTCCTCTTTCTTTTACCTCTCTATCAAAACTAGGGGATGGCCAGTGCACATTTACAGTGAGGGAGACAGAGAGAAAAAAAAAAGCACATTTCTACACACCAGCTCTGCCCACCTCTCCCACAGCTTTGCTGATTGGACAAGCACAAGGGACGCACACACCAGAGGTGTTTCGTTCTATTAAGGCTAAATCCCACAACCACACACTATCAATCAGATAAGACTGAAGAGATGTAAGCCAGTATTTATTATTATGGACTAACTGCTTTGCTCACATTTATTCAACCCTTTCAGATTTAGCTAAAGAAGATGTAAGGGAGTAAAATTAAAAATGAGTAACAAACATGCGACTGAAGAAGTTGTACTATAATCAGGATGTGTGAACACAGGTGAAAAGGTGGATTAAACAATGAACTTGTGAGGTTTTTCTGTGCATGCAGATGGGTAATTTAATCAAACTTAATCACAAAGGAGGTACCACACACATCAAACACGAAAGTTTTGACTCCTCCTGGTTATGTCCCCGACCTCGCAAACTACAAGATTGTAGAAAAACCCAGCAAACCCCGCCCCTGAACGGCAGGAGCCCACCTACCCGGCAGTCCCAAAGCACCCCCAGCTCCCAGCAGGACTTACGTCTGGACTTACATGGCGGCGGGCTGAGCCCTGTCCCACTCCTACTCCTGGTGTGTGTGAGTGTATGTGTGTGTGAGAGTGAGCCTCCCATCAGCACCAGGCCCATCTCCTCAGCACTGCAGGGGAACACCTCCACATAGCGGCTGTTGGCGCGTTGGCTGGACATCATATGCTTGTGGAGCCGCTGTGAGGCCTGAAGTGCTCGCTCTGCTGAGGTCATTTGGATGAAGCAGTCACCTGATGGGCGACCCTGAAAACAGAGACAGTGAGATGTTACTCTTCTGCACTGTGACAGGAAACATGTTTATTCAACTTTTTCACAAGGCTGTTAATCAAAGGTTTGTGGATCATGTCCACTTCTTAATCGGTAGACAACAAAGAGAAAATAAAATCACATCGGAAATCACATTGGAAATCTGGCCATAATTCAAGGTAAAACAGCATATTTTATAACTTTATAACCTGTGGCTAACATAAGCTGGCAACAAAAACAGCTTATGTTAGCATTTAACTCATTTTCTAGTGGATATAATTGCTCACCAGCTAACATTACCTTGAGCTAGGAACATATGTCTGTCATATCATATCCTGTAACAATATCAAACAGTAAAGTTAACTTGGAAGTGTACGAATGCCACATTTAAATTATTGTCTAACAAAAGCGAGTGAGTTTTCAAAAATATGAATATGGCGAAGGGTGTGTCTGCACTGTGGTTGCATGTACCTGCTGGTTAAGGACCATGTGCACACCATGTGGTCTGATATCATGTGTAAACTCGCCCAGGAAGGTGAGGATGTCCTCTATGCTCGCTGTGTATGGCAGCCCCCTCAGCCTCAAACAGTCCCTTAAACCACCAGGAGGGGGCAGAAGAGGGACTGAGGGCAACATGGACACCAGGGGGGCAGGGGCCACAGAGATCAGAGGGGCTGATGAGTACCTGTTCAACACCTAAAACACACACAGTCTTAGATTTTTGCAAAATAAAAATTAAAAAAATGCATAAAAGAATACACTCAAACCGCAAATGAAATACAATTCAATTAACATTTATAATTCAAAGCTCAAAAAAGTGTTTACCCACTAAAACACAACCAGTACAGGCCAAGTTTTAGCAGCCAATCTGTGTACAAATATTAAATATGTGTTGCAATGGTAGATAGAGGCTTGTTTGCATTTCTGGAGAGCACCAATAAACCCCTTTAGTTGGATATACACGAGTGTCCAAGGAAAAGTGTCTGCACAGACATGTATGAGGGCTGTTAGCTTATCAGTCAGCTAAGATAAGAAAATAAGTCAACATGTGTTCATCCCACAGGAGAGGGAGAGAGAGCAACAAGAGGGACAGAGAGCCCAGTAATGCTTCACAGTGTTTGTGTGTACCTACATACTTAAGGGTAACACATACAAACACACAGTCCATCTTTTCATGCAGGTCCCCACCCAAAAGCCCTTCTGCAATAATTTCAACTAACATGGGACAAAAGGAACACACCCACACAATGTCACACTCTGCTGTGTGCAAACAAAGAAACACTACATTCCTTAAAGCCTCTTTTAGAAGACATAAGAGGATTACAAGACTACAAATAAATTCAACATAAGGGGAATAATAAAGAAGACTTCCTCGTTCCTATAAGTTGAAAACAAACACACATATCCACATTGTACAATAAGAACTGCAGACAGAAATGACAAACACATGCAGATCAGGTGGACAGCCTGACGTACCTGTTGGACCTCTGCTGCTGTGCTTTTAAACAGCTCGATATATCTCCTCCCCAGGATTTCTTTGTGTTTCCTCAGAGCACACTGGGCGTGCTCCTCACAGGCAAATAAAACAAAGGCGTCGCCAGTGGGACGCCCATCAGGATAGCGCACAAATAGGATGCCGTCTTTCTCTCCACTGACTGGACAAGTCTCTTTAATCCCCTCCTCCGGGGAGAAAAAGTTGAGCACCTGCTCGTGTGTGGCTGTGAAAGGAAGCCCTCGCATCCTCACTATGATCTGGTCCTCACGCGACAAGAACATGGCTACCTCATTGGAGGTACCTGGAGGACACAAACACAAATTTGAGCACAAGAAAATGACTAAGAATGATCACACTGACATCAACACAAATCAGTTTTCCTACCTTTAAGCCCTTTTCATGATTATGCTGATTATCATCAGCACCACTAACTAAAAGGTTTATTTCTCCTTACTTTCAGTAACAGCTGTGATACCATTAATGACAATTCTACAACTGAAAATTTGTCCATAACCATTAAAGACTGTGCTTATAAAAGGTTTAAGTCAAAATGTTTACATATATCTTTATGGTGATTCAACTTTTTCAGATCCCCCCCCAACAAAATATAAATAGGAAGACACACAACAGCAGAATATTTGGTTTTGTCACCAGATAATCATTCATACTGTTGGTTAATGTTCAGCACCACCAGAGATTATGGACTAAATTAGGTCTTTTCCATCAGAAAACACCAAACATTATCCTATAACTACATATGTTACCCCTGGCAAGTTAAAATATAGCACAATACTCATTGATCTATCTTCTCACCTCCTGCTATCTTCAGGAAGTCCTCCCCTGTTGCTTTATAAACCTGTTATTAGAAGAGAATGAAGCAGAAATTAAGAAAAAAGAAAATACAGAAAGGATAACATTATGTGTATAAATGTGGCTGGTTCATTTAATCAGCACCATCTAACTGAGTTCCCAGGTTACCTCTATATATCTGCTGCCCATATGGTGTTTGTGTCTCTTCAGCGCCAGATCTCTGTGTTCCTCACTGATGAAACGAACAAGAGCTTCTCCATTCCTCCTCCCCTGAGCATTTAGACACAATGCAGCCCCTCCTCTAAACAACACAACATACAGAGCATTATAGAGGCAGTACATCTTTTGTCAACAGCACATTTCACAATCAGCTTTATTGGCCTTGTAGTCTTACACATACAAGACATTTGACTATAAAAAAGAAATCTTCTCTTTATGTACAAAAGTACAACATTAATATTAACAATAAACAAATAAACAAAGACTTGTATGTTCAAGACTAAACAAGACAATGGCACAGAAGTGAAGAGTGAAAAAGATGCTGAAATAACATGATAATAAATGATGTAATTAGGTACCAGATGGGTTAATTTACATGAGGAAGGATTTTTTTAACAGTATTTACATTAAGGCAGTGTGCATAGATTCATGTCAGATAAGGAGGATAACAACATCTACAAGATCAAGTAATGACCATAAAATGTGATCATTGATCTTATTTACATTCACAGTTTTGTTACAGGGTTATTTCACAGTGACAGATCTGATGCTCTGTGCCTGTTTAGTGTTCATTTCAGTATTTGACGTTGACAAATCAAATGCCTTTAATATAACTTCAACGTACTTGGCAATGTTAAGTCCCCTGAAGAAGCGAGCAATGTCCTGGTCAGAGGACTGCCATGGCAACCCCCTGGCTCTGATCACTGTGTTGTCGCACACTTTCTCCATCTTACTGCTGCACATACATACACACACACACACTGACATTAGCACAGAAGGAGTGGACTTGCGGGTGATTACTGAGGAAGAATACAGAAAGAATATTTATCTTGAGCAAACTTTACTTACCAAGTGCCTGTCTCAAACTTCTCACTGACTCTCTCCTGGCAAGAAAATGTGTGGCCTTTGATGAGGAAGAAAGAGAAGTTATGAGATAGTTAATTAATAAAATTGTCTCCAAACTAAAAAGGACGATATTTTGTTATCATCACAATAATGGTTTTAGTCTTGAGGTTAAATGCAGAATATATTTTGTATGTATGAAATGAGTTTTCTGTTATAGAATTTGACATTAGGGTAAAAACTGAAATTTTGTCACTGTAGATTAATATATCAATAATAATCTTGATTGTTTAAACTATGATTCAGAAACATTAGAAAGAAATGGCTATTTAGCCTTACACTTTGCCCACGATGAAAGTTACCTATTCAGATGTTTTTATTATGTTGAATCAATTTCTAAAACTAAAATTGTAAAATTAGACACAACAATGTTGTTGATAAATGTCTCTTTTAGTCCTTATTTCTTAAAAGTATCAATGTTCTTGAAAAGCACAAACTTAGTACAACTTTCCCCTTAAACTCTAAGGGGGCATATATCAATCTTAATAGCTTATTCTTGAATCTGTAACTTTGTCTTATTTTATAAAAAAACATATCTGATACTCACAATTTGGCTCAGAAAGCAGCGCAAGGACAATGCTGGTCATGGTCTGGACCTGCTGTACTGCTACCTCTGCAGGTAATACGGCTGAGGGGTCCGGTGATGATGAGGGGTCTGGTGTTGCTAAGGTTTCCATTGCGGTTGAGGGGTCCGGTGTGGCTGAGGGGTCCGGTGTGGCTGAGGGGTCCGGTGTGGCTGAGGGGTCCGGTGTGGCTGAGGGGTCCGTTGTGGCTGAGGGGTCCAACATAGCAGGAACATCCACAGGTATACTAAGAGCTGAGGAGGGGGGCCGTCAAAGAAAGCGAACAAGAAAGAGCCAAAAACAGCACAAAGGTGTGGTTCTATCTGTATGTTTCAGTTTGACTGATATAAACTAAGAAAATTGAATGTGTGTTTTTTTTTTTTTTTCAAAGTGCATTAAGCTAGTTGACAAACACACACACACAAGAGAAACTCAGATATTTTCGTTATCCTGTTGCAGAGGGAGTGTGGGGTTGGCCCTGTTGGCTAAACACATACTCGTTCCAAGAGCGCTAAGCAAGGTGATGCCATTGTTTCCCTATTTGCATTTCAAAACCTCTAGTCCTCCAGCCAACACCCCTAGGCTTATAACTTCTTGTATGTGTGCTGCATGTGCAAGATCAAGCTAAATACAAAAAAAATAACCTGTGTTGAACATGAAATCAATTACATGTCACAATGTAGTTTGCAGTCATTCACTGTCACACCAAATGTAAACAGTAGACGTTTGGAAGGATACCTTCTGCCATATCGTGTATATTCAGAGCCTTGAGGTCAGATGTGGGGAAGTGCTCCTTGAACTCTTTACGCAGGTCAAAGAAAGAGAAGAAACAGTCGGGGACCAGGATGTACTAGAGAAGGAAGAAATAAAATGAAAGGATGTGAACATGTGGCCCATTAGCAGCTGCCATTTTATTGCCGTCATATTGCTGTTTGCTTAAGCCCAGTAGTGTAGTCCTCTCTATGGAACACACACACACAGACATGTGTGAAAATGTCATCAGCTTTCATAGTGTGCTGCTGTTTTATGTGCACAGGTATGTATGTGGGTGTGTCTAATTAAACTGGTTTTCTTAAATAGCTAACTGCTGCAGATCAACTCTCAGCGTAGCATGAAGTTTGATCAGGAGCTGAGTGCTGACACATGACATCCCTTTGTGACTGTGTGAGCGCCTAAGGTTCCTGCATCAGCGAGGGAACATCCGCCCTGGCTGCAAGGCGTTCACTCAACCTGCTTGCTCACCTTGCTGGCAGCCTCAGGGTGAATCACTTGACGGATGTGAAGCTGCCCGTCTGTACACAAACACACCGACGTGCCTGTGCCCGTGCTGTTCACCTCATTAGTCAGTTGTAGATGAAACTAAGGAAAGAAATAAAATAATTCAAAATTTTGCCTTCATAATTTTCACAGCAGTAATAATAACATGTTACTTAAAAGCTAATATGCTTAATTATTTGGGCTATTACCTGGTTCAATGCTGCCTCAAGACTTGAGGCTGTAAAGACACTGTCGGCTCTGGATCCATGCTCCTCTTCCACGCTCTCTTCCACAACATCCTCCTCCTCGTCCTCTTTCTCCTGTGAGTCTGAGAGGTCAGGCTTAATAAGGAGCTCATTCACCTTGCCCAACTGGTTCAGAGAAGATGAAAAAAAAGAGACTTCAGTGTTGAGTCAGAAGTCTACAAAGAAATTAAAAGGCCAATAGAATAATGTAATAGCATAAAGAGCTTTAATGTAGACTTTTTAAAATGATCAGGTATAAACAACAAAAGATGGATTCTGTTAAAAAAAGATTTAATAATGACATCATTAATTCAAATGATAGGCAATATAGGCCTATATTTACATTAGATATGAAAGAAGAAACCTACAAAAACTCGATTTACACTTTATTTTAAATACGAATTTTCTAGCCTAGTTTTTGTTTTTCTATTTTCAACCCGAGTTTAGTTTACATGCCCTCTTCTTTCTTTACCTCTCTTCCCGGCTCCGATGTACACGGAACAATGTTCAGCTCTAATAAGTCGTCTAGTAATAGCCTACGTTTTGTTTTATTTTGTTGTTTTTACCTTTTTGTTCTTCACATCCACCAGCTGCCAAACCAACTGCACGAGCTCCTTCTCGTCAGATCCCAGCAGCTCTCCGCTCGCGCCAGATGTGGCGGTGAAAACCACCACCAGGTAGTCTACCTGCGCCGTCATCTGAACACAAACACAGCCCCCAAAAACTAATGTACTGATACTTTACTAAATCACAGGTCACTAACTGAAGATACGTCGGTGACGGGATACACGCGGGAGAGCAGTGAACACCTTTACTTTGACACCTGAGCGCAAAGGTGAGCTTTGTAAATCCAAGTTTCGACGCGCGAGAGATTGTACGTGAAACCTCGCGCAGTCACCATCGCGGAGTAATGGCTGAACGTTCCCCGTTTTTGTATTGCACCTACCTGTCTGACCACGTGACTCTCCACCTGCCTCCTCCCTCCTTCAGGTGCATTACCTATTAGGACGTGGCAGGCCGTGGATGACAGAAGTCGCATATTTGTTGATGTAAATCACTTTTAAAGGCTACTTTTTCTTTAGGCTATATGAGAACAGGTTACCTGTAATTACAGAATCAGCGCATAGACTCAGGAGGTTTTCCAATGGGCCCCGTAAGAGTTATATGATGGAGCTAGTATGAACGATCATTTTCAAAGATTTCTTGATAGATATCTATTTAAAAGTTATAGTATAAACACTTTGAATGGTCATTCTCATCAAAAGAAAGAAAAATAACTTTCCTTTAAAGATGCATGAATAAAATTGCAAGAACTGCACTTGTTAACTTAAAATTGTCTATTTATTTATTTATTAATATTTATATATATTTTGAAAACTATTGTTAGATTAAGATAATATATCTTACAGTTATACAAATATAAGCTCAAAGAAAAAAAAAATGACCCTCCACTTACTCATAACTTAGACTAAGTTAACTTTAGTCTGTATTAAATCCGTCAATTTCACGACAACAACAGTAATAGATTTTTAATTCTAACGATATTCTCAAACAGGTTAATTGCCAAGTAAGTTTTTATTTAGGCTACCAGACATCTGTTATTGGGTTATGCACATCACTAAATAGACCTATAGTAATAACAAACAAACAAACAAACAAACAAACAAACAAAGAAACAAAAAATACTTCATAAAGCCTTGATGTTTAAAAAACTTAATCAATTAAAAAAAAACATGCAGGGTATAATATATCTGAGGTTATATAGCTTATAATTTATTTAATTATTAAATCATATCGAATAAGTTAAGGTTAACATGATCTTTACTTTATTAACCAAGCAATTTCATTTGGATCAACGGTGATTTAACTGTATCTTCATCACATGATTACTAACTTATTGCAATTCTTATCCTACATTTAAATATTGTATGTTTATCGCATTATCGATTTATTCGCACAGCGCTCGATGACCTGCTCCGGAAGTACTCACCAACCCGGAAGTTTACCCCCGGCCTGACGGACAGTAAGAGCGATGGCGGGGGACACTTCGACGGAGCTTCTTTTTCTAGATACGTTTAAGCATCAAAATGCGGAGGTAATTCCCTGAAGCCTCAGCCTTCTGTGTTTACGCCAGAGTTGTCAGCACGATGTATAATTCTTTAATATGTTACATTTAAGAATTATGGAGAAAAGAAGCTGAACTTCCAGGCTAACGAAGTCACCGAGGCTAACATTAGCATGGTTCTTATAATAACCTTATATTTCACAGCTTTTATCGTATAACACACCTGCACAGTTGTATACTTGATTGTACAAAACACTCTTAAATAGAATATAAATAAGTATTTCAAGTAACACAGTTGTTTTCTTTTGCTTCCTCGCGTTGTTTGTTTGTTTGTTTGTTAGTTAGCCGCCAAGTTGCTAATGCTAACTGTGCAGCTCACCCCGGCTCATGTTTGTCTTCACGTCAGCTGCAGATGTGGCTGTTCTCGTCACATGTGTCGGGTGTGTTCAGGTGAAACGTTGTTATTCTGAACATCTGCATTAATCTATGATGTATGTGCACCCCCAGTTAACCAACGTGGATGTGGTGAGGTTTCCCTGCGGGGTGCTGATCACAGAGGTGAGGGTCATTCCTCCAGGGATCAAAGCTCACAGCAACCTACCTGACAACAGAGCTTTTGGGTAAGGACACTTTCACACACTCATGGACACATTTCACATAATAAGTTAAACCCACATGATGACGGTGCAGATGAGTGAAGCCATCCTGGTACACATTTAGAAGTGTTGGTTGCTGTGATGTTGTTGGTAAACAACAGGTAGGTAAACTGAGAGATGTTTCTTTTAAAATATATATAATAAGGAAATAATGTATAGGAAAAATGTCTACTACTATATATGTGTAATTTGTTGCCATGAAAGCCTTTTAAGTATTTGGTGGGTCAAAGCAAACTCTTATTTATATTGTGTAGGGATGAATCAAACTGACTATGTTGGATCTATAGAAGAGAATAGAATTACTTTATTGATTTTAAACTGGGAAATTGTGGCGTTACAGCAGCAGGTTATCCAAACACACAATATGAGTAAAAAAAAACACAATCTGTTGAAGTTGATACATCATTTTAGGCAGATCAAAAAAAAAAAAATACCCGTAATTATTAAACTTAATGTTTCAGCCAATGTTTAGTGGTTACATTACAGTTTTTCCCCCTAGGTTTACAGCGTTGGGGGGGTGGGGACAAGCTGACACGACGACACGACGACACAAACACTTGAAGGAATCTTGGTGTTCATGTGTTACTTTTAATGAGAGCTGTCCTTTTCTATTGGAAAGATATCCTTAAATGACTTCTTTCCCTGATTTCCGACTCTGTCCACAATCCTATCTCTACAATAAAGGCCCAAAAAGCCCAAAAATAAATCTTAAAAAAAAATAAAATATATATATATATATATATATATATATTTCTTTTTTAACTTGACCTTCAGGGGGACGTTGGTCGGGGAAACACTGCATTAAATAATTTCTGACAGGTATCAGATCATTTCAAAAAAATTTCAGATAGTTGTCCTTTGTTGGAAAGTCGATACTTGATGATACTACATCAACTCTGGATAACTTTACCACAGACACCTGACATGTATGTGTGTGAAGGTTGTTTGACACCAGAGCTCCATTGTTGTTTTGGATATGAGTCCAGGAGGCATGTTAACACTAGGACTAAAGTTACAGCGCCTGAGAGACTGTAGTGTGTTGTGTAATTTCAATGAAGGAATGGGCTTAAGGTTAAACAACACACAAACCTGAGCACGCCATGCGCTCTATGTAGTGTATACATGTACAAGTTTAAGTAAATCCTCCTATCAAGTTATTTGACATTTTATCAGGCAGCATTCATAAACTGCGGGAAATCAGCAGAGAAACTGTTTGTGGGATTGTGTCCTTTTTGGTTAATTAATCAAATGATTTGAAAAAAATCACTAATCAAATGTATTATTAGGACCTCTGATTAATTGATGCAAAAATACAGTTTGACCAACCAACAGTTATGCTCATTTGTTTTCCACATTACTTACATTGATCTGATACAATCAGTTTGTTTAAGCATTATTTACTACAGTATAGATCATGATATGGAAAAAGTCTCTTACACTCTCTACATACTTTGCCATACCTAACACTGCACTTTTGATGCCTAAAATGACATATTTAAGTGATTGATAATGTTGCAGCAGTGAGGTTACAGTTAAAACTGCTGTTATTCTTAAACGATTTTACCAGCGTACCTTATTAGATTGCCACCAAGAGTAAACTGTCATATTGCAAAGGCATTTGGTGATGTATAACTCCATATATGCGAAGGAGCCTTCTGCACACATGGACTAAAACAGATAATCACTAACTCTATATATATATATATATATATATATATGTGTGTGTGTGTTTTTGTTTTTCTAGGGAGACGTCTCCTCATGCCTTCCAGTTGGAGCTGTTCTTCAACAATGTCACCAAACCCAATAACCCAACGTTCCACCGACTGGGCAGGTCAGGATCATTTTTTCAAAACTCTTTTAAGATGCTGATATCTGTCTCACCTGTAGAACCCGTCACAGCAGCATCTGAGCCCTGGTCGGCTGCACCCTACCTTATTCAGGTCTCTTTGTCCTATGCTGGTTAACCGGTCTCTCCAGAAACTGAGCCCCACCCAACTTACCCCAAGTGACACAAAAACTAAGAAGACCAGCAGTTAAATGATTGAGTCACTGTTTTGCACCAGAGCATAATGTTCTATTTAAAGGTGTGCAATGTGTAAGAGTTTTGGAAAACTGTAAATATGACACACCCAGGTTATTATCTCTGCTGGGAATGTCAGTAGTTGTTTTTCAAAGCATTCATGATGCTCTTTAGGTATCTTACAAATGTCAAAAACTAATTTGATTGAACTATTTCCAAACAAATAGCCCAATGATCCATATGTGATAAAAACCCTAGTGATCAAAATACAACCAGCATGTTGCTGTGTATTTGACAAAATGCGTTTTTCACTACATCTTGCATTTCTGTGACAGAACACATGATTTTAGGAGTGCAGACTTGTTACAGAGATAAAAATTGGAGCCTGCTATATCACAGTTATGTTTTGTTTGATTTTGGCCATCTTCTCTCAACCTTGTTGTTTTGTTCGTACTTATTGTCGTTTTTCTAAATTTAATATACATTTTTTTCCTTTATTGGAGCGACTGGACAGTGGATAGAGTTGGAAATCAGGGAGAGGGAAATTGGGTAATGACATGCAGGAAAGGAGCCACAGGTCAGATTTGAACCTGGGCCACCTGCTTTGAGGACTACAGTGTCTTTACATGGGGCACGAGAAAACTAACCCCTAGGATCCACTTTAGCATACTAGCCTTTTATGTGTATTTGCACTGATACGAAAATCTGGCAGATCTGAGACATCATGATGAGCAACCGTTTGTTCACTTTTTTTTGACGGCTTTGAATTACTGTTTTACCTGGTCGCACCTCCTGACAATATTAGTTGTAATGACAGGATAAATGCTGAATAAATCGTTAGGAATATTATAATCTTCGAAATTGTAGTGCAAGAAACAGAAGGGTACCAGGTGTACCACATTATTAAGCTAATATTAAGAAAACCAACTTAAAGATGACCGCCGTCTTAACTGATTTAAATGTGGAAACTTGGTAATCAGAATTTTGTATGACTTGACTTGCTTGATTCTCACTGCAGTGACTTGCAACTTGCTTCAGACCTGAAGGTTGAGACTTGCTTGTGACTTGTACATGTGTGACTTCTGCAATCTGCCTTGTCTCATATTCTTCCCTTAGCCTGGAGTATGATGAGAACAAGTCCATCGTGTTCAGACCCAGTGGAAAGGTAAAGGAGCTTCTAGGGACAACATTATTTATATTCTTTCTCTTCCCTTCTTTTGAATGTTGATATTGAATCGAATCTCAATCTTTTTGTGTGTGCAGGTGAACACAGACGGCCTGGTGTTGCGTGGCTGGTACACCAGTCTGACAGTAGCAGTGTACGGGACAGCAGAGCGCTCACATGGACACGACCAAGGCTCACCCCCTCCTCCTCCACCCCCACCTCCTCAACAGCCAGGTGGGCCAAAGAGGCTCATTAAACAAGGTGGGCATCATTCAAAATTAACAATAGTGCTGTCACATTCACTTCCAGCCCCTGAAACTGAAACATCAAATGAACAGGTTACTTCTTATTCTCTCATCTGTTTCTTTACCATCAATCTATTGTACTGGGTTTCTTATTTTAGAGTGGGAAAAAGAGGACCAGTACAATGGAAGCCCACCTAGACCAGCACCCAGAGGGCCTCGAACTCCTCCTGGGCCTCCACCTCCAGATGATGATGATGAAGAGCAGGTCCAAGTGACGGGTAAGCAATGTGATTCTTCTGGATTAATCTGCAATTCCAGATGTTTTTCCTGGGGAGGTGACACACTCTCTTGCTTGCTCTTTCTTTCTCCCTCATGGGTATGATAAAGTTGCAGTGGTTATGAGGAGGCTGTGTCTGTCACTGAAACTTTCACATTATGTTCACTTAGATGGGTAACATAGAGTAAGTCAGTCTCTGCAGGCTGATTATCAAAATGTTCTGAGATTGGGGGGAGGGGGGGAATTGGCTGCCTGCCATGTTGTAACATACATGAGTAGCTCATGTAATTAGAATATCTTGAAAAGGTCTTTTTTCCTAATTAAAGTCAAAGTGAAATTTTCATTAATTCTACATTCTTTAGACATAAAGGGAAATATTGCAATCCTTTATTTATTTTGATCCTGATGATTACGGCCTTCAGCTCATGAAAATCAATAATCCAGGATCTCAAAATATTAGAATATGACATAGGACCAATTAAAGAAAGGATATTACAGAAAGGTCACCCCTTGTAAAAGAGTGTCACTGCATCAATGTGGCGTGGCATGGAGGAAATCAGCAAGTGGCACTCCTGAGTTGTTATGGAGGCCCAGGTTGCTTTGATAGTAGCCTTCAGCTCATCTGTGTTGTTGGTTCAGGTGTCTCTCACCTTCCTCTGGAAAATGCTCCATAGCTTCTCTAGCTGCTCCTGTATATATTTTGCTTATCGTGAGTATTAACTTTAAACATGATGAAACATGCAAATCATCAGTATGATCCATATAAACCTATGAATGTGTTGTTAGCTTTAATACATGTGTCTCATGATGATATTTACTGAGTTTTGCCCTCCATCCACAGTGGGTGTGAACAAAGAAGAGCCATGCCAGGGCAGAGATGATTACCTGGAGGCTGTCTCACCTGAGAGATCGCTGCCTGCTAATGAAGAATACTCAGATGCTGAACAAGAGGAAGAAGCTGAGGAGGAAGATGAGCCAGAGGAGGAGGAAGACGCACGGACCGAGGGGAGCGTCCCTGAAGATGAGGAGGAAGAAGAGGAAGATGAGGGTGAGGACGAGGAAGAGGAGATGGAGGAAGGTAGGGGAGTTATTTTGTGAGAGTAGGATAGTCTACAATCCCAAATGGATGCCAGGTCCTGACACCCCTTTGGTGCGACAAACTCATCAGATTTCCTCGGGGGCCACGGGAGCAGGGTCCATTTGGGACTGAGTGACAGTTGGAGTGTGTTTGCTGTGCTCTGGCATGCTGTCTCTATCTAAAACAGCTGGATGCTCCAACCTCTCGGCTAGCCTGCGTCAGGCTACTCTGAAGGCTTATGGTCAACCTTCATAAGCTGTCATGTGCAGGTGTGCCTCACACAGTGCTGTGGCTGATGCTTGAGCTCACATCCTGCATGTCAAACTAACCTGCATGTTTGGACTGATGCACCCATGTGTGAGTGGACCTTTTTAAAAAGAGCAAGGGTACATGAAGTAGCTGCTGGCCTCCTAGTTTTTATTCTTTTTTCACAGCCATACTAATGAATATTTGTTATATCTTAAGTGTCTGGTTCATTATAGATTAACTTTTGTGAAATTTCCCCTCTCTTTGCCTCCCCTTGTCCTTCAGGTGATGACGGCTATGAGCAGATCTCAAGCGATGAGGATGATCTTGACAATGGTAGCTTTAAGCTTCCCAGCTTTGACATGGACTACACTCCTGAGGACCTGGCATCTGTTCCACCTGTCCAGTATGACCCATATGAGCGAGAACTCAGACCCCTGCTCTACTTCACGCCCCCATACAAAACCCGCTTTGATACCCAGTTTGAAAAGGCCAGTGTAGAGGAACCCAGGGACGCAGGTGGAACAGAAGAACAAACAGATGGAGAGCCGACTGATGCTGTCTCTCAGCTGAAAGAGCTCCTAGCTGGCATTGGAGAGGACAGAGATCCTCGCTGGGTAACTGCTGTGGAAGAGGCTCCTGGACTTTTGGCCAAAGGCTTGGCTCTCTTAATTAAACAAGGGGAGCAAGAAATGGAGGGTCCTGTTGGGGTTTTAGCTCAATGGGCAATCCAGTCTCTCAATATGGAGATTGCGCTCACCCAACCAATTGCAATTAATCTCAGACAGTTGAAAGCTGGGGCCAAGCTGGCATCATGTCTAGCAGAATGTCCACAGGGCTTGACAGCCCTGCTGCGTGAAGGAGTCCTGGATGTGCTGCTGGAGCTGCTCCATGCAGACCATGTGTCCTCCACACTGAAGCTCAGTTTCCTGAGAGCTCTGGGTGCTCTGATCAGCACTCCTGCTGGTGTAGAGGCTTTTCTGCATGCAGGAGAGTCGGAGAAGAGTGGCTATCAGGTACTACAGTGTGAAAATCTAAGCTTCGTCGATACTTTTTTTTATTATTTACAGGAATCAAAGATTTAAACATGATAGAAAAATGATATAAACAGACCTTGATCTTAAAGACAATTCTTCATCTTGCAGTTGTGCTCAAACTGAAAAATATAATTATAAACAGAACGGTGCCTGTCACTTAACATCTGGTTGTTCAAGAGTCAAATCAAATCCCCTGCATAGATGAAGGACTCTTATTATCTCTTATTATTTCAGCATTGTGATGATTTGTATTTCCTTTTCATAACTGACACATAGCTTTTCATTCTCTAAAGCGCTTAGTCCAGCTGTTCCTGCGAGAAGAAACAGTCAGGGTCATAACTGCAGGCAACACCATACTGCAGAAAAGTCACATGTATGAGGTCCTCTTGGATCTGCAGAGAGCAGCAGCAGCGTGGAGTGAACCACAGCAGGTAGATACATTAAATAACTCAACATTTCAAAGTGTATTTGTTGCTTCCTCGAGTAAAAATGTATTTTTATTAATCATAACTGACTGTAATTCTCAGGAGGAGATGGAGGAAGCTGACAGCCCCATGGAGGAGGAGCCGTCACTAAGCCCCTCCCCTGTGAGTGAGGCAGAGCTCGACAGACTGGCGGGGGTTTTGGAAGAGTTGCATCACCTGCTAGAGACGGCCCCTAACTGCATGGTGCAGCCGCCCGGGAAAGCCTTTCCCACTTCTTCTAGGATAACAGGACCGCAGGAGAGGGATGACCCATACCCAACACTGTACAGGTTAACATCCAAACACCTATGACCTCACACCTCACCCATATCAGAAGCCCAGAAAAAGTTTGAATGTAGTGGTGACATAATTTCCCCATTTTTGCAGGTACATGCATGCATGCCGTTTTCTGGAGAGCACATCGGTGGTTTTGTCAGCAGCCGCAGCAGCTGGTCACCTTGGTGTCACCCAGTCAGTGAGAGACATCCTCCGCTTTCTGTCGCTCACCCAGCCAGGCCTACTGTTCCTCCTCGCCCAGCCTACTCCTTCAAATCTGCTCCTGCGCCTCCTGGCATCAATGGCAGAAACAGAGATTGAGGAAACAACCTTTACAGGGGGAGAGGGAAGTCTCATGGGACCAGGGTTTGGTGAAGAGGGCTTTGGCGTGTGGCTGATGCAGGCACTGCACGCCCTTCAGGGTGTCTCCGAGCTTATGAGCCACGTAGCCTCAGGAGGAGACGGGCTAGAGGAGGGTGACAACGCAGAGGTTCTGAGCATGCTCCATGGGCTCTACCTGATGACTTTCACACAGACCGGTCGCAGTGCTGTGGCCCATGTTCTCAGCATGGACAACCACCTGTCCTGTCTGGTTACCCTGCTGCAGCATCACAGCAGCAAGGACGGACAAGGGTACAGCTGTCTTCTCCTCGTTTCTTTTCAAAAACTGTTTATATTTGTTTCAAGCTGGGGTGCACTGATTTATTTTTTCTCTCCGTTGCTTGCAGTGAGACCAAAGCTCGCAAAACAGTGACCTATAACTACGCCTGTATGCTGGTTTTAGTGGTGGTGCAGAGTTCCAATGAACTGCGGATGATGGAACAATATGCCGCCCCACTACTCACCATAGCAAAGGCTGATGACACAAACGCTAAGCTACAGGGTAAATAGTTCAAATCTAGCATTCAAGTTATTAGCTTTACGTGTTTTCTTGTTGATCACTGATGTTTTGATGTTCTCTAATTTGTACTTCAGAGCTTAGCAAATGGCTGGAGCCTCTGGACAAACTGCGCTTTGAGATTGGTAGCATTCCCACCCTCATAGACTACATCAAACAGGTACAAATCCCTCTCTATATATACTCAGCTTTCATCTTCCTATATCACCTGGAGGCTGTCTTAATTAGTCTTTTGAATTCAGTGAGGATAAATCCCTGAAATTGGCAGTGTCTGGGCAGCAGCGCATGAGTTATCTCTGGATCAGAGTGCAGTTCAATCAAGATTTGTAGAACTTTTCAATATAATTTTAAAAAATGTTTCTGAGCAGTTATAACTGACCTTACGATAAGATTGGTCATCATAAAGGAGCAAATGTTATAGGGTTTCTAAGTCTTACCACAGCTAGATGTCATTTATCAAATGACACATTTTTCTTTCCATTTTCTTCCACTTTTGTATCTTAAAACCACCACAGATACAATATATATGCAGAGCTTCACCGACAAGTCTGAACTGATCAAATATGTACCTGCTCTGTAGCATGTTTCAGTCAAGGCTATATTTTCATTTAAGAGTGCATTATGTCACTGTAAACATTTTTGTCTTATCTTCTTTCAGAATGTGGAAAATGTGTTGACTGCTGATGGGACTGGACTGGTTACTGCTCTCAGGGTCCTTAATCACATTGCCTGCCCCCCAACTACTGCTGAGGGTAAAGACACCAACCACGATTCTGATATAGTTCAGCTCATAGACAACTCAATGCTTTATTAATGCTCATATTAACCTCTATTTTACTTGATTATTTTCTTTAGTATTTTATTGTCATATTGCCTTGTCGTCCTATTAACACATTAAATGTATGCTGTACTAAAAGTTGCTTATTTGCTGGTGCTTTTTTTTAAGGTCTGATGAACATCCAGGCTTTCAAAAGCAAATTCCCTTTAAAAAATATTTTAGATACTGCATTGTTTACATACATGTTTATTTTCCACCTCTTGCTGGCCAAAAGAACTTTAGTTCATGCACCAGTGAACCTGTCGATAAGATGATTAGTGAGAGATCATTTGCAGGAATGCAGTGTGCACAAGACAATCAGTACACACATAGATAACTGCAAATTCAAGCTACAAATTCGTAATACCTCCCCAGGCTATCTTCACGCCATTAAACTAGGTAATGTGTTCTGTAATGTTAATTGCAATGGGCACAGAAGAGGTTGCTGTTGTGGAACATTGGTCACATTTTTCACAAAGTCCACCTTCTTTCTACAGCTCAGCAGAGGGATCTCAAGTGGAGTCTTGCAGGGGTCCAGCTCTTCTCCGGTGAGGGTCTTGATACGTGTGTGCGTGTCCTACAGAAGCTGTGCAGCGTGCTGCTGCAGCCTTGGCGTGTGCACGGACACATGGGCCCCACGCCACAGCGTTGCATGATCCTCAGTATATGCATCAGTACACTGCGGTTGCTGCGCACCATGCTGATGGAGTTACTACGCGGAGGAGCTTTCCAATTCAGGGACACACGTGTTGCCAATGTGTTAGTGACACTCCACATGATAGTATGCTCCATCCCTGCATCTGGACGTCTAGACGGAGAGGAGACCAGAGTGCAGGCCCTAATTGTTGATGTATTGCTTACGTTTTCGCAGGGCGTCAATGAAGAGGTGTGTGAATTTCAAACTGTGCATTCATGTTTGTTAAGCAAAGTACTCTAATTTACAAAGTGTACCTAGTTGTTTTGTTCTGACTCAGTGCCTGTGTTTGGTGCAGGTGACTCATACAGAAGAGACTCTGGCCAGCAACACCTGGTCTCTGATGCTCAAGGAGGTTTTGGGATCACTGCTGAAAGCTCCTGAAGGTCTGTTCTCTGGTCTGACGTTGCTTTCAGAGCTCCTTCCTCTTCCGCTGCCAATGCAGAGCACTCAGGTAACTTATCACTGATCCCCAATCTGTCTTGTACTTCCTGCCCTCATCTGATGATGCTCTTGTTGGCATACACATTAATATGAATTTATGTCTCACTCAATAGGGGATTTCAGTCCAAGATGTGGCTGTAGCCTTAAACACAAGGAAGTTGTGGAGCATGCACATACGAGCACAGTGGAAAGTGTTTTCCGAGGCTTTTAGGTGTGCGTGTGCCACCAGCTGCCCTCCTCTCCTGGCCATGCTGAAGAGAATGTGTGTGCAGCTGGCTGATCTGTCTTCACCCAGCGCGACTCTCATCATGAAGACTCTGCTGGAACTGCTGCTGGAGGAGCTGCAGCCGTGAGTTAAAAACACATTCAGCTCCCATCCTTGCTGCATATGCTGTTGAAGGTGTTGTGTTTAAAGTGTATATAATGTGCTGAATGCAGGGTGGAGGGGAAAAGTGTTTGCTGGGGCCAGAGCCTGCGTCTGCTGTCTTTGTTGGATGCTCTGGTGTCGCAGAAAGCTTGTAAAAGCGCAGCACTGCACCTGCTGTCCGGCTCTGTGTCCGGAGATGAACAACTAGCTGACCTGTTCCCGCTGCTGCTGTCTTTGGCAGTCCCTCCAACTGATAACTCCTTACAACAGCAGCAATGCAGTGAACTAGTGGGGACAATATTACAATCACTCTGTGACCAGGTAGGCAGTATAGTGCACACAGCAGCAATAACACAAGTCAACTGACCCAACCAGAGAAAAGGTTAAAGCCTTAAATATGTATCTGCATCTTCTCCAGGACATTTCTCTGGTGGCTTCTCCGAACGTTGAGAGCTGTGTGTCAGAGGTCGAGCAGCTTGCTAATGCACTCCCAGGGAGAGAAATGATGTCGTCAGTGTGCAGCACCCTGATGGACATTTTGGGGAATTCTGACAGCAGTGTCCCGCTCCTACTCACCTGTATCAGGACTTTGACATTCCTCACTGAGCACGACTACGGACTCTACCACCTCAAAGTGTAAATGCTCACTCCTCGTTTCCCTACAAGTGTCCTTTTCTCAGTCAAACAAGACTTTGATGGTGCTTTTTCTTTGTTTCAGTGCTTTGAAGAAACATGGTGCCGGTCTTAGCTCATTGTTGAAGAGATTGGTGTTTAACTTCAATAAGGATTCAGCAGATCTGCTCTCAGCTCTGCTGGACTTCCTCAGGCAGATCGTCAACACAGACACAATGGTCAGTACCTTTTTTTTTTAGCTGATTAATGTTTAACATGACAGTAATGGTACCAAAAGTGTATATTTTTAGTAAGTTGTAAAAGTTATTGTTTTTGTATTGCTCTTTGTTTGAAGCTTATTTCAAGTGTAATGCTTGCAACAAAATATAATATGATCATTTTCTTTTTGAATCTGTCTGTAATCCAGAGTGTTGAGGAGGGGCAGGGGTCCAGCGAGGAGCACGCTTTCACTCCTCCGCGGCTGCTGTCTGGCACTGAGATGAAAGCTCTGCTGCAGTGGGATGAGTCTGAGTCCCATCCCCTCCCCACTTTAGAGAAACAGATCACGGTACAACTCATACACAGATTTATAGTTTTTTCAAAGTAACTGATATTTCTGCCTCTGTAACTTTGTTTCTGGGCTTTTCACCTCAGAAATTATGTAAGGAAGATGAGTCACTGGAGACGCTGTTGGAGAATGTCATTGTTCTGAGGCAGACGCTGGAGACGGCCACAGACACGCCTCCTGCAGTTGATACTGAACCCACTCTGCCAGCGCCTGAAACGCTCGGTGCCCAGTTTAATCACAGGTGAGAAATAACTTACATTAAGAGTTTGCTGTAAAACAAAATCAGGAAACACAAATGTACATTAAAGCTTAAACTATAATTAAACACACTACAGATAATAAAGAGAAGGCCTATGAATCACTAATGTAAACCAAGAGCAAACACTAGATGTAATAATGACTTTTTCATGTTTTTTGCATTTTTATCTGTAGGACTGTGTTCATTCTATCGGAAGCTTTGGATGAGCAGCTGAAGACTCTTTGGTTCTCTCCTTTCCAAACTGACGACATAGAACCAGACCTTGACATGGTGAGTGAACATGTGGGCCTTCACTTTCAAGACGAATCAGACTCTGCAGTATAGGGTTGGAAAGAACCAACATCGATAACCCCAACGGGGCAAAAAAAACTTGATCTGTACTTTAAAGAAAAAGTGGTTTAAACCAGATATATGTTCAAATATTGACAGTAATTTACTATAAATTAAACCTACTATCATGTTCAGACACGACCAGACTCCTAAGATTCCCCTGGTCTAGGAATAGTAGTTTGATCCACTCCAGCCAGAGTTTTATTAGGATGTCTATGTATGTCTCTGATTGTCACCTTGTCTGTGCTGCAGGTGAAGGTGGATCTGGTGGGTCTGGCTCAGGAGTGCTGCCCAGAACTAGACCTGAAGGCAGAGCTGGAGCGCTCCTTCCTGTCTGAGCCCTCGTCTCCCGGTCACAATAAAACTACAAAAGGTTTCCGGCTGGGCAAACACAAGCACGAGACGTTTATCACATCAAGGTACTTGCCCGGTGTTTGTACTACGTGTTCTGTGAAGCATACAATCTAGAGTCTTGTTTTAATCAACTTGCTGGAGGTAAGAGGGTCCTCGTCACGGATCATGGAATTAGGTGGAACTGAATAAAAAGATGGGTTAGGAAGTAAAACCCCTCCATGTCACTTGAATGACTCTGTCAGTTTAAAGGAAAAACGTTTTAATGTTAAGTTAGATAGGTAAGGAATTTACATTTTTCTAATTATCTTTTCATGGCTCCTGGGTGTTGTGTTTGTGCAGCTGGGATAACTTTCCATTTGGAATCAGATAGTGGACCTCTTTATATCTGAAAAATGAAGATGAGTTTAGTTCATAGTGCTTTAAATGGAAATATTTGATAATAATGAACTACATTTTTGTTGTTATTGTAAAGCGGCCTTGGGTTCCTTGAAAGGCGCTATATAAATCCAAGTTATTATTATTATCATTATTATTATTATTATTAAATGATGTAATAATGAAGAGCTGCTTACCGTAATTAATTTATTGTTAGTTTCCATCATAAAGGATGCCACATTTGTAGTCTTTGCAGCTTGGATGCTTTTTAACCTGAAAATACAATTAACTGATTCAGGCTTTTTACAGTTTGATAAACGCATACGAGTACATCGAAAAGCAGAGATCTGTTTAAGACATAGTGCTTCAGACAATTATAGGTGCACCATTAACTGTGCTTTTATTTAATCTGGGTATTTCCAATCAGTATACATTTTTTTCCCTGAGCATAAATAAATATGGTGCCCTGATTGCAGACAGTAATATAACAATAATGAATTTACAACTTTGAACTTAATGACTAAACAATAGAGATTTTTAAAAATAGCCATACTTTATATATAAAAAATACAGGTTTATAATTGTACTTCTTGCATAAAGAAGTTCCCAAAAGGATAGGTTCTCATTTGTACTTCTTGCACTTATCTAGGAAAGCCCATATCTGCCCCTGCCCCATTCAGTGTGCTGCAGCCCGGGGTTGTTGCTTAATATCACTTCATTCTTTTCTCTGCAGTGGTAAATCCGACTACACTGAGCCGGCCAAGAGAGCCCACATCATGGCTGCTCCTCGCGGCCGCGGAGGTCGAGGAGGGTTTGGACAGAATCTTTGCCGACCTCACGATATCTTCCGCCAGCGTAAACAAAACACCTCACGTCCTCCCAGCATGCATGTGGATGACTTTGTGGCAGCCGAATTTAAAGACATTACAACCCCTCTTGGACTTATGCTACCCAAACGTCTCCCTAAGAGCTCCCCAAAACCCCCCACCAGAGGTCTGTTCACTGGAAACAGAGGCAGAGGCACCTTCCACAGTCAGACGCGCTTTTTCACTCCACCACAACCTAAAGGTGTAATGCTGTCTGGTGAGTACACAAAGACACATACAATTATATATTATGACATTTTCCTGTGTCAGGTTAACAAGACCAGTTTGTATTCGTACATATTGTTGTGTTCACCAACATTTTTTACAATCTTTTGTTAGTTTATTATTCTTTATTTATATATATATTGGAATCCGGATCACATCACTCTTTTAATTGAAGTGTTTGCATTTTGTATGTTATAAGGCTTTTATTCAGATCATTTGTGTTCTTTTAAACATAGCTTCAGTACTGTTTCTTTGACACATTTCTACTGGAACATGTTTGATATCATTTTGTCAAGTCAGTACCACATGTTGACCATCAGAGGGACATCCATGCTTACTTTTCTGTTCTGTAGGTAACTATGCTCGCAGAGAGGGAGGCCGTGGTGGTTCTTCGTGGAGTGGACAAGTTCCAGCAGTGACCCACAGAGGAACCTACAGTGAACCCCGCGGAGGCCAAAGCAACTTCACACGAGGACCAATGCCCTCACGACAACCACCAGCAAGTAAGATGTGCATTCCCCCCTACACACACTTTTGCTCTATTTTGCTTTTATTTACATTTAAACATTAACCTTCAATACAACTCTTCTGTCTTTTCCCTTATTCTCTTATTGAAGGTGCATATCGTCTGGCTCCACGTGACCGGGCCCCACGGGGCAGAGGGGGGGCTGGACTGTCATGGCTTAACGCCGGAGGAGGTGGTGGAGGTGCTGGAGGAGGCGGTGGGGGAGGTGGAGGAGGAGGAGGGAGAGGATCTCAGGGGAGCAAGTTCAGTGGCGGGGGAGGGAGCGGAGGTGGGAGAGGCAGACATGTTCGCTCCTTCACCAGGTAAACTCACCTGGGCAATGACTGCAGCCTTTCATGGCAACATACGGACCAATCAGGATAATACGTACTGTCTCCATGGAAAAGTGGTGGGATGATGTTGTCATGATGATGTAAAGACTCTGTGTTGATGTTTTATGTTTTGTTTTCATGAGTTGTATTCAGATAATAAAGGTCATAGAAGCCTAGACTGGGCTTTTTGTTTCTGATGAAATAATGAAGGGATGCAGAACATGATAGTCTGAGCAACTGTCAAAATGTTATTCATGAATAATTTTTTTTTCGTTTTGCAAGTGAATTTAGTCAAATAGATCCAACTAGTGCATCATCTGCAAGATGAGTTAAACCCCAAATATTAAACCTTTAGTGATACTTGCAAAGCTTTAGTACTGGTGCAGCCAAATTATTTTCACCATTCACTATATTACATGAAAGCTGGTTTTGTAGGCCTAATTTTTTAGCATGAAATAACAACAAAATGGCTGTTTTTGGTTTGAGACCAAGCCTTGACATAATCTTTATGTCCCCAGTGCTTTCTCCTCAATATTTTTATATCATATAATGAACCAAAAATGTCCTTTAAAAGTACGAGTCAAATATCTTCTCCTACATCTACAATAGATTATTTCGATACCACTATTTCTGGATTGAAGTCGTACCTTTACGAGATAAAAATTCTAATTATACAATTTTAATTAGATTTTTTTGTTTAACCAGGAAATAAACCTCTGGCCAAGACATGCAACAGCACAATTAACAGTTTCTCACAAACAACTAGCAGCCAACTTATACAAAAACAGAAAATACAAGATTAAAGAAATACATTTAGGATATTACATTTGTAAATCGATTTAAATGAGGCTATGGTTAACATTATTCTGAAAGGTTGTATCAGAAGAGCAGCCATGTGCCTGTGTGAAAACCTTTGAAGCCATTTCTCTGCAACAAAAGACAATATCCTTCAGTCAAAGTCAAAGCGGTTCTCTAATGGGATATTTTGAGGCCTTGTCAAACTATTGTGTTAAAGCAGCTCATTCCACAGACAGTTTATAGCCTACTCAGTCATTCTGTGTTATACTGCGCAAGGTTATTTGTGAAACCTTTACTAAAGTAGAATTTCACAAGATGCTCCACGTTCCTCATTTTTGTACAGGCGGCTGCTGCTCTTTTTATATAGGCCGAACTATAGGCTAAAATAATGACTTTAATCTTGTAAATTTACGACTTTATCCTAAATACTCCTTCATATACATCTTCTTGGACCTCAATAATAAAAATAATATTGTAACTAGTTTCACATGGTTCTGAATAAACCTTAAAACGCACATGTTTGTTCAAAGGAACCTAGAAATAATTTGGTCCTGATGAACTCTAGTAAATTATTTGAGGTGTTTTTTTTATTGAAATCAGATGGATACAAAATGACACATTGATGATGAGGAGTGTTAAAAATGTATGAACATCTAGATTGAAAAATAGATAGATCAGGGGAAATTCAGGCGTATACTATATCCCCTTCAGTTCTATATAAGCTTAGGGTTAAATAATCAATTTAACTTCTGAGCATTTTCTGAGCTCATGCAGGAATCAACATAACTTCTAGTACATTCAGAATGTTTTCATTACTTTTGTCAGAATAAAGTTTGGCTGATCTACTGGTTCAGTCCTCTCAGATGACCGTCACCTCCCGACTCTTCCTCTTGATGCAGTCGAGAGTCAGGCTCCTTGTCCCAACCTTGCGGGCCCCCTCTCCCAGCTGAGGTGATTGAGGTGGACCTGAGATATTCATAGCCTGAGCTGAATGTAGTGAGAGGCTGGAGGCGTGTAAAGGTGACTCCCTCTGCTGGTGTCTTGTCACTTCGACATGTGGGTCCCATCCAGTTGCGTGCAAGTCTCCCTGAAGCTGCTCCCTGACTGCTGGTTCTACAAGCTGCTGATTCCTGGTAGGATGCAGGTCTCTAAAGAGCTCCAGCAATTCCCTCTTCTCCAGCTCGGCTTCTGCCAACTCCTGTCTCCTGAGGCGCTCGGCTCCTAACAGGGCTCTCATGTCGCACATTACGCGGGACAACTGATCCTGAGCAGAGAGAACGTGAAGGTACAAATCATGCATGAACATGATGTTGATGGTCGGGAACAATTTGGATCCCACACGTTTAAAAGGAATGAATTACAAAGTGTGCAGAAAAACTTCCTCTTGTATGTATTGCCTTGTTACAACAAAAGGCTGTTTTTTAAACCAGAGCCAAAGTGAGCCAGACTGCTGAGAAAAATAGAAATAACAAAACATTATTTCACAGAAACAACAAATGAGTACAATTTTTAAATGTAAAAGCCCTAGTACTGGGTGCTGATGTTAATCCTCAAAGTAGGCTGTGGCACCTCTTCTGTGTGTCATTCCCCACTTTCTCTCCTGATTTCATACTCGCCTCACTGTCGTATCAAAAAAAGGCAAAAGTCCCAAAATACATTTTAAAAAGCCTCGGAATGAATGCTGTTTAATAATATGTAATTCTGACACCTAGCGTTTGAAATGGTTACTGCAGTCCAAATTCAAAACATTGGAGAGAGCTGCCTCCCCCATCTGCATCGGTCTAGAAACCTCCCTGTGGTCTAACCTCTCTCTATTTTTTAAACGCATCTCCAATATTCATCCTAGTTTTTCCAGGTTTCTGGTTGTGGAGCTTATTAGAATTATGCTTTTTAGGTTAGGCAAATAATTAACAGGGGGCCCCTGCAACCAGCGTTCATCTCTATGATGTCATGATTAATTATATAATACATCTTCCTCGTGACTGTCATTGACAAACATTTTCACATTAATAATGCACATGATGCTTGGTAGTGCAACAACATGCTGTCAGATGGGGCGCCCTCAGCGAGGTTTCTTATTGTCATTGCAAACGTTGCACATTTTTTGCCACTGCTGTGGTTTAAAGTTTGTGAGGCTTCAGGGGGCGCCCTACTGGCCTGGGGCCCTAAGCAATGCGTCTGGTAGAATCAGTTATATTCTGTACCAGTTCACTTGCCAGCTTTCATCACCGCAACACCTGTTTGTTTGTCATTTGCCTGACTACTTTTTATTTTATTTTATTTTTTCGTTTCAATTCAGGAAGTTTTTTTTTGCATGAATGTGAAGATATTGCCAAAGCATATAATAACAGAAATACAATAATATGAATGATTAATAGTTATAATTAATAATTCAATAGTAACAATAATAATCAATAATTTCATTTGAACAATAATCTGGTATATATATATAAAAAAGTCCCAAATATGGTACAAAACAAAATCAAATTAAATGTTAAGTGTTTTTATTTGTTTCGAAGGTCAATAATTAGCCAGACTTTTACCCTGAAGTATTTTTACATTTAAGTTGCAGTATAGTAAACAAGATCTCAGTTTAAATGTCCGAACACTTAAAGAAATGCTTTATGCTTGCCTATGTGTTTTATTTACAATCATATCCTGAAAAAGTACTTTGTTGCTGTAAGATGGAGTGAAGGCAGTGGCAGTGCTGTTCTGTATTTTTTTTGTAAATGTAAAGGTAATGTGACAGTACAACAAGTCTTCGCTCCAGCCCCTTTCTTGTGACAGCAAAGCACAGGAGTTGAATAAAAAAGATAAGGAGTGACGGGTCACCTTGAGTTCCTCCACATCGTTCTTCAGCTGCGACTCTTTCTGAACCATGTGTCTCCTCTGCGAGTCCAACCGAGACTCCATCTCTCGTCTCACCTCTTCAACCTTGCACAGCATCTCTGCCCTGCCATATAAAATAAATATGATTAAAAAGAATGACAAAAAATATGAAGTTACCTCCATGTAACACACACACACACACACACATACACACCTGAGCATCTCCACCTCTGTGCGCAGCTCGGCCACACAGTTATGCTGCGATTGATCAATGGAGAGAAGGGTATGACCACAGCCGTTTGGACACTCCCTGCTGCGGAAGTTACATTCTGCCAAGTGAGCCTCCAAACCCCGCCTCTCTACCTGCACAGGACAACCTGATAGGACAGAAAATAAGAAATTGGTGAGGCCTCACATGAAAGGATTGGTGTTCTTTGAATTGGATTTCTTTAATAGGAATGATGAAATTTAACATAGTTTCAATGTAAGGCATGAAACTGATGTGCTGCACAGAGAGCTTACAGCTATTGATAATGTCCAACTCTTGTCCCTTGTTTTAAGGTGTCACTACAGGTGTGTTTTAAACAGATGTTGCACACACACACACACACACACACACACACACACACACACATACACCCACACACATATTTATACACATTTTCTGCTTTTGTTTTTTTTGTTATTGTTTCTGTATGCAGTTAATACATTTTTGTTTTTTTAATTTGGTTATATTTTAGCATTATTTAGGTGGAGGCTTCAAATAAGCTCATTGAGTTTTCTGCCTCTTGCTGCACTGAATGTTGTCTATTTTGTTATTTGTTTAATATGTTTTTTCCCTTACTGTGCAAATAAAAAAAATTATAAGGTTAAGTCCTTGAAAAATTATACTTTCTCTATAATGAAACTGGAAGTTGCACTATTATTATTATTTTTTTAATCCTTTAAACAATTTCAGAACAGGAATCAGTGTTTGCTGAATGCTGAACATACTGTATAGACCATGCAAATCTACACTTCTCAATGCAACCAATACTCACAGACAGCAACAGAAATGGTAGTGTGAGTCTTGTGCAAACTTTATTTTCCTCTAAATGTTCTCAACACTGCAAAAGTCACTCTGCATGCACAAACTCTCAACAAATCTGTACCTACCACAGTGATAACAAATGTACTCGCCACCTGCCAACAACAGGTCACAGTCATTTTGTGAGCACAATATATTTATACACATACACACTTTTATATTGCTCATTAACCAATGTTGGAAAGCCGACCCTGAATGCCACCTGTGGGAGCTGAAAGTCACATAGGTGCACTAGATTGAAAGGCAGCTGTGATAACAATAGAACCCACCTGGTGCTCCCCCACACTCACACACACAAAGGTGTCATATTACCTCTGCAACACAAACTTGCACCAGGAAACCCATTTAACAACCAAAGACACTAAATGAATAAACTCATCATAAAAATGTCAAATTATATGACCTCAGTATGAGGTTCCATACCTGTGTTAGAGCAGGAGACGAAGGCAAACTCACACTCATCCTCATGTGTGTGCAGGGTCTCCAGAGAGCAGACCACCTCACAACCCTGCCCTGCATTCACGCAACGGATCTGCAGGCGGTTTAAGTCATTACGCATATACCTGTTGTAAAAAAAACAAAGTAGTATCAGTATCATAGCACAGAGAGCAGTTTACTTGTTTATTGTATGATCTTTAACATGGGAAACATCATTATACTTATATAAAGGGGATGTAGACAAACCTGTACAGGGGTTTGAGGCTGCCAACATCCAGTGGCAGTCTATCCTCAGGGCAGGAGTGGTGATGGAGCAGCCAGCTGCTGATGCAGGCACTGCAGTAGGCATGTTCACAGGGGGCCTGGAGGGGGCGATCCAACACGTCTCGACACACACAGCACAGCAGCCCTTCATTCACATAGCCCACAAACCTCTCCAGTTCATAGCCCATTCTGCAAACAAACACATACCATTTAAACATTTAGACAGTTACAGAAATCAAACTGTTGCCATGCTTAATTGTATCTTACCTTTTTGAATTCTTACCTGACAAATTCACTCTAAATTCATGCAACTTTTCTTTTTCTTTCCTTCAGTTGAATTATACTCTTCTCGTGTCTCCAGTGTGAAACTGTCTCTAATCCCTCCACCTACAGCCTTTCCTTCTTCTTCCTCTTCCTCTTAACTTGTTGCTCCATCAAGGTGAGGGTCTCCTTTACCTTAAAGCCCTCCTCTCAACCTTTTGGGAATGCGTCTCCATGGAGAGGTAGCCCTGACAACAAGGGTTCAGGACACAGGCGAGCAGCTGTCAGACGAGATCAGAACAACAGACAGAATTACACTCAGGAAAAGAGACAAATTCAGTAGTAGTGTGTGATCTGCACTGCTGTGTTGTAGTGTAGCCTTCAGAGATTACTGCTGTCCTTCAACTGTTTCTGGCTCTATTAATGAAACACTCTATTCTAGGTTTGTCTCTGTCTCAATAGATGTGGGATTAACATGGATTACACTCTCCCTCTGCCTGATTGGATTAGAGACTGCATGACATCAGATGGCAGAGACCACAGAAATCAAAGAGCAACCCAATACCACGAACTCATCTGAGATCCCTAATATTGTTTTGAATATAATTTTATTCAAATACGGAAAAAACACCTCTATACCATAAAAATAACCTCTATAAAACATTTTACATCTTAGTATGAGCCATTTCAGAAAAATGTATTTGCTCATGTTAGTTTGATATTAACATTAGACTATGAATTTTAGAATTCAAAGTAAACCAAATACACAATTTATTGACTGTTATAGACTACGACATATTTTCATTTGAGGATTAACATTTTCTCCTCCACATAAGTACAGTAGCCTTTATGAGTAGGCTAAATGTGCCCATCAATACAGTACCAAGTTTAAATTGATATCACATCTATAAAAAGGCAAAAAAAAAAATGTTTAAAATCAGCGACGAGCAAAAAAACAAACATCTTCAGAACCGAAATATCTGAATATTTCTTTAAATCAACATTAACACCTCACAAACATGTACTCACCTGTACAGTTATTATAGGATAAAACCTGGATTTAATATGTACAGTCTATGGATAAAACACGTCACCGTGAGAGAGCTCGATGTATAACTGTGTTGTATCCTGTGATGTCATAAAACAACTCGTTTAGGCCACGCCCACATTCAGTGTTCAACCACTCACAGCGCTCGGATCCATTCAGCGGGAGAAACTGAACAAAACCAAGAGTGCTAAAGAGAGAAATAGACTAAAACAAAGTTAAGAAACGTGAAAAGAGGGACAGTTTGTGGGCTTAGCTATTTGAATCAAACATTTTCTTTTCTTCGGGTATGTATGACAAGTTGTTACACGTAATATAAGAATTACATTTCAGTGGGCAAGTGTTTTTTAACCACTGGGTTAGCTAGCTAGCTGGCTAACACGCCACAGTGAGGTTGTTGTGTTTATGTCCTCTACGATAGTTAGGATAGAGGAGCGGTGTAGCAGGTCAAGACTGACATTAATAAGTGGAGTACTTTCATTAGGTGACACTCATTAGTGACATGCTTTTGTTAAACAGAGCATCTGTATCGACTGAGTTTCCATTTGGGATTAATAAAGTATTTCTGATGAAGTGATTTTAACAGAGAAGAAGTACATCAAGGCTGGAATTAATTTGTATATGATCAAAAACATCTGTATCTATACCAAACTAAACGTAGATACCTCCTGTTCTGCAACATGAAGCTACTACAATGTTATTTTCACTTTTAGCTGGGACCCCTGCTCTTCAGACTTGTCTGTTTCTGGGCCTCTTAGTTTTCTGATTAGAGACCAGTTAGCTCATTTCTGTCTGTAGGGGATAATTGTATGTTGTTATTAGAAGAATGCGTCGCTCTGGAGCTCCTAGCCAGCTCTTTGGCAATGCAATGAAAAAGCCTCGTTTTGTGGCCCCTGGAGGATCTACTTCACGTCCATTGCCTCAATCCAAGCCCCTTACTCCTAAAGGGGGTTTAGGCAATGCACTGGAAAAGGTAAATCATTTGTAGCATTAAATCTAAAGGGAATCATTTAGTGTTCTTTCACTTTCCATCAATTTAGTTCTTCATATGTGGTTTCTTCCTTAGATTGTAACTTGTGTATTTGTTTCACTTGTCTTGCAGGTCCAGAGGAGTCTAGCAGCACCAGATCAGAGTATAACAGAGCATGATGTCAAATCTGCTCAGCCGCCTCCAGCCTTGTCAAGGGCTCTGGCTCTTGTTCTCAGTGCAAGAGAAAGCAAGGAAAATGATAGTGGGACAGAACATCCTGACACTGGCTCCAAAGAGCACGACGAGGACAACAACCAGCAGGTAAAAACACAAAGATTTGTTGTTATGGTAGAAACTGGTATGGCTAGAAATAGTCATGTAGAGTTTTTCCACATCTACAAACCTCTGGGGCCTGTGTGTTGGATATACAGACTAGCTATTTTATTTAGTAATTTTGATATTATCATATGCATACACTGAACAAAAATATAAACCCAACACTTTAGTTTCCGCTCCAATTTTTCACAAGTTTAAAGCAAAGCTCTTAAGACCTCTCAAAATACCTATTCCTCTCTCATTTTGTTCACAAATGTGTTAAAATCTGTGTTGATGAGCCATTCTTCTTTGCCTGAGATAATCCATCCACCTGGCAGGTGATGCATATCAAGATGCGGTTTAAACAGCATGATCATGTCACCATCGTGCCTTCGGCTGGCCACTCTAAAATGTGAAGTTTTATCTTAAAAAGAGACATTTATTAGCCCCTGCACTGTGGATAGGTAATTATTAAGTTGCAAACTCTAAGATCTTAACAAATCAACTAAATAAGTTAAAAAGGGAAATTTACACTTTTAAGCTTGTATGTAAATTTATACATTTACATTTAAATGTTTATTTTAACCCTAGAATACATGTTTTCACAAACAATAAATGGCAAGTTAAATTGCTCATAAAATACAAATTATAGAAATGTTTTGATAATGTCTCTCTTCTAAATGATGCTGCCTTCATAGATGACTAATGACCTTAAATTACAGCTAAAAAAAATCCATTTAGATCAGGAGACCAGTACTTTAAAGCACCTACTTCATCATCTCCATTAACAATCAACACACTGAATAGAAAGATGTTCATCTTTTGCAACTAATTACCCATTAAGGTGTTTGAATCTCCACATATATGTTCTAGTATCCAGATTTATTTTAAATCAAGCCTATTTATTGCAACGAAGCCAGACTTGTAAGTCATTGATTCAGCTGCTTATTTTATATCGGAGACGAACCGTGCGACGCGTTGAAAGGTGATGCGGAGCTGGGATCGCTCTCTCATTTTGAACAGGCTGTCTTTTTGAGGCTAATAAAAACTACTGCACACAAAAGATGGATTTTAAACCGGGTGCTGAGGCTGAGTGACAGCAGGTCCAGCATTATGTAAATTAGCGGGGTAGTGCAGCGGCAGCGTCGGGCAGATTAGGACTGTGCTCAGGATCAGTGAACCACCGCTCTCTCCTCCTGCCGGAGCAACTAGTGCCTCTGTTTGTCACAATCAAAAAAAAAAAACACGCTGCGGACACTTTCTCTGCTTCTGGCTCACACGAGCTCTGAGCACGTGTGTTCATCTTATGAATGAATATACCTGATGCAGAGGGTTTTATTTTATGCGTTTAGCGTACACGGCAGAATACAAATATAAGCGATCTGCTTTGCAGCCGTACTGAGCGCGCCCAACCCCCTCCTCCACGAAGATAGTTAAACCAGCGCTGTTTCCAGAGGTTTTTCAGGTTTGGTGGGGGGGGGGAAGGGATAAGGCCCATAACCTCTCAATATCGGTAAATACACAATTTAAAGAGTGTTTCCCTCCTTTCCGCAGAAAACAGGGTCTCTGTTGTCTTGCTTTTCTCATTTTATGGAGAGACTGTGCTCTGTGCTGTGCTGGGTTTGGGGTTTAGAGAGACCGAGCTGTAAGTAGGTCGGGCTAGGCTTAAGCGGCTTAGCTACGTCAGCCTAAGCTGGGAGGAATTCATCCAAAGTCCTCCGCGGTAGGCGGGGGCCTAAACGAGGCTGGCCTAGTTAAGCCTGATTCTTATTGTGTGCAGCACAGCCTGTTTTTTTGTTGTGCAACGTAGCCGAGAGGGACCTAAGGAGGAGTGTATGAATCCATGCACATGTTAGGCATAGCTTATGTTTGGGTCAGAGAAGAAGGAAGGTAAACTGAGAAATATGTGGGAGTTAAACAAGTGTTAGCTTTGTAACCGTGGACCCAAAAAAAGAAAGAAAGAAAAAGCCAGAAATAGGGCGAAGAAAAGACAGGTGGGAAGAGTAAGAAGCCATCGTATCAAGTGTTGGGGCTGAGGGGTAGCACCCACAGGCCTTACTTGGCCAGTGTGAGTCCGCTATGCCATAAGATGGCATCCAGCTCCGTCTTTCTGTCCAGTATGGTGGGCAAAGCTCGCTCCTCCAACTTCACCCTCTCCGAGAAGCTGGACCTGTTGAAGCTAGTCCGCCCTCACATCCGCATCCTGGAGGAGCACACCAACAAGCACGCGGTCATCGTGGACAAGAACAAATGCTGGGACACTGTGGCCGAGCAGTACAACGCCCTTGGAGGGGACAGACCCCATCGCACTGCTCAGGCCTCAGGACCCTCTACAAGAGGCTGAAGGAGTCAGCGAAGCAGGAAGTGATGCAGCGGAGACACGCCCAGCCAGAGTACAGAGCCAGCATCTCTGAGCCAACCAGGAGAATTATGGAGATGATCCCTCACCTGTTTCACCATGTGCCGATCCACGAGAAGGACCAGGCTTTGCGCAGGTAAAGTATAAACAAGCACAGACACCCAGTTTAACGCAAGTGAATGGATAACACAGCAGTAAGCTGAGAATGTAGAGAGCACACACATATATCATTATTTAAAAAACAGTTTGATTCATGACACTGATTCATCTGTTAGTAGGGAGAAACCAAAACACAATCCCAAAACCCAATCAAATTACACACACAGCCTGCACATGGTCAGACTAAAGAGAATAAAAAAACAGTTTATCCTGCTTAAATGTACTGTTGTTTGTTTACATTCCTAATACTCGGGTCATACTTTGGTAATCTTTAAATGTAGTGTGCAGTGCATGTTTCACAAACAAGTCAGTTAAATCAAAATAGTATGTATGTATTTTTTAAAAGGTCCATACCTCCCTACCTATGGATTCCTACCACATATTAGAGCTCATTAATTGTGCTTAAACTTGTTCACTGTCATGAGCAGATAAATCATTCAGACTATTTCTTATTAACATGAAGGGCATTTCTTGGAAGTCTTAGCCAGCGTAGGTTTTTTATGTTTCTTATTTTAGTTTCAAATAACTTAAAACTGTCCGTTAGGAACTTCAGTTGGGTAAAAGAGCATCATTGCGCACACAGCTCAGCAACAAAAGCACACGCATATCAATAAAGTACTATCCTATCCTATATCGACACCCAAAGTACACTCAAAAGGGGACTGAGTAAGTGAAGCTTGATGGCCGTAACAAATGATGTGTACCAGATCAGCAATAAATAATGCTAAAAATTCTAATATGGGTTAAAAAAGTTATCTTGTGAAATGTATTAAAAGCATGATGAATAGGTAATAAATAATTAATTGTTATAACAGGTTAAAAGAGTGGTGTTAAAAGTGAATGAACAAATAGATCAGCTATTCATGAGCCTGATGGATGTGGGCACAAAGCTTGACATGGCTCTCTTAGTCCTGAGGGTGAGAGATCTGTATCTGTGGCCTGAGGGGAGAAGGTTGATTAGTGGTTCTTGCTGCTGTCCGATTATTTTACTGCTCATTGTTATGATCCTGTAGAAGAGATTGCGATGAATGTTAGACAGAGACACAAATCAGGTTGTGATATTGAAGGTTAAAACTGATTCAATAAAATATTTGTGGAATGCTGTCAGGACTGATTGGTGAACTTGCAATTTGTGGAGTTCATCCCTTTATCAGCGCAGATTTGTTAACTGATCATTAATTGATTTATTAATTGTTTATTATCACTAATACAGGTCTTCTGACACCTTACACCTCTCAGTGTACTCTGTTGCACCTTTTTTTAAATCTGTCGTTCCTTTTCAGATTAATATACAACAAGCACAGCTCTCCAGTTGAACACCCTGGCAGCAGCTCCTCTCTGGCTGGACTCCAGGATTACTCAGCAGCTGTCCCAAGTATCCCTCATGAGGTGGTCCAGCTGGACCCTGAAGAGGATGTGAAACCACCGCCAGACCTCCCCCTCCTCTCTGCACACACAGGGCCAGCGCTGGACGGAGGCCAGGAGCAGGATGGAGAGCAGGACTTGGGCAGTGTGCACGACTATGAATCATCATTGTCTCCCACCCCTTCCTCTGTTAACCTCCCCCTCTCTACCTCGCCGCTGCCCCTACACCATGACCTTTACCCAAATGACATCTACCCCCATCATGAGCCCGACAGGTTTCGCCCTCTGCACCTGGCCAAAGAGGAGCACGAGATGGTGCTAGCCAATCACCGGAAGGTTGCCATTTATCTGGAAGAGAAGAGGGAGGGGCTGAAGAGGAAACAAGAACTGGAAGAGGAACTTCTGAAAGCCAAGATCAAAGTAGAGAAACTAAAGGCTGCTCGTCTAAGACACGGACTGCCAATTCCTCTATAACAAGAAAGAACACACACATCCTCGGCCACTGTTTGCAATGAAGAGGCTCTGAGGAGTTGGAGAAGTGTGGAGCAAGAGCTGAGGAGAGGTTTCATGTTCATGAGCCGTTTCAGAACTTTAAATTCCTTTGGAAACATAGTGCCTCGTACAGACACTTCTTACGTGCCACTTTGCATTTTGCAGAATAAGGCTGAATCATGTTGCCATCAGTGCGTGTTAATACTTGTCTGTAAAACTGTCTTTCACTCTTTACGTATGGACATGTAGAAATAATGTGTGAGGCCCAAATAGGTCAAATATATGTGACAAGTCAGGTTTCTGGAAGGGAATATAAAGAGAAATTAATGTTTTATACCATGATGGTACTATTCCTGCCCCCAATAGGTAGTGAGGGGAATTTTAGCATAGTGTTAAAAATTGGTATTTTTCAGGTTTGAATTTGTTTCTAACAGCATTTACTGTGATGATGTTCTAAGGTGAGACAAGAATGAGAGTCTGCTAGGCTTATATTGTAGATTGTGCTCATTTGTTTATGTGTAAAGAAAATTTCCATTTGATAGGAAGTAAAAAAAAACACAGATGTGATAAAATAAAGAGATATTCCCTTGCAGCACTTCTAAGTAGCCACATTAATCGTAATACAATTAGGGATTAGGCTACATAAAAGAAGCACCTCTCAAAATGGAAAAAGTAATACTTATTATTAGTGAAAGATGTTCAGATCTTGAGCCAGGAGTGAAGCACGTGTCAAATTGTTTGAATGCCTTAAATATGTGATGCTGATGAAGACAACTCCTTTTTTGTGAGTTACTGAATTCACACAGAAGAGAATCCAACATTTACAAGTTCGAGATTCTTCTGCTGAATTGGTTGCAAGTGATGAAAGAAGGGAGATGTGGAGTTGGTTTTGTGACATTAATGTTATTTAATGTATGTGACAACAACATTGATTGTAATGTCATGTTGGTATACCAGTGTTTGTCCAAAATGTTCTTCTTTTTCCATAAAAAAAAAAGTGTCAGGTTGATGTGCTATTGGTTTTGTTTTTATTGTATCTCCAACAAAACGCTCTCATAATTTCAGACTCTACACATTTTTTGTCTGCAGTTGCATGTTTTTGTCATCCTTATGTCAGAAATAAGGACACAGAATAATGAAACATAATTGTTTATTTTATCTTTTAACTAAAACATTGCATGATAGCGTTCACGTTTTCTTCAGGTTTGTTAGTGGGGGAGTTCGACTGTCTTCATGCAGGTCCAGTGTGTTGTGTAAACTTGGTTGAACAGAGACCTCTGCTGGTGGGTTTGTCTAATAGCTATCTGTTCGTCTTTTTCCCTCTTGTGTGTCTTGTGTTACAGGAGGAAATGGTTTCTGTCAGTTGACCCCTAAACGTCCAGGGCCTTCTGTACGGGTAAGCAGTGTTTCTAAACCTGCAGGCTCCGACTCTGGCTGCAGCCAGGAAGGAGCGCGTTACTTTAGCGTGTGGTGTAAGGCCAGTAAGAAGAAACACAAGCGCTGGGAGGGAGATGCAGTCCTGGTTACAAGAGGACGCACAGCCACACTGAAAGATATGGAGGGCAAAGATATTGGAAAGGGTGAGACAAAGATAATACTGCTTTCATTTTTATTTCTGTATTTTTATAGTTCCATGTCTGGTAAGTTGAGGATCACTTACAATGAAGGAAATCTTTTACATAAACATCTATTAAATGTAATCTACAGTAATACCAAGTCCACTGGCAGGAAACTTATTTACTGAAATATCAATGAGTGTCCGATAATGAAGTGTCCTAATATAATGGTAGGGGGAACACTGAAGTGTGAACACAATATTCACATTATCTCTTAGGTAGAGATTTCAAAAGTTTTTCTCTCCCATCAAACAAAGAGCAACATTAAAGTTTACCATGGGTTTCTGTTCAATTGATGTTTTTCCTCTTTTTAGCTCTTTAGGTCCCAGAGATAAAGCATATCAGGCTGTTCATATCTGAAACTTTGACTTAACACTATTTTTGATGCCCACTTTTTTTGTCCCATGTGCTGCAGGTTGTGTACAGTGGCTTTTGATAGATTATTATTATTATTTTTTTTTTTATGTGGTCATGAGTAAAGTGGGTATTTCTTTCCTTGTTGGTGTGTAGGAAGTGGCTACAAGGTGTCCACACTCGCCTCCTTGTCAGAGGGAGAGACCCTGATGATTGGAGGGAAGGAGGTGGAGGTGATGGGGATCATTTCGAATGAGGACTTTGCTAAGGGACGTTGTTTCCAAGAGGTCCAGGTAGAGAAAGATGAGCCACACACACAGTCTCGTCCACCTCCTCCACATCGTATATCAACCAAACCTTTCTGCCCCCCGACACTGTTGGGGAGAGGAGATCGTCCAGGATCTAAGCCAGAGGAGGAACAAACCTGCAGGCCTCGCCATGACCCCTGGCACCAGGTATGTAGATTTAAACCAGAAACTTTGCTCATCACAAACGGGAATTTCATGGTTAGGAAAGTTTCCATTAACAGCTGTGCTTGTATATGTGTTTTAAGATGTTCTTTGTGTGAGGGAATTTTAATTTTTTCTCCAGAAACAGTCCCAACTGATGAAATTGTTGTCACTAATTCTCATAAAAAAAATGTTTCCTTATTTTGTGTCTTTTCACATGTATCTTTGCAAACATTGAGGACATACACCAGTATATTCATAGTTGGGGGTTCTGGATCTTTTGCAGGTTCTCTGGTAATGCCTCGTCCCTCTCCTAACCACCAGTGGTCCAATAACAAGGCCGGCCTTCCTGTGGTCGATGTTGTCATTGACCCACACCTGACCCATCACCTGAGACCTCACCAGAGAGACGGCCTGCTCTTTCTGTACGAATGTGTCACGGGCATGAGGTAACGGAGTTGTCTTAGCTTCATAGCAGTAAAAGTAATAATAGCATTCCTAATGGATGTTACTGTTGATGCTTCAGAGCTGTGGGGCGCTATGGTGCCATCCTGGCTGACGAGATGGGTCTCGGGAAAACCCTCCAGAGCGTTGCCTGTCCTGGACCTTGCTCAAACAAGGACCGTATGGTGGGAAAGCGGTAGCTAAACGTGTCCTTGTGGTCACTCCTGGCAGCCTCGTGCAGAACTGGGGTGCTGAGTTTAACAAATGGCTGGGACGTGAGAGGATCAGTGTTTTCACTGTGGATCAGGTGAGTGGAGAGATTTGTATTGGGGGGGCAGTTTCAGGTACAATTAATGTGTGCATGCAGAAAGCCTTTTTTACTTAAATAACACACGCTTAAGTTAGCGCTTAACATTAAAGACAATTAATGGATGTGTAAAATGTAAGAAATGATAAAGGTTTACATAAAATAAAAAACAACATCACTGATCTGTGACTTTCATCAGATTCATTCATTTACTTTATTTAATCATGCGTTAATTTGATTATGCATTCCTATTTACTTCTTTCATAGGATCACAGGGTTGAGCAGTTTGTGTTATCCCCTCTACACAGCGTTCTTGTGATCAGCTATGAAATGCTGCTGCGCTGCCTTGAGCAGGTACTGTATGTTCAACTTTTGTCTTGCTCTTTTGTGTTCCAAATACATCAGGATATTTCTGCTCTTTGTGGAGTTGTAGCACCATTTCCTTGTGCTTTCAGGTACAGAAAGTGGAATTTGGTCTTATAATTTGTGATGAGGGTCACAGATTGAAGAACAGTACCATCAAAACATCCTCTGCCCTCTGCAGTCTGAGCTGTACTCGCAGAGTCATACTAACAGGTACACATATGCTGAATAAATAAATCCAAAAACTTTCTTTAGGCTCTGACTGGCAACTACAAACTAGAAATGTGTGCACTGTCTTGACACTAACCAGCTTGTTTTAAATGTGAAAAGAAAACTGAGGAGATGACCTTAATGATGGTGTTTGGTCCCAGGGGAGTGGGTGATCAACTACCAGTGAATAAACCCATCACACAGTTCTGCTCATTCAAGTACCTCGGGATCATATTGACACCACACCCAACTGGAGAACCCATGTTGAGAGTCTCTGCTCTAGACTGCTACCAATGTATTTTTTCCTCAGACTGACTGTCTTTGGATTTCAGCAGAATCTTATGTTATTGTTTTAAACTGCAGTTTTAGAGAGTGTTATACAATACACGATTACAGCCTGGTATGGTCACTTGTCTGCTCAGTTGAAATCACTTAATAACTTGTCTTGTGCAGACTGTCATGACATTCATAAAATAAGATTCAGTGTAAATAAAAGATACCCATATCTCAAAACACTCTATGAACAGTCTGTTCTTAGACAGGCACAGAAAAGATTGTGTGATCCAACACGTATTCTTTACTTAAAGAGTTTGAGCTTTTACCCTCTAGGAGAAAATGCAGGCTCCCTCAGACGAGGCAACTGGAAGCATTAATTTGAGCTTATGTCCATAACGATTCTGCATATGTGCAATATGTCAAATTAATATATCGCTGCTTCCAGAAGATGTTTATGTGGAGATTGTCACATGTTGCTGCTGTTTTAGGTTATGTGTTTTTTATGATTCCTACTTATGTATGATTTCTATTCTCTTTGTAACTGCAGGACATAGTCCAAGACAAATTTACTCTGGGACATTGAAGTATATCTCACCTTATCATTAACTTTTTGCTTATCTTATATGATGAATTATCTTTGTGTTTTAAAGGGACCCCAGTACAGAATGATCTACAGGAGTTCTATGCAATCATAGAGTTTGTTAATCCCGGCATCCTCGGGTCCTCCACTGCTTATAGAAAAGTTTATGAAGAGCCCATTCTGCGCTCCAGACAGCCCTCCTGCACAGAGGTAAAACTGCCTCCATCCTTCATGCCTTTCATTGTAGATACTCTATTTTTTTTTTTTTTTTAAGTTTGTGATCTAGCATTAATCCTGATCTTGTATCTGCCAATAGGAAGTGAGAGTTTTAGGAGAAGAGAGAGCAGCAGAGCTCTCTCGCCTCACCGGTATGTTCATCCTGAGACGAACCCAGGAGATCATCAACCGCTACCTCCCTCCTCGTCTTGACTGGACATTGTTCTGTGAACCCTCCCCTTTGCAGCTCGAGCTGTACGAGCAACTTCTCTGCCACAGAGTTTTCAGAGCCTGCCTTCAGGGCTCCACACAAACACACACGCACCTGGCCTGCATCACTGCCCTGAAGAAGCTCTGTAACCATCCCGGTCTACTTCACTCTACTGTCAAGGTTGAGTTTTTTTATTAGTTTGCAGGGGGTAGTGATAGCTTGTAGATTGTAGTTATTTATTGAAGTATGAGCCTCAGTTGTGACGTCTATGTTGTGTTTTTTCAGGAAGGACAGATGGTGGTTCTTTAGAGAGCTCTTTATATGATGGCCTGATAGAACTCTTCCCAGAATCCTACTCTTCAGGTGGATTGAACACTGCAGACTCTGGAAAGCTCCTGGTTCTGTCGGACCTGCTGACTGCCATCAGACAGCTCAGCCCTTCAGACAGGTGAGTGCGGTTATCATTTGCATTTGAATGTAAATGTTTAATTCCATGCTAACAAATTGTGTTCCCTTCAGGGTGGTCGTAGTGTCCAACTACACGAAAACACTGGACTTGCTCCAGGACTTGTGCGCACACATGGGCTACACTTTCTGCAGACTTGATGGACAGACCCCAACCAACCAGAGACAGCGGCTGGTGGACAATTTTAACAGTCCTTACTCCAATCATTTCCTGTTTCTCCTGAGCTCCAAAGCAGGCGGGGTGGGACTTAATCTGGTGGGTGCCTCCCATCTGGTGCTCTATGATATTGACTGGAACCCTGCAAATGACATTCAGGTAAGATCAAGGCTCACAGATATGCCTACGGAGTTAAAATCTAAAGCAGTTTTTTTAAACAGTCTTTTTTTCAGTTTTTATGAGTTCTCAGTCTTTGAGTTCTTTGACACTTCAATTGTCTGTTCAATGAAAGTGAACTTTGCTGGTTTTAATAGTTGGGTTAATCTTTTTAAAGCTAGAGTGAAATCTAGCCGTCCAACCCTAGTGTGGAATAAAACCCTGACTGAGACTTCCCTTAATAGATCCTGTTCTTGGTTCACTTCCATGTACCTGGGTGAACTTTTTTGTGGTCAAAAAGCAGATTAAAGGAGCAGTATGTAAGATATCTACTACGGCGGCAGTGGCATTTGTCTTGTTGTCATCACTGATGACGTGTCATCACACATTCTTTAATTTATTTGGACCAAGTGAATAGAACTACTGGTGAGAAAGCATTAGTGGTGACATCACACTCCTCACCACATGCACATCCACTAGATGGTGCTGCATACATATGTGTCATTCTGTCCTGCTGCATGATGTCCTTCTCTATTGTGTGCAGGCCATGGCTCGAGTATGGAGGGATGGTCAGAAGAAGACTGTGCACATCTATCGACTCCTCACTGCAGGTCAGAATACGAAGCCCCTATCAGGAATATATTAGGAATAGTTGTTACGGACAATTTGGTAAGCCTAATACATAAATATAACACACATTGAGTGAGAATGTTATTGAAATACACTTTTTAAAGCTTTCTTAACAAAGTAACAAACAATATCAAACAATATAATTATCATTTTTTTATTGTAAAGATGACATCTGAAATATTTTATACTAATAAATACCTTTCCATAAATGACAGTTCAAAATTATGCTAATGATTTGTCCTTTATATATAATCTAGATTTTAGGAACAACCAGTAGCACTACATCCACTGATTTCTGAGAATCCCAGACACATGAACGGTCAATAACTCATTTATTTAATTTGGAGCAAGGCCATTTGACGCATTAAAAGCCATCAATACAATTTTAAAATCAATATCAAATGAAACAGCCAGACAGACTGTGGAAGTCGGCCATGGACTGGAGTCATGTTCAAGTGAATGTTCATTGTACAGTTAGACCGGACTGATGTTGAGTTTTAATGTCTTGCTTTGGTTTACTTTCTCATAGGCACGATTGAGGAGCGTATATTCCAGAGACAGGTGTCCAAACAGGGCCTTTCTGGGACGGTGGTTGACCTTGGAAAAGGGGCGGAGCACACCAGCTTCTCCTCCAATGAGCTTCGAGATCTTTTTAGCCTGACAGACACGCCCTCTCTGACCCACGACCTGTTAAACTGCAGCTGCAGCATGGATGGTTCACAACAGGGTAGGAACACAGCACACTGGTGTACATTTTCACTTCACTTAAACAAACTATCATTTTGCTTTTTTGTCTAAGCACTTCATTTTACTTTATGAAGTTTCTGTTTTTAAAGTTGCTATATAGATGATAATATTACTATTACTATATTTATTAACTTTTTTTCCTTCACTCTCAGCTGTTGCAGAGGAGAATGACGAACAGGTTTCTGCCAGGCCGTGCCAGCTTGGTCGTCAAGGTGACCGCAGTGTGGCGGCGCAGAAACACCTCAGCATGTCCGAGCTGATGCAGTGGAGGCATTTCTCTGGTGACACACACACCTTCTCAGACCCTTACCTCGATAATGCACGAAACCATATCACCTTCGCCTTCCAGACCACCATCTCGCACACAAGCAGTGAACCAAAGCACACTGGATGACTCTCTAGATACACACACACACACACACACACACACACACACACACACACACACACACACACACACACACACACACACACACACACACACACACACACACACACACATGAATCATCTTCTACATGTTTGTCTTCAGGCTGTCTGGGCTTTGTCTGCAGCCTGGGAACAACGCATGACTTAGACAGTCCACAGTTGCTGCCAATAACAGCATCACAGTTCCAAACTGTTTTAAGTGACATTGTTTGTGAGAATCGTTATCCTATTTTGAACATTTATTTATTTATATAAAGAAAGTAACTGTACAAATGTTTTAAATAAATGAAATTCAGAAGGAATGAGTATAAGAAACAGGTCTTTAATGAGTTGAACACTTGTTATTCTTCTGGGGGAAAGAGGTTTCTGACTGCGAGGTTTGTTTTCTATCCACATACTGGAGATGAGCGTGCAGAGAGAGGTACCTCTATATCAATCTGCAGTATTATTTACAGTCCAGAAGAGAATTGATGTTGTTCTGAGGCATGTTGAGGTGACATAGAGCCTGAGTGGTGGAGAACGAGTATATTTTACATGGAACAGTGTTTATTGCAGTAAATTGAAAAAAGAAAGAAACTGGTTAAAAAGGCATTATCCCCAGCTTTTGTGAAACATCATCACTGTTTTAGTCTTATGTAGGAACCTTGAGCACAAGTTTTGAGTGAATCGGCATGAGTTTTTTGATGAGGGCCATACTCCAGTCTGATCAGTCTGTTATTTTGGAGAATACTGCTCTGTTCATTCTCTGGAGCACAAAGCTGCTGCGTGGGAGTTATGTATGTGTTTGTGTGTCAGAGAGAGAGAGAGAGAGAGAGCGCCCTGAATTCACATATGATTTTTGTTCCTGTCTGTCAGACTGACTAAGCTCCAATACAATGCATCTTTACATAAACAGAGTAATTATTATTTACTGGATGATCACCACTCTGCGTGATTGTTAAGAAACTTTGTTGTATAATAAATGGGTTTCTGGGAGTTAAGCCTCCTTTTATACATATGACAGTTGGAGCTCTGAAGCCTGTCAGTGGATGTGTGTGTCTCTTTGTGTGTGTGTTGGAGGCAGCATAGCGATAATGCAGGCACCTGCTTCAGTTGCAACTCTACAATCTGAACAGAACTGTAAATGGCAATCTCCCACATGGATTCAAAATCTGTTCTTTCAGCCCATGAAATATGAACCTTACCTAACATTCAATATTAATATCGCGTATCTTCAATCACAGTAGAAGTCATTTCATACCATAACAGTTTGTATCAGGATACTCTAAATTGTCTCTGCATTCATTTATAGTATTGGCTGGAAATAAACATTCTTTTCTTCATCACTTTCATAAAAAAAACCTTCCTGACATGTCACAGAACTTGAGTGAAAATAAACACTCACAAGGTGAATCATAGGTCTTGTCATGGCAACCATATTTCTAAATGTCTATTGTTTGGCATATTTATTTTTTGCATGGCATATGTCATCATATCCCTAATTCAAAAATATACAATCCATCACACGAAACCACATGTTTAGCTCTTTGTCTGCATACCTTCAGCTGCCCTGCCAAATTTGAAGCAAAAGCTCCCCAGAACAAATCTTCAGAAAAAGACAGATGAGCAAAACCACATTAAGATTTATTCTTTGACATATGAAGGGTTACACAAATTAAATGCAAGTCTATGATGAAGATTTTCAGATATTTAATTGGATTAGTCTGACAAGGTGAAGAGTTATTGGGTCAACAAAATTAGAGGGAGAATTTCCCTGGGGACCATGAATGTTATTATAACATGACAAGGCAACCCATCCAGTAGTGGTAGAGATTTTTCATTCTGGACCAAAAGAATCGAGGACTGAGTAAAAGAAAACAGACAGCCCCACTGTTGTAGCTGTTACACAGCATGTTAAAAATGGACTGTACCTTTGCCAATAAGACGTCCTGACAAGGACACAGACATGTTTCCGCCTCTGACAGAAACTACTGGTGGCATAGCATCTGTCATCAAAGCAACTTTCTCCAGCTTCTGTCCCGCCCTGGCGCTGGTCATGTAAGATACGGTTTGTTTTCCAGAGCAATCACATTTTGTGGCAGAGCGCTTTGGTATCGGACACGTGTTTGGCAGACAAGTGTCACTCGTCCAAGTGGGATATTGATCCAAATCACTTCTCTTGCAGTCTCAGAGGCCATGTGATGGTGGCTGCATTAGATGGAATTTGTCTGTCTGTGTAAAGCTCTAACGGGATGCGCTGCCAATCCCTCCTTTAAGCCGCGCGTTCAAGTCCAACGGCTTCGAAAAGCAGGCGTATGGATTGAGTGAATGACTTTCCACTGCTGGAGGGGGAGAAAGAGATACAGCTGTTTTGATGGCGAGGATGAATCACAGATTTGCTCCCTGTGATACCAGGACCTCTGTGGAAGATCTGAATGTACTGTGAAGCCTGCATGGCTGAGGCTTGGGTATTAACCCTCACTGACATCACAATGCTCATGTTTCATTCATAATCTATAATCCAGCATCATTGAAGTTTAAGTTTCACATGGTTTTAAAAAAGATATTAAGATAATTGTGAATCCATTCATTCAATCTGTCAGAACTTCAGCGGCCCTGAGCTGACCCTTCTTTGCTGTGCTTTCAGGATTGGATTTCATTGGACATGTATGTATCTCATCCAAATGATGTCACATGTTTGTGTGGACAAAAACACACCATTTAGATTCTTCTACTTCTTTTTATTGGCTTTCTTCTGGTCTCACTGTTACATACTAAGATGCACACATGATTTTTCCAGCCTCTAAAATATGAGTTTAAATCTGTATATTTCATCAATTACATAGTACAGTATATGAACACTAAAATAATTGATTATATAACTAATATTTTGCAGCGCTAGATATGATAACAAATCCCCAGTCGATAAGATTGAGTACAAGGTTTGACGTAAGAGCAAGAAATCCTATAATTTGTATTACATCTATATATCCTTTTGTGCAACATTTCTTGTATAAGCTGTCATAGTCTCCTTACTGTTATAAATCCATAGTGTATGTACTGTTTATGAGTGCTCTTTGACCTGTCTCTGCAATGGTCTTTGTGATTGAACTCAAGGCTTTGATTGTATAAATACCTCCTTGGCCCACATTGGAACCAAAAGAAGTGAAAGAAACTGAAACCAGAACACAAGAGCTAAAACATCAAGGCCAGAACGTGAAGCTACAACGGCCTTCACGTCTCCAGTACACTTTAGACTTCCATGATAAAATGATAATGAAGAAAATATGAACAGATTTTTATTCAGCACATTTGAATAATCCTGTTCAGCTAGTTATGACATCTTTGTAAATGGGTCAGGCACTTGCAACATTAACACGACTACACACTTACTCTGAGTTGCCGAGACGTCAAAATGATTTTTTTCCTCTTGGTGACATTTGAATTCATTAACCGACTTTTGTGATAGCGTAGTATACCCTGATCAATCCATCTTTATTTGTATAGTTCCCAATCATAACAATTCTTACCGCAAACACACTGTACAAAAGAGCAGATGAAAGACCTTACTCTTTGTTATATTAATGACGTCCACATGATGCACTTTTGGATGAAACACAGTAAAAACAGGATACTAGTTACCAGAAGATGATTAATAGCTCAGGTTGGCCTTTTGGTCTAGAAGGTGTAATAAAGCACCCATTAGTTTCCCCTGAGAATTGAACTCTGAAGTGCCCTTCAATTGGTGAGATGCTTAGTATTTAGAGCATGCCCTACATAGTGGACAGCTGTCAGGCAGCCTCAGTGCATCACTGTCTCAGCTGGTTCTTGGACTGTGTCCTGTATAGCTGGACTCTCAATGTAGTGCTTTGACCAATGTTTCAGAATTGACCCACATTTTTAGGGTAAATGGCTATTCACTGCTCAGTGAGCTGCTGTGTCTGCTGTCCTAGAAGTCGTTGTGTCAGCTGGATGGATTGTTATATTGTCAACAATTGCCAAAAGAGCATCCAAAGGTTTTTTCAACAAAGGGGGAAGCAAACATAATCTAAACGGTTTATATACAGTATGTTTAAAAAACACACAACATTGGTGAGGACTAATGCAAAACTCGATGGTGTCACAACAAAGGGAGTTATTCTATGAAATAGCTGTAATGAAAAATGAAACCAAAATGATATTGTTGCGGCTTCTAAATTATTTCCTGTTTAAGATAGCCGCCCACAGACGACATAACGTTAAGACACGATCAAAGTATTGTATGATTACTCATGGTTTGATGATCCGCTCTGATCCACGGTCGTCTAAAATTTGTTTGACGGTTTATTCAAGACTTTTGCAGTCTTACGTTGAACTGCTTTGGCTGACTTTCGCCAAAGCAAACCAATAAAAAAAAATAATAATTACAATAGCCCCCCAAAAACAGATCTTTACAAAGAAATCAAATCTATGAGGAATAAAACAAATTAATCTAACAAAAAAGTTAAAACAACTAAACACGCTATGGTTGGGTTCCCTTGGCGTCTTCCACTGAGCCACTTAGCCACACACCTGCCTTCATTATGTTGCTCTTGAGAGGCGAGGTCAGGTGATGCTGTCTTTTAGCACCAAAACTACCACAGGGGCTGCCAAACTGTTCACACAACAAGAAGTAGAATGGAAATGTCTTGACAGACAGACAGGGTTTCAATAAAGGTTTGGTCTTTATGGAGACATGTTTGTTACTAACTTATCAAAATCTCAATCTCTTTTGAAGGATTTCAACTGTCCTACCTGCATTATGAGACAGAGCATATTTTATTATGAGCGAATAGGAGGCAGACAGAAAGAGGTCACTTTGAACTCCTGTCTATTGTAATGAGTATCACCCTGCTGTTCTGCATTCACTGAACTCCCACCTCCATCCATCCACCCATGTATCCATCCACTGGTCCCTCCTACTGACTCTGGTCCTGCTCCAGCACTTAACAAGGATTTAATGTTGCCCAATCATCTGTCAGGCAGATCAGATCAGAGCTGTAATACACAGCAGCAGGTCCCGCGGATGAGGCCTCAACCCAATGCAGAAAAGTCCTGAAAAACAACACCAGGCGAAAAAAGCAGCATAATCCCACAATCAGCATAATAACTCTCCCTCTGCACAATAAAGTGCTCTGGCAAATGAAAATCTGATGTTTAGAGTATGTGATATGATGCAAAGTCTCTCAGGACATTTGTTTTTACGTGGATCATTTACAAAATGCCAACTGGTGGTTTCCAGCCCATGAACAATATGCTGACAGGAGACCTCAGGCTGACATTCTAAGCCTCTTTTGAAGCTTTTATTCAGTCATTCCTGATGGGACGCTATGTTTAGATATGTTGTCCTGACGTTGAAAGTAATGTATCAGAAAAGCTTGATAGCATTGTTTTAACTCTTACAGACATGAGTCCTATTTGTCTGCCAACACACACCTAGGGTGTGCTTATTTGTTTGATATAATTCTTCCTTATCAGATTTTAGACACACCTTGTGTCTTTCCCTGACATCTGTCTCTCGCATATGTCGAGTGTTTGCAAAACAAGAAAATGTCCTTGTCTTTTGTCCTGGAGATATTAAGTTGAAAGTCGTGTCATGCATCCTGCATTCATCACTTGTGTTTAATTCTCCTTGATGCTGCAAAGCACGAGGCAGCAGAAAATGTTTAAATGATGAATCAGTGCAAGTGGTGGTTCTGTGATTTTAAATAACCTGCAACATACTGTTCTTCTTACAATATCATCTTTAACACTTGTATGTCAAAAAATAGATGCATGATTGGAAAATTATGATTTGGGAATAATTCATAATTTCTTCTTTATTGGCCCTAGATTACTCAAGCATGTCTGTTAATCATCTGCCAGGTTGCAGAGGCAGCTGCAGAAGTTGGGATCAGTTATTCTCAGACACAGGACTCATGCCAACATTTAAAAAATGATTGACTTGTTTCTATACAAAACCTTAACCTTAACCCTGTTACAAATGCCATACATTGTAAGTGAGATATATTTTTAATTGCATACAATGTGGAAAAAGACAGAATAGTAATGTATTAAAGGAACTGCAACAGCATGTTCCAGAACAGATTCTTTTTTTTTTTTTTATCAGAATGAAAGCTGCTTTTCTGTCTAGAGATCAGCAGCAGATGTATCATGGAAATGACCTTGCTCTTTATCGCTCTGTTTTCCTTTGTATTTGTTCCCTCTTTATACCTCTCAGACTTTTTCAACTAGAATATACAACTGAAGCAGAGGATTGGGTTACTGTCCTTAAATCTGTACATGCCCTCGCAAGGCACCTCAAATAAAGAAAACATTTACAAAACATGGTTTGCTCTTTTTATTTAGCTCAAAAATTATAAACATCAATTTATATCACTTAAATCATTTATTTAGACCTTTGAATGTTGACAATTAACAAAATAATTCATAAACTATTGATAACACTTGAACAGATTCTTATTTATTTACAATCTAAATGAGAAATGGACAGGCAATGTAACTGAATTGTCTCTTTTGCGACAATGTTTGCTCATTAAACACCAAACTGTGCCAACTACAACATCCTACATCATCATTTTTTATTTTTCTGTGAAGTTAAACATCTTTAGCCCCAAACTAACTTCTTCACTTTTTTTCATTATTTGAGGCAAAGTGTGATCAGTAGTTTGTAGTTGAATATAAAAGTGACAGTGATGATTCACCAGGCAGAATGGCTCTTGTAATACTGGTTTCATTACAGTTATGCCATGTAGTGTAATTTCGTTTTAGCATTGAACCTAAGTATTTAATTTAATTGAGAAAATGTAGGCCATAGGCTACTAAATGTATTAAACTGCTGCATTTTAGTCGGGTGTCTCTGAGATTATGTATTTCATGATTATCTATTCTACATTTATAAAATAAGTGAATTCATGTTTGTGCTACATCCCTGGTGCCCTCAGTGTTTATAAATTACCCAAGCAGTGGCACATTGCCGGACCGTGTCAGATCTGAGTAAAAACAGTGCACTTCATCACAGTAAACACTCATGCTCCACTTGTGTGACCCTCCCTCCTCATCCTCCCCCTTCTCTCCCTCCTCTTTATATAAAGCTTAGGGAAACCCCATCCGAGCATTAGGCAAACTCTCAGCTGGAGTTTACAGGCGACAGCAGACACATCAAGGACACACCATCCGGGATTTACCAACCAGATGTTTTCCTACCAGTGAAACTTTGCTTTTCCTGCGTGTCTTTTTTTTTTTTTTGCGTGTGAACCTGGTCTCTTTTTAAAATTATAAGTTATATTTTTTATCAGCCTCACTCACTGAGGGTGCTGTAAATCACTAATTATCTAACTATCATCAAGTGACTCGCAGAAACCATACGACTCCTGTGTTTAGCTAAAGCTGATGAGTTGTTAAAGGGACCTGCCTCGCTTTATTTTACCTTCTGCTGTGTTTTTCCGGTGAAAATCGAGTTTTAACCTTCAAATCCAGCCGCTGCTTCTTAATCCCGTTCATCCTAATTCATCCCCCGGCACCATGATGTCCAGTGTGCGCCGGCACAGCCTCCGCCTGCAGTCCGAGCTCCATCGCTGGAGCATCTGTGACCCGGGCAGCCACCTGCTCCCGGATAGCCTCCTGACCCGGGTCCCTGCCTGCATCTCCCGCTCCAAGTCCTGCACCAGCTCCGCAGGGGAGTCTGACGGCAGCCGCGGCAGCTGGTCGTCCTCAGACTCTGTTATCTCCACCGACTCCACTGGGGAGTCTGCGGAACCCGGGAGCCCGTACCGGGTCGTGCTGTTAGGGGCCAGCGGGGTCGGCAAGACGGCTTTCGCCAGCATCTTCGCCGGAGCTGCGGACAGTATGGACAGTGATGACTGCGAGCTATGTGAGGTGAGCAAAAAGAAGTGATCTCATGCCTCTAGAGCAGATCCGGATTCAGCAGATCAGATTTTTACATGATCTAAATAATGAGATCAATCAGTCAGACCTCGAGCAGAACCAGACTTATTGAGGCCCAGACCCATCTGCAATAACCAGAAGGCATATTTGTTTTTTAAAAAGATGCTAAAGATGACCATAAAGTCTAAAAAAAAAGTACACCCAATAAAAACGTACTTCTTTTGTAAACTAAAATATTTAGTTTTTGAGGGTATCATTTTGATGAAAGCATTGGTCTTTTTTTTTTTTTTTTTTACAACACAAATTCACAATCTTACAAATGTTAATGTTTTTTGTTCTTGTCCTGTAAATCTTTTCAGATGAAGTGTGTGAGAAGGAAATAGAAGTTGATGGGGAACCTGCGACTTTGACTGTGCTGGATACATGGGATTCAGAGGTGAGCTTAAAAACAGCTGCATTGATTTGTGTGAATCAGAGGTCAGCCTGTTTTGAAGCGCTCACATTATAAAACATGTGTCTGACTTGGTGCGTTTTGTCTTTACAGACTGATGCTGACGGGGCTCAAGAATGCTATATGCAGACAGGTGACGCATACCTGTTGCTGTACTCTGTGACTGACCGGGCCTCATTCCTGCGAGCCTCAGAGCTCAGGATAACCTTGCGCCGCTTCCGTCCTGCCCAGCACACACCGATCATCCTGGTGGGGAACAAATGTGACCTGGTGCGACGCAGAGAAGTGTCAGTCAGCGGTGAGGACACACGTTTCATGTCTGTTTGTATTCACTGTGAGGTTCTCTCTACATGCATGGACTAAAGTTTGATTTCCAATTACAGAGGGTCGTGCCTGTGCTGCTGTGTTCGACTGTAAGTTTATTGAAACCTCGGCCGCCATGCAGCACAACGTCTGGGAGGCTTTTCATGGCATCGTGCAACAGCTGCGTCTACGCCGTGACTCCAAGGAAGCCAACAAGCGCCGCAAGCACAAACACTGTAAGACACGCCGCGAAAGCCTGCCTATGAAGGCCAAACGCTTCCTCGACAAGTTGGTGGCAAAGAACAATCCCAGTGTGGCCTTCTGGCTGAAATCAAAGTCCTGCCATGATCTCTCTGTGCTGTAACAGCCTGACAGGCACTTGTATTTTTTAACTCCAACCATTTGAGTATGTGAAAAGGTTTCAGCATACTACAGAGCGGGAGCTGTGGCTGGATATTAAGCCTGCCTCTTGAGGCGTAGAGGTTGGATGGTTCCAACCCAGACATCAGTGAGTCCATAATGAGTGTGGTGCACACAAGAGGTGGATGCAGCATTTCAGTGCTTCGTTATGTTGCAGTCTGAACTACACTGAGTGAACTGAGCTCAGTGCGTCAGCCTACGAAATGGACTCCAGTATGAGTGACATTTCCTTTTGCAAAGTGTCAGTGTGGAGAAAAATCATTTGAAGTAAAGATGGAAACTGACAGAAAGATTTGTTGTTTGTAGCTACTTTCTCTGTTTCTTCTCACCTCTCTTGCTCTCATACCTGCCAATTGTGTCGACAGTCGATCCCAAAGTGCTAGCTCTACCAGCTGTAAGCTATGATCATGTTGAATGATTATTTAGCCATTACCTTGAGTTTATATGCTGTGTTTTGTACCTCTTTTAAATAAATACTATATTGATAATGTTGTGTGTTTTTGCTACTTGTATGTAGATTCATTGTTGCCTATTGAATAAAGTCACATAATCCTGTTTGTGGGGGAAAACTGTCTCTTTTGTCTCTCACTTCAACGTCACTGATGAGATGTTAGCAAGCGTGACTCAGCTACACGAAAGAGACACACTAACACAAACAGGGTTTAACACTAACACAACCGAGCTGATGAGAGATGAGTCAGGTGGTGACGTTGAGGCTCAACTTTCAGAAACAAAATTAGCCCATGTGTGAGTGCAAGAGAGGGCTAATGGGAGTGCTGGGATTCAACTGCTATAGCATTTATTTATATTTATAGCATCCCATTAATCCAGCCATCCATATAAACCTAATAATTCACTTTTTTTAGTCTACATCTGTAAATTTTGTAATTACTGTACATAGCACAGACTCTTGCACTTTCTGCTTATTTGCACTTCTGGTGAGATGCCAAACCTCATTTCGTTACTCTATACTTGTATATGTGCAATGACAATAAAGTTGAATCTCATCTCATCTCATCTCATCTCAGGGGGTTGGTCAAAGTTTACATTGAGCACTGCCAGCCCTGATCCTGAACGCTCTCTGAAAAGCAGCTTAAATGCAGGAAAATGTGCTGCTCATGTAACACTCAGAGGAGACCAGTTAGAGTTGTGTATGTATAGCATATTTAATAGGCTACATACATAACAGTCTATTTCCTCATCTGCTGAAGCTTCAACACCACACTCTCAGGTTTTGGTTAAATGGTAGTCGTGTGAAACAGTGACTCACTCACAGCTGTTTTTTTCCCTTTAAAGTTGTAGAGACAGATACGGCTTCCTTGTTTCTACGTAGCCTTGAACAGATTGTTAAGCTTACTTTTCCATGCCAGGATTGTAGCGTGTACATCAGGATGTATGGAAGATAATCCCATCTATATGTACAATAAAGTACGACACAATGGCACAACAGGTCACTGTTTGTGCACCAGTTATGTTGCATTCACTCCGACAGAAGATGTAAAAAGAGCAAAGAAGGAAGCAATATTTCAAAGCTTCTGGGTAAGTGCATTAAGCCATTGAATCTGCTGATGAGTGCATACTTTTACATTGTAATGATACATGGGATTTTCAGTAGACTCTGTTACTCCCATTGTGTGTACACACAGCTTCTTATCAGTGACTGTGATACTCATGGAAATCTGACAGGAAACAGTGCAGAGGTGTGGAGGTCAAAGTCTGACTCAAAAGAAGACGCTGAAAAGCAGATTTGAAGAATGATGGCCCATTTGTTTCATTTTTCTCTATTTGTCTGTAATTCATACAAACTATTTGACAAATACAAAACATTTTGATACAACTTCTTCAGTGAGTTTGTTTTCTGCTGACTATAGCCCACTCACAGGAACAAAACTATCAGCATTTTAGGATTTAAGTCGAATCAAAGACTGGCATTAAGTGCAGTTACAATGGTTTTGTCTTTTATAATACTATCTTTTCCATTGTCCTGTTCTTCCTGTCTCCTTCACTCCATCAGCTACTTCCCTCATTGGCTAGCCAGCCTTGAAGGCAGGGTTATTAGACAATCATTAGATCCAATAAAACATAGCTGGTTAACACTTGGTTAACGTTTGACCAGACAGGATGGAGCTGCTCAGATCACTCTGAAGTCTGAGGAGCGACTCACTCGATCTCTCCAGCGAGGTAAGTCTCTGCACACTTCTGTCGTCTAGTTTTTGATATATTCTGTATTTTACATAGAGATTTGTGGCTGGGGAAAAAGGACACTAACTGGATATCCTCTGTGGCTTTTACTTGGTTGAGTTCAATTTGAGGAATACTTTCAGTGAGTTGGAAATGTACTGTGATCTTGACGTGACTTTGCCAAGGCCTTGTTACAGGCTGACGGCATACCGACCATTTGTCTATTTCATGGCTTCCTGTATTGTTGTCAGTGCTTGGTTTTTGGTGGGACACAACTTAAACAAGACACTTGACATTGGGAAATAGCCGCAGAAAATACGACTAACAAAGGTCATCCAGTTATCGGATAAAACAGAGACAGGAAGGGCCTGCAACACCCTGATCATTGTGATCATGGTGTCATATGATTGCCACTTTTTTCATTAATTCTTTGTTGGAAAAAATGACATTAGATAATTAAATGTACAATATGATTTCCTCATGTAAATTAGTTTAAATTATTGTACATATATAAACAATATTGGTATTGTTAGTAAAAATATGGCAGTTAGAATAAATTAGGAAAATGTTGAGTGGAAATAAATGAAGTTAAACGGACAAATGTGGTCAAACATAAGTTGAACTTGTCTTGTTTTAACAAAGACTATAGATGGGCGTTGACGTTTAAGTGTGCTGTGCTACAAAGAGGTCATTAGCCATGACTCAATGTCACCTTCACCTTTTTGACGGCTGACTTTAACCTTCGTACTCTGGTTCTTAAACTCTCTGAAACATGTTCGTTTACAATCACATTCTCATATTTCTATCTTTCCATGCACGTGCTGTTACTCATCTTCGACGTTAATATCTTATTTTCCTGTTGTTATCCAAACAATGTCACGGTTGTGTTGATTCAAACGGAAGCGTAAATATATTCTGCTGTCATATGAATATAACATTGACTTTATACTGTCCGTCTGAGACTTTCTGAAGTTTCTGCTATTGAACTGAACCAAAGTGTATGACGCATAAAAATATAAATTAATGTTCAGTGCGTCATATTTGGGTCAAGAGAAATCTAGTTAGCATTGTTATATACTCACAAAGCTTCCTGATAAAGTTATTCTTCACTCTTGTGTAAGCAACAGGGTTACACACTTTGACCTCCGGGTAGATTTGTCCCACTGACATACACTGTGAAAAGCTCACTTGAAGTTGAAACAAATCTCAGTGTTTAGCGTTGTGTGGTAGCTCTGACTTTCGTTTTCTGTGGTAGGTACTTTAACTGCTTGTGTATCTGGAGCCATATATGTGTGGCCCCAGCTACACAAGCAGTTAAAGTACCTACCACAGAAAACGAAAGTATATATGTAGCTGGAGCCATATATATACATAGCCATACATATAATGAATATATATATAAGGACTGTTCCTTTTCAGTTCATAGCATAAGGCAGAGACTAATAGCAGATAAATGAGTGGAAACTCAAAGACAAAAGTAAGAAATTCTTAAGAGTCTTGTGTCTTTATGAAGCAATAACTCTGAATAGAGAAAGCAATGAACTGGTGGTTTAATTGTTTCCAGTTGGACTGAGCTACAGCAGAGAAAGGTGAAAATAATGTTCTGTGTTATGTAAATGTGTGACTAAAATCTTCCTCATAATGTCTCTGTCTCCTCCTGCTTTCTTCTAACCTTGATCCCCCATATCTCTCCCTCCTCTTCCTCCTTCCTTACCAGACTGTGATCATGACTTCCATGGTGCATCTGTTGTTGCTCCCGCTCCTGCTCAGCATTGTGAGTACATAACACCTCCGACTGCTGCTTCTTTCCATTTATACATATTCATAGTAAATGCTCAAATACACAAACCTGTTAAAAGGTTGTTTTATTAACAGTCAGTGTGGATTAATGCTTCGATTTATTCATGTACTTTATGTAATATGGTAATTCATGAGACGGCTTTGTTGGTGAATATTTCAGTAACTGTCTACAGGGTTAAAGTGTGCAGGGAAACCGTCAATAACTTATTTTAAAAAACCAAAAGGAAGCGTAAAGTTAGCATTTGTCCTCTCTCTGTAGACTTTGCTCTCCTTTCCTCACAGTAGATACAAGTTTATCCCCATTTGTCGTCTCTTTTTGGTTCAATAAATAACTGAGCAGTAAAAACCTGCCCCCAATGCCTGACTTCATTCACTTACAGCAACAGGGCTGAGGCAAAAAAATGGGCAAATGTAGTGTATGAGTGTGACAGGTTCAATTAGATCTCAGTGTGCACTTTTTGTTCAATGATCTTGGACCTCTACCTCTGTGCTCTGATAGGCTGCTGGGACAGATCTGGAGGAAAAGAAAGGCCCGTTTGAGAACATCGAACTGGATGTGCGAGAAGGGACTCCAGTGCCTTACGCCATCTACCAGGTATTAAAAATTAACAGAGTAAATTAGAACCAGTAATTTATCAGTTCTCACTAGACTGTACTTTTATCGGTTGTTGTTTGTTTTCACAAGTGTCTAGGGTTTTCTCTCATCCCCCCATGTTTCACTCTGTAGTTTCAGGTGACCAATTCAGAGGTAAATAACTTCCGGCTGAGTGGAGAAGGCATGGAGGACATTAAAATTTCAAAGGACGGTTGGCTGTTTCTGGACAAGTCTCTGGACTGGTCTCGAGATAATCATTACATACTAGTGGTAAATTGGTATTGTCTTGTAACAGAAACATATACTTTTATAATAATAATGATGATGCACTATTTATAAACGTGTGTGTATGTGATCATATTCAGGTGGAGGCATTGGCAGATAATGAAGTTGTGGAAGACCCAATTCATGTCACAATAAATGTGTTGGACGTCAACAACAACGCTCCGTACTTCAACCAGAGCGACTACACAGCCGTAGTTAGAGAACACAGTCGGGCAGGTATGTGTGTTAGAAATATTTCATTATAGGAGAGGAAACACCTGAAACAAAGACAACACTATTTAACAAAAAGCATTGCTTAAGAAGTTTTTAAGTTTAAACACCTTTTGCAAAAATGTTCAACCTTAACAACAGAGTCTTGGGCACGGGTGGCCTGACCTTTAAACGACCTTTAAAAAAACTGGGGGACTGTTGTTAGAACATCTCAGCTTTATCCTCATCATATATTGCAGAACTTTGTACTGAAATGTGTTCATTCAGTTAAAGCTCATTTTAGAGACATTGTAGTGAAGATGAATTTCTCTACCTTACAAATCATGTGCCAACATTACTGAACACATTCCCTTGTCGGAAATATATGTTTAAGGAGCAGCATGTAGAACAAAAAGACAAACGTTTCAATGCAGGATCATGCAAAGAATTTGACTAGTCCAAAAGTCTGTCTTCCTTGTGCAAAATAAGTGGAACACAAACATACTAACTTCATGTACCTGTAATCATATGTCCAGCACTCAGCCAATGGATGTTAGGGCTCTCTTGAATCAAACCACAAGACCGTATTTTTCATCATTTTTCCTGTACTAGTGTGAAATTTTCCCCTGTTTTGACTTGACATGAAAAATGTTCTGTGTGATGAACAGTCTGATTTTCATACTGTACTAAAAATAACAGCAGTCCGTCTTCAAGCTGTCTTTCTTAAGCTTTCTTTATCCAATGAATGCAAGATTTAGAATAATTAAAACAATTTGTGTTTTGAACGCTAAGAAATCTCCCTAAAACACTTAACAGTTTTGCTTTTGGATAAAAAAGATGCAGCATCTGTGTATGCCATTGTGTGTAACAACTGCACTTGAATGATTCCTAGCGTACATATAAAAGAAGCAGCAAAACTACATGTGCACTCTGTTAAATGAATGATCCTTCCCTAATTTGAAACTTTAACATGTAACTGAGGTTAAACATTGGTATTGTCTGTTTTATCCAGGTGTTGAATTTACCCGGGTGTTTGCATTGGACCGGGATGACCCTCAGACCCCCAACGCTCATCTGAGCTACAGCCTGGTCAAACAGATCCCCAGCAAACACAATACGCTAATGTTCCAGATCGACTCCAACACTGGAGAGATCTCCACCACTGAACAAGGTGATACACACATACCTGTGCACAGACATCAACAAACAGAACAGAACAGAACATTCCCTGCACTGTCTGCAGGGAAAGTCTGTTTTTTTTTTTTCCATATCTGCCTGTAATCTGACTGTATAGTGCCACTGCAAATCCAGATTACACAGCTCATCTTCTGTGCTCAAGATTAACACTGATTGGAGGCAGATTGCCTAAACGTGTCGCGTGCTGTTGATCACAGCTTATGCGAGTGGGCATGGATGTGGTGGAGTTTTACATCTGTGAGAAAATGCTTGATCACATTTCTCAGACAGCAAAGTCCCTTGATTCAGTTTATAACATGTTTTAATGTGTAAAAACATGTATGTGTGTTTTTAACAGGTGAACTAACCCTTAAAGCCAGAGAAGGCATCCATTATGGCAGAGGAGAAGATAGGAGTATTGACGCCCTGAAGGAAAAGTTTACTGAATACTGTCCAATGCAGAGGATCTCCTTTGAAGAAAATCCCTTCTTCACCTGTGTGGAGAGAGCAGGTTTGTGTCCAGATATGTCAAGTGTAAAGCTGCAATGAGTATTTTCTTTTGATAAGTAACTGTGATCCTTCATCAAAGTGATAAGTACCATAAGTAAGTCCATTATAAAGCACCTTTCAGGAACAGATAGCAAGAGGCAATAAAAAGGTAAAGACATAAAAGCAGACATGGACAGATCAAATAAAGGAGAGTCTAAACTAGAGACCGACTCATAATATCAGCCGATATCTGCATCTCCAGAGTGTCAAGCGGTGAGACACTTATATTCACAGTTACTTTCCAGTTGAGCGACCATCTTTTCTTTATTATTCATCTTTTAAACAAGTGTTTGATAGCTGAATTTAAGGGATCACTGCAATCAATGTGTAAATCTAAATCTATCTCTAAAGATCGAAGATAGATCTGAGAAAGATATCTGCCGATATATCGTATCAGATTTTTTCCCCTCCCCCCACAATCGCTATTGGTATTGGCCCCAAAAATCCCATATCGGTCGGGCCCTAGTCCAGACAAATGGGTCTCCCAGAGTTCACAGCTCTCAGGTCTGATGTGAAACAGGTCCAGAGTTTAGGAGCTACATCCTTGAATGTACAGTCTTCTTCAGTTCTGAGTAAATAACAGAGACAAGAGGCAAACACATATGTAAAGATGAAACCTTATCTGAAATCTATGGGCTAATTGATCAGAGTGCAAAATCTCATGCATCGCAATCACACTAGAGAACAAAACTAAAGATATATCTTAACACTACAAAGTACATATACATCAAGCATAATCAGTGAGAGGAAACATCACAATTTATTTTCTTCATTCAGGCCAAAAGACTTGATTGTGCACAGTAAGTGTTTGAATTACTTAATGCCTCTCTGTAGAGCGCCTTTACACAGGATGCTGCAGAGACACAGGTAGCCTGTGCATCGTGTTGAACTCGTGTCTTGTGTTGAAATATGTGACTATTTCAGGATCTGTTAGTTCTTGTCACAATATTTTGACAGACTTTACACTTTATTGACAACCCGATCTGCTGCAGTCTATGAAGGTTTTAGGATGAACGTTTTACATTTTTGTTTCTAGAATGTTGTTGTGCGACATTTGTTAAGTCTGATTAATTTTGATTATTGAATTTATTTTGTCAGTGTTGAATATTAGAATCAACAAAGCCCATAGGTTGATTAAAATGCTGGAGATCATGTATTATTTATATCTTTACAGCACATTTTATGTATCTCTCTATCCTATCCAATAAAGGCAAAATCGCAAAAAAAAAGATTTATAAATAATATATGGATTGATTGAAAAATAAATAGATTGATAAAAATTTGCATAATTGTTCATTTCAGCCCGAAAAGGAAATGAATCTAACAGTCTGCAAATACATTCTGAGTGGTGAACACACAGCGAGAAGACTTAAATCAATAGGTTCATATTTTTCAGATGAAAACTTTTATTAACAATATCACCAAAAACTTTCAGAGGAAAAGAGGAATAATTAGAAAATGTTCACATGTTGTTGTTTTTGGTTTTTACAAATGTTTCTAAAGTCAAAGCAACAAGTAATTTAAGTTTGCTGATTTGTGTTGGTTAAGGCGTGAGCTTGTGACGACACAGACGGAGGGATAGTGTCAGTGTAGATAAACACAGTGTAATCACTGTCAGAGATTAGTGCTGGTTGAGTGTTATGTTGAGGAGTTTCTAGAAGAGAGAGCAGCTAAGCCAACCCTGATTTGAAGACCCTGTCCATGTGACTTAGTTTTCTGACAGAAGTTTTCAACTAAAAAAGTCTTTGTGTTTAGAATCTCCCAGAACTCTTTATTTTTGTCACTCTTGCATGACTCAACATCTCTGGTTTCAGAATTGAGAAGGAGGAATGTGGACCCCATGGAGGACCCAGACTACACCCTGATTGTGCGCGTGGAGGATTTGGGGGGAGATTCGGAGACGGCGCTGAGTGGAAACACCAGGGTGTACATTGTTGTGCAGCAAAATCTGTGGGTCAATCCTGGTCCTATAACTGTGAAAGAAAACTCAGATGGACCTTACCCTCTGGTCATCACTCAGGTGTGGGGGGATGCACATGCTACACAAATGTCACAAAAAAGTACAAACATTCACTACACCTGCTACACCTTTATCTAACATCCCTCTCTGGTCTTTTTATTCTTGTTTTCAATCCAGGTCCAGTCTAATGAGCCAAACGCCATCTACAGATTAGTTCAGAAGGAGCGAGAGCTGCGATTCCCCTTCGAGATCTCAGAAAACGGAGAGATACTTCTGACAGACGTGCTGGACAGAGAAGACAAGGACATGGTACACGACACCAGCTTAATCGATTGACCTCTCTTTATCTCAAGTAGAAATAATTACCCCCTGTGACCATTCTTGATCTTGTGTTTCAGTACATCCTGGTGGTTCTGGCTGTGGATCACACCGGTTCAGAGGTGGATCCACCCATGGAGATTCAGGTCTTAGTAGAAGATGTGAACGACAACAAACCAGTGTGTTATAACGAGTTGAGTGTCTTTGAGGTGCAGGAGGGAGAGCCAGTAGGTAAGATGTGTGTGTGTGATTTTTACATAACCCATTCACAACACCAAGGCTGATTCATGTTCCCTCGTTCAGCCAATGTTTTTCTCATTCTTCCATTCTGTGATCACATCATCACTTCTTCTGTTTGCTTTGCATTCGGTTTATTGAGTCCTTATTAAAAATACAATTTGTCAAGAGGTTTAGGCGAGAAAGGGACCAGAGCCAGACAAGAGGAGCAATCAGACCCTGTATTTAAGTAAAAACACAGCAGTGAAGAGATATTCTGTTACAAGTAGAAGTCCTGCATACAAAATCTGCAAGGTAGCAAAAAGTTGATATTTCAAATACAGCTAAATACATTTGAAAGTAGCATGAAATTAAAGCAAAAGAAGCTTGAGACAAACCATAGAAGTGTAAGACAAACCTTTAGCTCCTAAATGTTCACACAACATATGTCTACCTTAATGGAATTCCTTATACCTCGTAAAAAAACAAAAAACAAATAAACAACAAACTCTTGTTTATAACATAAAAAAACACAAACAGAAATAGATCAGAAGCAGTAAACACAAGAAAACTCATTCACAGCTTTTATTCTTAACTTGGTGTTCTTGTGGTCTCAGGTAGCCTGATCGGTCAGCTGTTGGCCCAAGATGACGATGAACCCGAGACATTGAACTCTCAGCTGACTTACACCATCGTGTCCGAAGATCCTGCAATTAATTCCGCCTTCTCAATCGACGATGCGTCTGGAAAAATTCAGGCTTTACGCATGCTGCAGAGAAAGGACCAGCAGATCTTTACATTCAATGTCAGAGTGAATGATGCAGGTAACACCTATGCTGTATGAAGTAACACACCTGTAAATACTGGTACTTTTTCAGTTCCCAATGAAGTACCTGTGTGATTTGTCGTTTCACAGCTTTCAGCGAAGAATGTAAGGTCGTCATCAAGGTCATTGATGTCAACAATGAGATGCCTCTGTTTGAGAAGAAGGATGTGAGTATGTGAGCAATTGTTAGTCTTGTTTATTTCTCATGCTGTCTGGCTGATTGTCTCCATGCTTTTGTGTGTGTGTGTGTGTGTGTGTGTGTGTGTGTGTGTGTGTGTGTGTGTGTGTGTGTGTGTGTGCAGTACGGCACTCACACTCTGGCCGAGGACATGGCTGTGGGAAGCACAGTGTTAAACATCAGCGCATCAGACGGTGATGATCCAGACAGCGGCAGCTCCCTCATCGAGTTCCACATCTCTAAAGGCGACGATGATGAAGTTTTTGCTGTGAAACAGACGGAAAAGGTGTCGGTCATCTTGTCATCGTTAAGGTATGGTATCAACGTACTCAACATCTACACATAAGCTCACACAGATTGTCATAAAACTCAGTGATTTTTGTCTGAAATATGTTCCCTCACAAAGATCCCATTTAATTGCAGAGCTTCTTTTTTTTTTAGCTTTATTATCTTTTAATAAACGTGACGCTTAGTCAACAAATGTCAAAAAATAGTGAAATGTTCCTAAACATTTGTGTCAAAGGGTTTAATTAAATGTCTTATTTTCTCAACAAACAAACGGTCCTTAACCTGAATTTGTATTTTTGAAATAAACATAGATGTTTGTGTCCTAATTAAAATAAAAACACTAAGTCAAGGAACCCCTAATCCCAATTATGCATTTATACCACAACCCAAACAGCATTGTCAACTTCAACAGACCCAGGTGCCATTCATGCAACCTCCGGGTAGTGACAACTCTGATTCTACCGACCCTGCCACACAAACAAGTTTCCCCTACAAATTTACCTTCATCTCTCAATCTGTAGCACCCTTCAAGTGGCCTGGCTGTTACCTGCTTGAAAATCGAACTCCTAAATATTTCTCTCCCTAATGGACAAATTGAATAGCTGCACTCTTTTTCTGAATACATCCTGAATTCGCTTGTCGCCTTCTGAACACATTGGGCACAATGGGCCTCCTTCTACCCAACACTTTAGGTTCTTGGGTGATGGTAGCACATCATCATTAGCTATCAGGAAATCAGGAAATGTATGTGCTTATCTTCTATACTCCACAGGTCCCTCCTACTAACTGGCACACACCATACGTTTTTTTTTATTATAACCCACCTGTTTTGATTTTATGATTGATAGGAGTTATTCATAATATGGCGCGTGGCTGCCCTGACTGACAGACGGGCGCAGTGTAGCCGTTTGTCAGGATGCCTCATCTCCAGCTTCTGTTTGTTAGGTTGACCAAAAGTTTTTATTTGAGACAGCATTTCCATTGTGGATTCGACAGGTTTCACTTCAGTAACCAATGGGTGACATCACTGAGTCTTTGTCCATGAATATTCCCAGTCTATGGTCCTGACCAATTGCAATGGATTGTAATGACATTAAGGCTGAAGCTAAGAGAAGCTGTCAGTATTTTAGAATCTGCAACCAACGAAAGGGTTTTATCTTTTCTTGATAAATGACTCCAATGATCCATTATCAAAAAGGTGGGAAATGTAAAAACTTAGAGGATCAAAAAAATGAATATTTCTTTGATTATCTCAAGAAAATTGCATTTTCAAGGGTGGAAGCTAATTCTGTAGCTGCTGGATCTGACTTCTTACTATTGGTAGTGTGAAATTATAAAGACTTTGCCTTTGTGACTTTGAATTTTAAAAAAGACCTGCATAAGGAGATAGCAGAGTGTGAAACCTCCAAGATATATAACAGAATCATGACTACGTAGTGGCCTTCATAGGGCCTTGAACATATTGGTTGCTTCTCCTTCTGTCTCTAACCAGCCGGCTTGTCTCTCTACAGCCTTTGGACTTCGAGGCCTCTCCCATCTTCAATCTTCAGATTGATGCTCGTAACCCGGAGCCGCTGATGAAAGGTCTGGAGTACGGTGCTGAGTCCACAGCCTTCGTCTCAGTGTCTCTCACAGATGTAGATGAGGCTCCAGAGTTCAGCATGGACATCCTGGATGTTACTGTGCCTGAAAACACCACCAAGGGTTCAGTGCTGCTCACTGTGGAGGCGAAGGATCCAGAGGGCAAAGATATCACGTAAATACGCTCTTTTTCTCTTCTTCTTTAAAATGGATACAATTGTCTGTGCGTATTTATTTACTACATATATAAAAGAGAAAATAAGAAGAGTAAAAACATTCTTAGAGCCGCTTAGTTTCTAGTCAGGAGTGCTTAAATTACAATATCTTCCGTATACAACAGATAGATACGATGCAACATGCATTCATGAAATGTGACAAAGACAAACAGCCATAGTGCCTAAAAGAATAATTCTTAATATATCATATATTTCCCTCCAATGATAGCTGTACTATTTGTTAGATAATACCAACAAGCCAGTCCAAAGTTCCCCTTCAAGTCATGCTCATTTTTCTTCAGGGCCCCCATCATGCTAATTTCAGTCCATTTATAGAGAATATTAAGTTAGACTACAAAATATGAATTATTTATTTCTTCAAAATTCTTTGTGTCCACTTTGCATTCTTATGACTAAACCTGGTTCTTTCAACACTTACCCATTCCTTTTTTCTATTCAACCATTTATCTACAGTAACTCTACTTATATTAACATTTAAAAATCTCCATAAAAAAGGCAAACAGCTGTTACATGTGTTGTCATTATGGTAAATGAAATTAGTAGTATACATATACATAGTTGCTGCTGTCTGCTTCTTCAGGTTGATCTGACACTGACTGCACTCCGTTAGGATGTGTGTCTTTGTTTTGGTCTTTTATCTAGATGCCACCTGCACATTCAAAAAGAAACAAGAAAACCTCCTCTTACGGAGACAACACTGACATTAAGTCATGTTCCTCTGAACTGAACACAAACACACGTGTGGCTGTCATGGCTGAAGGACTGCTAAGCTCAGTACTGGCTTCATCTGTTACATTAATGGTTCCCTTTGGCAGCTGGTTTGGAGTTTCATCTGTTAGGACCATCACGTGTACCTAAAAAAGACTATAGATTTGTTTTGACCCCCATTATATCCCCTGGGCCACAGGTCAGAGGCTGGTGTTTCATGAATGATTTCTACTATCTGCCTTCCAATGTTTGTGTGTGTGTGTGTGTGTGTGTGTGTGTGTGTGTGTGTGTGTGTGTGTGTGTGTGTGTGTGTGTGTGTGTCTTCGTGCTGTGCAGTTTTAAGTTGGATGGTGACACTCGGGGCTGGCTGGAGATCGATGCTGCCACAGGACAGATCAAGACCAAAGCAAAGCTGGACAGGGAAATCCTGGAGGCATTCGACGTCACTGTCACTGTATTTGAGAAGGGTGAGACATTACACTCACTTCACAGCTTCAAATTATTCCAGCTGTTGTTGAAAAGTAATCAACAATCAAGGGCAAACCTATGCAGAACAGAATTTGATTATTTGTGACCTTTGATCTTTAAAATCGGTCAATTGTTTCATGCTATACAACAAAGTTATGTTCAAGCAATGGCCCTTTTTTAAATTCATGCCTTCTGATTTCCCTCCATCCGCAGAGAACCCCAAAATGTCCTCTGAGCGTGTCCTGTCTGTGAGGGTGCTGATGTGAACGACAACAGCCCCGAACTGACGGAGACTCAGTTTTTCATCTGTATGCAGAAACCTGAACCTGTCATCATCAGAGCCCACGACGCAGACAGTGCCCCCTTCTCACAGCCCTTCACCTTCACCTGGGTAGTGGTAGTGGCAAAAAGTCTCCCAACTGGGATCTGAAAGTTGTGGATGGTACGCTGGCATGAAGTGATATATCAGAACTTGGTATCAAACTGAAGTTTTACACTCATCTACAGATTAAAATACCCCTCTTGTTTCCTTTTGTTTGTTTTGCAGGGACAACAGCTAGACTGACCCTGATGAAAAAAGCAACTGAGGAGAAAACCTTCAGATTTCCCATTGACATCAAAGACAATGCAGGCATGGGAGTGAAACAGATGTTTGAAGGTGAGTTTGTTCTTTAATATAAACTTAAAGGCTGCATCTGGTTACTATTGCCGTGAAACTACAAAAACAACTAATTCAATTATTCTGTCTCTGCAGCTACAGCCAAATATTGTTTTTCCTCAGTGCCACATACATCCATAGTTTTCCATTTAAAGCCTATTACCATGTACACAGTCACTGTACTCATATTTTGGGGTCAATCCCATTCCATTTGCCGCCTTGCTGCTCTAAGTACTCACTCGTCCTAAATGTGTGTTGATCAATGGCTGAAAATAGTCCACAACAAACGCACCATTTATCCTTGTTTGGGTTCTGTAGTTTCAAAACTATCATACCATGGTGTTTAAAAATTGAGACTTAGGCTATTAAAGTTTTTTAATTCCTTTTTTTTTTATAGATTCATCTTTAGTAAAACATAGACATTTGAGGTATTGTTACACAGAAGTAGTTGTGTGTTTAGAGGCTGTGTTTTTATTTTAAACAGATTTTTTAGCAGGGTGAATAGCAGAACAATTTAAATCACTAGTCTCAGCGGGTGTTCCTGCTAGCTTGCTGTTGACAGTGAGGGTTAGGAATATGACTGCTCATTGACAAGAATCACAGCGGACAAGTAAAGTTAGAAGTTATACAAAAACTGCCTCTGTTTGAGAGCTGAAGGACAAACTGCTTTTTAAAATTGGAAACCTCCTCTTGATCCTTTCCCTTTAGCTAACGATGTCTTTGTTTATTAAATTCTTTGGATTACGTTTTTTTCAGTTACTATTAGCTCATAAGTGATCTGTTTATCCATTTCTTTAAACAACCTTTTTTCTACGATGTCAACCGCTTATTTATTTATTTTGCTCACTATATCACATTCGTATCCTCTCTTGACTTTGCTATTTATTTATCTTTGCTATCTTGCTAACTAGTTTTCAAGTATGCTCAGTGGCGACGCATCATTGTAAGGTGTTACAGCTGACTTGGTGGAAATAGACAGTTTTAACTGAGTTTCTTTATATGTGTCGTAAATGTTAACAAAAGCATAAAACACATGAAATAGCATTTTATAGCAATTTGAATCCAAAAGATTTATATTTTCGACATATAGCCTATTTTAAACATGTACATAAAACAGTGAATCATCAAAAGTTTCCTCTTTAGCCAGTATTCTACATTTGCTCAGAAATATCCAGAGTGGTTCCCAAACCCTCATGAAAGTATCTTGCTGACCATAGTCTACAAGTGTGATCTTTTGTGTTAAAAAAGTCAACATTCCCAACCGCCATTGGTCAATATGCTGCAGTCTATTCACACTTTTTCAGACAAGAGCTATTCAAGCTTTTTGTTTGCAAAGAGCAGGTCTATAAGGATCTGTACTTTGTTCTTTAGATTATGACTGGTCTGGTTATAAACCCAGAATAAACACTCTGATGTAAAGGCAAGCTTACTGACTCTCTTTAGGATATCACACGGGATACTGCCATCCTGACAGGATTTTTTGTAAAATTGAAAACAAAAAGAATATTATGAGATATTTAAAGAGACAGAGCACAGAATAGTTCAAACGCTTATAGTTGAAGATGTACTGTCACATTGTTGGTTTGTGTCTTTTCATAACATACATGTGTGTTTGCTCTTGATCCTCTCTTCCAGTGAAAGTATGTAACTGCACAGCGCTGGGCTACTGCTACATTGCACCAGAAGGGCGCGTCTTAAATTATGGAATTGGACCCACCATCGGGATCCTAGCCGGCACTCTTGGATTCTGCAGTAAGTCTGACAGACTTTATGCACCAATCTGGTAAAACTCTGCTTATGTTCTCTTATTGAATTGACTTGATTTTTGTTGTCTTGTTGCAGTTATCATCTTCATCGTCGTGATCAGAAAAATTAAAAAAAACAAGAAGAAGGCTGTGTCTGGACAGGAGGAGAGTAACGCCATGATGTAGAGACAATGCCCAAATACACACACATTTGTTTTTCTATACTTGAGAAGATGACATCCATATTCCTAAAACCAAGTTTGTATTCTATTTCAACGTTTTCCTTTTTTTTTAGACCTTAGATCTGGATATGTACAAAAGAGAGTGGAGCTTGATTAATAAGTGAAGTGCTAAATGAAATTATGGTGGCCCTAATGCTAATCATACATTTATGAAGCTTGATTGTAATTTATTTAAATTACTCTCTCAGGCACAGGTGGTTTCATTAGCAGTTTTATCATCATCATTAAGCAATTTGTTTAAAGTTCTGTGTTTTGCTTTTTTGGGCCTTGTTATTAATCTGCTAAAACCGTATTGAAATCTTTGCAATAGCTTAAAATATCTTCACAGTTATGAAACATCTTTAACTAAGAACATCACTGAAGTCAAAAACTGCCATGAACAACAACTACTGTGTTTTGTAATGAGCCATTAGTGCTCTATTTCCAAATAAACAAATAAACAGGGAAACACTTTTTCACATTGTTATTGTGTGTGTCTGTTTGAGAATTGTGGTGCCACAGGGGGTCTGCAGCATAAGACTCAAGCATGAACACAACTTCCTCTCCATTTGCTCTCTCTGCCTTCTGTTCAGATTTCTGACTAAGATCATCCCTCTGTTTCTCGTCTTGGTCACTGTCGGTCTGTTGCTGAGCATTCAAGGGCCACGGTTGCGTTGCAGAGAGTGATGTTGTGAGTCACTTCTGAGAAAAGAGGATGTAGTGATTGTGTTCTTTTATGCTACACAAAGGGGCTCCAACACTCACAAAGAAACACCCCCAGACACATGCAAGTTGAATGTGTGGGTCACATGTGCTGCCACGACCATGCATCAAGTCCATGTGCCATGTTCGTGGGTGTGTGTGTGTGTGTTTGTGTGTGTTTGTGTGTGTGTGAGTACGAGATGAGTCATCAAACAACCAGTTGCGCTCTCGAAAAGCAAAATGTTGAGTAGTGTCAGAGCTGCAGCCTCATATTGACAAACTCACCAACGAGCTTATCCAGTGTTTATGTCTGCACTCTCTCCTCGTCTGTATCCTAGCAACACGTCCCACAACAACGGACATACAGACACACACAGACCTGGAGAACTATTGGTAGACGTGAAGGGTTGAAGGATAGAGGAGAAGAGGCTGAAGAAAGACAAGTAAAGTAAACTGTGTGATGGATGATCCAACCACCTCAGGAGATGAGGCCTCAAAATCACTACACACACACCAGATTGTTTTTGGCAGGTGTTTACTGTTTAAACCTTTATCCTAATATAGAAATATTAGGAGTGACCATCAGAACCAACAGTGATCAGGCTTGTTTTTGAAAATGAAACCAGATGACCAAGAGTTTTTTTAAACATCCTGTAGGTACACTTCACAAAATAAGCCACTTTGTTAGCCTGCTGTTTGCAACTAAACTCATCCAAAGGATGTGTGCTGTGGGGATGTTTTTGTTGTTGCTGTTTTTGACCTCAGGAGGCTCACCTTTTTGTTTGTTTGAACAGTATCATTACTACTTTATAAATCAACATACTTTAGAAAAACAACAGAAAAACAGTGGCCACATGGAAAACAGCTAATTGACAAAGTGAACACAAAGTAAGTTTATAATGACAGCTAAAAAAAAAACAATTGTGAGGATATGTAACTGAACAAATATAACCAAATCCATAGATTTAAAGAAACAATCACATTGCAATCAACAATGAGGCACCAGAAAACATCCAGACAGACAGAAAGAAAGAAAGAAGGGAAAAAGATTTAAATATTACATAAATATTATTTACTATTACCCCTACTACTACCCCCTATTCTACTATCTGCCAGTGCACTTTAAAAACTAACATCCATTCAACCTTAATACCGTGTGTTGGGTATTCCTAAACTTTATGAATCATTACTTTTTTTCAAAAATGCATCAGACAGTTTATGTTCTTTCTAAAATATTTATTTTAAATCCAACAAAATGTGTCACTATGGTTAAACAGTAAGTGAATCTGATGATGTCAGAAAAACAAATGTTTGTATTCTCTTAACATTGGAAAGTCTGAGGAGTAGTGACTGCTCCTTGTGATGTGAAACTAACTGTGTTTGTGTGGGATGAAATTTATGACACGATATGTGTCTTCATGTCTCTAAGCAGTACAAGCATGTAAATAAACTCCATAAGCAGATGTCACTTCAGCCTGCTTTTACGAACTTGTCCTGGAAAAACATCCTCACAGCAGCGGAAATGAGGCACGAAGACCAAAGTGATGTACGGAAGTTTATTTCCAGTAAAGTTAATGTCACTTCTCTAATAATACAGCAGCAATTCTGGACGCCTACAGCTTTTCAGTGTTATGGTGACTAAAATCTGATGCTCAAGTAAAACCAGTTTCTCCTCTGACTGGAAGTCTCCTTCAAAACAAAAAATGAGTTACTTTAATTAAATATCCTGATGACCAAATCTCATTGGCATAATTTCCCCGTAGAGAACTATTTATAGGCTACAATATTCATAGTTTAACTACAAGATGTGTTATTATCTGGAACCATGTAATTCACATTAACAGAGAGTTTGTAAAGTGAGATGAACGCTGACAGGATAAATTAGCTTTCTTTAATCTAATATTTCTTTAAAATTAGTTTGAAATGTTCCAGAGTGGGAACCAATAAGAGGACGTTTGTTTGCCCTCAGTTTAATAGACTAAGTTACAATGTCACTAAAGTACATTTTTTAGGTGTTGTTTTGTTATGGACATGTGAAATATGAACTATCTTCCAGGTCCTGTTAGAGTGGTTTAATCTGTAATATCAGACTCTTTGTCCTGTTTGATACAACAGCACCATCTAGTGGTGATTCACTGACTGTCTCATGACGAAAACCTCTGTGCTCCGAACACGGAGCTGGAAAAAGTTCAAAGTTTAAGTAGGATTATCACACAGCTAATACACACCAAACAAAGTAAGCCTTTTATTAACAATGTTATTGAATGAAGAGTATAATCTGTAAGTATTCCTGAATGTACTTTATATATCAAAATGTCAAAAATTCTGTTTAATTATTGAAATGCTGAAAAACAAATACATTCTCAAATTTCTTCCTGAAAAATTATATAAATTACCGTAGTTTACTCTAATTCAAGGAAAAAACAAAAAACCTTAAATTGGAGAAACTAAAAGCAATAATTTCTAATTAAAATTACTTTAACCATTGATCAGCTACTTTAACAGCCATTATTCACTTCACTTCCATCATTTCAAATTTAAAAAAAGGTGGTATAAAACATTTTTTTGTTTTTTATTACAAAGCACAATATCTTAACAGCACTTGATATGTTATTATATAAATACTTAGTCTTAAAATAAAGTACTTAATATAGCTGTTGTGCCCTGTCAGCACAGTACAGTTCCCCTCCCTTTTAAGTAGTCAAAATGAAAATGTTGAACTACAAGTATCTCATATTTGTAGTCCGGTTAGTTAGTGGTAGGGAAAACCTGCAGCAGTCAGATCTTCTCGCCTATTTGAGTCAACCAAAACACAAAAGTTCTTGACCAACCAGTGTGCATTCAGTGTTTTAATAAACCATTCTATATTCAAAACTTAACCCACATAAGTTACAATTTATACATTTGAAGATAAAGAAATGTAACATAATGCTAAAGCTGAATAAATAATCTTTAATATTTATTTAACAGCTTCTTTCAACTTTTACATTCTGCTCATATATTTGGGCTTGAACACACTTCAACACAGAGACGAGCCCTGTCATTAGTGTTGGATTGGAGAGAATCAGGAGCATGGTCTGCTTCTGCTCTCAATGTAACTGTTATGAGATATTAAATATGTAACCAACATCGTGAATGAAAAAAAAAAAGAAAAACATAAGGCAAGATCATCTTTCCAGAGGTGTCCCTTTTAACCCCACAAAGTTCTGTAAAAACAACAAACTTTCATTTGACTCCACCACAGCTGTAACCAGATGTGATGACTGTGTTGGAAATGTGTCACTGTGTTTGCTGAGAGGTTTGATAAATAACACACATACTGACTTAAATAAAGAGATACAGTCAGAGAAGAACAACAGGTAGATATCGGTCCACCTTCAGTTCGGCATAATCTAAGTCTTCAAACAGTTATTGACGTATTAGTCTGTGCAGTCTGTAAATATTTGGATAGTTTGGATTTGCTCTTTTCTCCAGCAGCTTCGTTCTGAAATGAAAACATCATGAGCTTGTTTTAGCACACTTCTTTGCCTTATGACTCTTTAAAGGATGAAATATGTTTTATATTTTTTAACTTGCTCATGTAAGGAAAACCTGAAGGGGAAAGTATTTATTCAAAGAAGCGAACGTTAACAAAAATAGATAGAATCTTTCTGTAACCAAAGTATTTTATCTATTTTTACAACAATCCTCCTTTGAATCCCTAGATTCATCTTGGACTCCCACAGAATTGGTGTCACATAACTTTGAGGTTTCAGTGTAAATTTGACAAGAAATGATGCACATCAAAAGCAGCTAAAATTAGCACTTGAAGCTAATACTGGAGTAAACATCATCATCCAAATATTGACAGGCTGCACTGTAATATCTCATACCACGGCATGTACAAGTAAAAACCAACAGAACCATTTGTGTTGTTACATCAGCCTCAGAAATTCAGAAGCCTGGAAGAATACATGAAAACCAGGCGGCAAAGAATAAGAGTGTGGTGTTACAGTATATATTTAAGGACAGCCCAGAGTCCATATAAAAAGGCATCGAGTCAGTGCTGCGTTCACAAAGAGCTCTTTCCTTGTAAAAAAAAAAAAAGTCCCCCTCTTTGGAATTTCTATAACTTCATCCCTGTTCAGTCTTTCGGCAGATGACAGGGTCGGATGTTTTGGCACAAAGTCAGTTTGTAACAGCATCTAAACAGCCACGAAGAGAGGCGAGTATGACACGGTAACCAGAGGAAATCTGCAGCATACAAAACAGGCTTTAAAAGTGACCTTGATCCCGTTTTAAATGGGGAGCTTCTCACTTCATAAAGAACCAGTTCAAATCTTCCTTTGCTCACAGATGTACAAATATGTTCTATAAATAGAGTTAAAGCAATTCATTTTGACTGCTGGACAGATATTTTCTCTCTGCTGCCCGTTTGTCCACTGAGTGTGCTTATGTGAACATCAATAATAGACAGACACAAATGTGTATGTGTGTGTTTGTACACCTGAGTGTAACATTAGTGAATGGCTTTGTTTATCTTAGGACTGCCCCTCCTGTCTCTGTGCACCAAACACGTGAGGGTTGAACTGAGAGATTATGATGGTGATGTCATCGCGGTACATGCGAGCCAGCTCCTCGGGCAGCGACAGCATTTTAGACAGCCTCTCGTGATCGACTGTGCCAAACTCGTTGTTTCCCACAGCGTGGCGCATCAGGTGGGTTGCTGAGTTCTGATCCTCGAAAGCTGAAGACACACGAGCCTTTCTCTCTTCCAGCAGCCCCTGCATCTGTCC